TTTTTGGTGGGAATTTTTATATATAATTTATAGTAATTATTCTCGTCATAAAAAGAACATTTAGAAATTTCTAAAATCAATTCAGACAAAAGGTAAGCAGTTTCTTCCTTATTTATTAATTCCATAATTCAATAACCGAAACTTGGTCAGGTGTTGAAATATTAAGTTTTCTTTTAGTTTCTTAAACTATTTAATAAATATTGTTTATATTATTTAGGTAAAAGTCATTAAGAATATGCCTAGCATTGGCCGCCGTACATTTAATTTTTTAATCTATTAGAAAATAAAATTGTCAAGTTAAAATATTGTAAAATTGCCAAATGTTCAGTCAAAAATATTTATAAAAGCGATCTTATGATGAAAAACGAGAAATTTAAGTTTATGGTACCATCGGTAAGTTTTCCTGTATATTAAATATCGGATTTTATCCGATTTTTAATATTAAAAATATTAAAAATCGGATAAATTCGATAATCGTATACGATTATCGAATTTATCCCGAACTTTAGAAGTTAAAAGCGTTTTATGTTTAAATTTATACTTAAATTTTTATTTACATTCAGTTGTTCAATATCAATCTATTGCCGGCCACTATTTAACGGTCCTGGGCAACCCGCATCTATCCGCTGTCCGCCACCTTTCTTAAATCTTCAGTCCATCGTACTGCAGGGCGTCCCACACTACGTTTTCCTAGCCGTGGTGTCCACTCTAACACGTGTCGGCTCCAGCGACCATCAGTACCTTCTGTCTACTTAGACAACCTTCTCATGTAGACAAGATACGAAACAAAGTCATCCGCCAGAGGACTAAAGTTACCGACATTACGCGCAGAATTAGCACGCTGTAGTGGAAGTGGGCTGGCCATGTCTCCAGACGTACATTGAGTTGTCATTACTAAATGAAACTATTTTCGCGATGTTCATGACGTGATTTAAATTTCTTCAAGGAATAAGCAACTTTATAAAACTAAATATATACTTATAAAACTGTAGTAAGTAGTAACAGTAGTATTAGGTGTATTAATAGTCGCAGTTGATAGACGGAAAGCATTATCTCTATCCCTGTCGCTAGATCTCTAATTTTTTCAATCCAAGATAACCTATGCTGCGTTGTTAGGTCTTAAAGTTTTCCTCCATTGTGGTGCACGCCTGGCAGGCGGTGCACCTGCACAATTTTTTCTGATTAAGACAAGTATAATTTTTAACAAAAAAAAAAAAAACCGACTTCAATCAGAAAATTAAAAACATTGTTAATACCTATAACATTCAATGATGGCCCTCGCTTTCTCGTGGATACCATCATCAGATCCGGATTTCCTTATCACGGTACCACCCTTGGGATATCTCCTTTCCGACAAAAAAAGTATCATCAAAATCGGTTCATTAACGACGAAGTTATCCACGAACACATAAAAAAAATATATACGGTCGAAATGAGAAACCTCCTCCTTTTTTTGAAGTCAGTTAAAATCTTGCAATTAAAAGGTATGCTCTAAAATCGTTCATATGCTCATCTTATCGAGAATACACTCAGAGACCTTTTTAAAGAGATTAATATAAGTATACTCACTGTTGCGTCTCAATATATTTATTGTAATATTTTGTATGTTAAAAATAATATTAATAGTTATCTAAAGAATAGTGACAGACATAAACTAAATACTAGAAATAAGGACAAACTAACTACGCCATTGTTTCGTTTACAAAAAGTAAACAGGTCGTTCATGGGGCAAGGTGTGCGCATGTATAATAAAATCCCACAGTCGATATTAAGTCTGCCACTTGATGAATTTAAACGAAAAATTAAAAGTAAACTTATGGCTAAAGCCTATTATTCTATTGCCGAATATCTTGACGACGCCAATGTGTGGGGTTAATACTGTTGATACTCACGTAGGCTAAAACAAGACTATTGTACATGTACTATTATATTGTAAACTGATTTTTTTTTAAAAAGAGCAACTGTTGAGTTTCTTGCCGGTTTCTTCTCAACAGAAACTGCTTTCCGAACCGGTGGTAACTTACGAACGTGTTAATTTCTTGTAAAATTTTGACGTTTCATAAGAACGCGCAAGCGTCTATGTGAATAAAGATATTTTATTATTATTATTATTTATCAACACTGACTCGAGTTTCTTAACTTCGAGGAACGTTGGAAGGAAGAAACTGTTGTGTTCTTATGGCCACCGCTATTTTCAGTGGCGGATTTAGCAATAAGCAATAGCACAAGGCCTGGAGTGGACATAGGTCGCGGAAAGTAGGGGCATCAAAATTTTGAAATGGCCCAAATTTAAAATCGATTTCATTTTTTATCAACTTTAAAATCGAATCTTAAACGTAAAAGGCCCACGTAACTGAATGCGTCCCGAGCCACTTGGTGCCCTAACTGCGTGTGTATTTTTTTTTTATTTTAAACTTCTTGCAATAGAGCCCTGGTCCTAGTGCTTTTCTCGGTAAAAAAAGTCCACAGTTTTTGGTGGGAATTTTTATATATAATTTATAGTAATTATTCTCGTCATAAAAAGAACATTTAGAAATTTCTAAAATCAATTCAGACAAAAGGTAAGCAGTTTTCTTCCTTATTTATTAATTCCATAATTCAATAACCGAAACTTGGTCAGGTGTTGAAATATTAAGTTTTCTTTTAGTTTCTTAAACTATTTAATAAATATTGTTTATATTATTTAGGTAAAAGTCATTAAGAATATGCCTAGCATTGGCCGCCGTACATTTAATTTTTTAATCTATTAGAAAATAAAATTGTCAAGTTAAAATATTGTAAAATTGCCAAATGTTCAGTCAAAAATATTTATAAAAGCGATCTTATGATGAAAAACGAGAAATTTAAGTTTATGGTACCATCGGTAAGTTTTCCTGTATATTAAATATCGGATTTTATCCGATTTTTAATATTTTTAATATTAAAAATCGGATAAATTCGATAATCGTACACGATTATTGAATTTATCCGAACTTTAGAAGTTAAAAGCGTTTTATGTTTAAATTTATACTTAAATTTTTATTTACATTCAGTTGTTCAATATCAATCTATTGCCTGCCACTATTTAACGGTCCTGGGCAACCCGCATCCATCCGCTGTCCGCCACCTTTCTTAAATCTTCAGTCCATCGTACTGCAGGGCGTCCCACACTACGTTTTCCTAGCCGTGGTGTCCACTCTAACACGTGTCGGCTCCAGCGACCATCAGTACCTTCTGTCAGACAACTTTCTCATGTAGAATACGAAACAAAGTCATCCGCCAGAGGACTAAAGTTACCGAAATTACGCGCAGAATTAGCACGCTGTAGTGGAAGTGGGCTGGCCATGTCTCCAGACGTACATTGAGTTGTCATTACTAAATGAAACTATTTTCGCGATGTTCATGACGTGATTTAAATTTCTTCAAGGAATAAGCAACTTATATAACTAAATATATACTTATAAAACTGTAGTAAGTAGTAACAGTAGTATTAGGTGTATTAATAGTCGCAGTTGATAGACGGAAAGCATTATCTCTATCCCTGTCGCTAGATCTCTAATTTTTTTCAATCCAAGATAACCTATGCTGCGTTGTTAGGTCTTAAAGTTTTCCTCCATTGTGGTACACGCCTGGCAGGCGGTGCACCTGCACAATTTTTTCTGATTAAGACAAGTATAATTTTTAACAAAAAAAAAACCGACTTCAATCAGAAAATTAAAAACATTGTTAATACCTATAACATTCAATGATGGCCCTCGCTTTCTCGTGGATACCATCATCAGATCCGGATTTCCTTATCACGGTACCACCCTTGGGATATCTCCTTTCCGACAAAAAAAGTATCATCAAAATCGGTTCATTAACGACGAAGTTATCCACGAACACATAAAAAAAATATATACGGTCGAAATGAGAAACCTCCTCCTTTTTTTGAAGTCAGTTAAAATCTTGCAATTAAAAGGTATGCTCTAAAATCGTTCATATGCTCATCTTATCGAGAATACACTCAGAGACCTTTTTAAAGAGATTAATATAAGTATACTCACTGTTGCGTCTCAATATATTTATTGTAATATTTTGTATGTTAAAAATAATATTAATAGTTATCTAAAGAATAGTGACAGACATAAACTAAATACTAGAAATAAGGACAAACTAACTACGCCATTGTTTCGTTTACAAAAAGTAAACAGGTCGTTCATGGGGCAAGGTGTGCGCATGTATAATAATAAAATCCCACAGTCGATATTAAGTCTGCCACTTGATGAATTTAAACGAAAAATTAAAAGTAAACTTATGGCTAAAGCCTATTATTCTATTGCCGAATATCTTGACGACGCCAATGTGTGGGGTTAATACTGTTGATACTCACGTAGGCTAAAACAAGACTATTGTACATGTACTATTATATTGTAAACTGATTTTTTTTTAAAAGAGCAACTGTTGAGTTTCTTGCCGGTTTCTTCTCAACAGAAACTGCTTTCCGAACCGGTGGTAACTTACGAACGTGTTAATTTCTTGTAAAATTTTGACGTTTCATAAGAACGCGCAAGCGTCTATGTGAATAAAGATATTTTATTATTATTATTTATCAACACTGACTCGAGTTTCTTAACTTCGAGGAACGTTGGAAGGAAGAAACTGTTGTGTTCTTATGGCCACCGCTATTTTCAGTGGCGGATTTAGCAATAAGCAATAGCACAAGGCCTGGAGTGGACATAGGTCGCGGAAAGTAGGGGCATCAAAATTTTGAAATGGCCCAAATTTAAAATCGATTTCATTTTTTATCAACTTTAAAATCGAATTGTATTATTATATAACTGCGTCTTCTCCTGCCTTTACATTTGTATAATGTCAATATTTCATGCAAATACTAACGTTATAACTAACAAGTAGGCAAAGTCGTTAATTATTGCTAAAGTATAATAATTATACATATAAAAGTATATTATATCTATGTAGGCTTAGTCCTAGGAAGCCACCACAGGCTTCTCTATATTGATAGGATAGCTTCGTATCTAATGCGCGATGGTTTTTACACAGGTGCCAATTCGATAAGCCGGGGCATGAGGTACCAGGACCACATAGTGCATGAACTGTTGAAGATTATGGAGGAAGGCCCTGAGCCGATGCGAGATTTCCAGCCCGCTCAGGTGCCCTGCTTGACTCACTGTTGTTACCTCCAGTCTGTTAAGGAGTAGACAGGAAGTTATATGCGCTAGGTATCAGGGACTCATAGGCAATGGAGTGTTTAATGTAAAGTTTTCAACTTTTATAATAAAATTGGTGACATCCACAGACAACTAAATATTAATAATTTGTATAAGCTATCGTAATGGCAAGGGCCTACTATAATGTCCAAGCATTGAGGACAAGGTTGTGTGGAAATGTCTCTTGCACTGCACTTGCAAGACCTCTGGCTGCTGCTGATTTTATGCCTAAATAAGTTTGTATAATTGCATCCCAAAAAAATAAAATAAAAAAAAGAACAAGCCCCAGAGTTACTTGCCGGTTCTTCTCTGTTCAGGTTTAGTTTAGTGAACCGGTGGTAGATTTTTGTTGACGTTCAATAAGAGCTTAAGTTAAGCCTATATTGAATAAAAATACTTTGACTTTGAAAAAAGTACATTCGATTCGTTCAATACCTTCTAAATATAAAAGGCAGGTCCCTTGCCCATACGCGATTCCAAACCCGCGTTGGTAATGGGTTGTTTTCCTTACGTTATGCTTAAGTTAAAGACTCTGTTATGGGGTAAATAAGTCATTGACTTTGATTCAAAAATTCTTGATAACTCAATGTCCGGGCGGCTCGCATTTAATCGAGATCCCCAGTGCCGGCACCAATGAAAGTGTTCATTTTAGGTGCTGAATTATCACGTGCTCTGCGGTGAAGGAAAACATCGTGAGGAAACCTGCATATTTTCCAAATAATAAAAAAAATATTTTGAAGATATGTGAAGTCTGTAAATCCGCAGTGGGGCGGAGTGGTGGACTATGATACCCTCTGAGTAGAGGAGGCCTTTGCCCAGCAGTAGGGCATGTATAGTGTCTATTACGTGCTCAGCGGCAAAGGAAAACACTGTTAGGCAATCTGTGAAAACTGTCAATTCACGGTGGGGTCGCAGGATGGCCAGCTCTCTAACTATCACGGTTCATGACATACAGCCTGTCGACAGACGGACAGACAGACAGACAGCGGAGTCTTAGTAATAGGGACCCATTTTACCCTTTGAGTGCGGAACCCTAAATAAACCGCACACACGTCACCACCGCGGAACGCAGAAGGTGAAAACGGGCGCGGAGATGTTCCGGGAGGTCCATCGAGGCTACGAGGCGTGTGACTCCAGCATTGACAGGATCCAGAGAGTCCACGGGCACAACGCGACCTACCCGCAGCTGAGGGATGAGCTGGATAAGCGACGCTCAACTGCCAAGGTATACGAGTTGACATATGACAATTGACAATAATGACATGCGAAATTTACATTTTTATAGTTTATTAGCTTTTTGCCCGCGGCTTCGCTCGCGTTGAAGCCCTTAAATAAATATCTTTCCCCTTTATAACCCTTTTTCCAATTTAAAAAATAGCCTATGTCCTTTCTCAGGCTCTGGACTATCTGTATACCAAATTTCATTTAAATCGGTTCAGTAGTTTTGGCGTGAAAGCGAGACAGACAGAGCTACTTTCGAATTTTTAATATTAGTGGTTTGTTTCAACATGAGGTGAAACATATTTCTTGTTATAGCGGCAACAGAAATACATAATTTGTGATAATTTCAACTATAACTATCACTGTTCATGAGCTGTCCCTGTGAACAGACGGACAGACAAAAAGACAGCGGAGTCTTAGTAATAGGGTCCCGTTTTACCCTTTGGGTAAAGTAAAGTAAAGTAACAGCCTATACGTGTCCCACTGCTGGGCAAAGGCCTCCTCTATACAGAGGGTATCAGGGCATAGTCCACCACGCGGCCCCACTGCGGATTGGCGGACTTCACATATCTCTTCGAAATATATATTTTTTTTTATTATTATTTCGATAATATGCAGGTTTCCTCACGATGTTTTCCTTCACCGCGGAGCACGTGATAAGTCAGCACTTAAAGTTAAAAACTTCATTGTTGCCGGCACCGGGGATCGAACTCAGGTTGCTCGAGTATATTGAATTAAAGGCGAGCGCCCGGACACTGAGCTATCACGGCTCTAAAAAACTCATACATGTTATTAACTTAATAGTCTGTATGGTTTACATAATACTATTAAATTACATTACCCTATTTAGTTGGGGATGGTAGGGAAAAATAACAAAAATCTCATTACAAAATCTGATAAAATTGTTAAATTTTTCTCAATTATATATATGGGTAGGAGTCAAGACTTTCCAGCGCTGGCAGTGTCACGGAAGTGTGCGAAAGCGTTCCCGTGACCCTTCCGATATGCGCCTAGGTGTAACGTCGTGGAGGTTTTAGTCAGTGCGAGTCCGACATAACCCGCTCTTACCCCCGCGAGGGCTGGTATGCGTAAGCATTTCCCCCGCGTAAAAAAAAAAAAAAAAAAAGGAGTGTCAAGACTTTATGGTTAATTGGTTAATAATTTACATGACATCATGTTTAGGTTGCTCGAGTAAATTGAATTGAGTATATTTTTTTTTATTATTATTTCGATAATATGCAGGTTTCCTCACGATGTTTTCCTTCACCGCGGAGCACGTGATAAGTCAGCACTTAAAGTTAAAAACTTCATTGTTGCCGGCACCGGGGATCGAACTCAGGTTGCTCGAGTATATTGAATTTAAGGCGAGCGCCCGGACACTGAGCTATCACGGCTCACCCTTTGGGTACGGAACCCGAAAGGAATAGATGAAAAGTTCTTCAACGATGCGGGAATCGAACTCACTTCTTCCAAGCTAAACGGTGTCCCGGTTACCAAACCAACGAAAATCTCAACGTATTAGTATTAGGTCCTTAGATATGAAATCGGCACTTTGTACGGGAGGAACATAAAGTAATTCTTTTTTGTAAAATATATTTAATTACTCAAAGTATGCACCGTTGTTATCTATGCACTTTTGCCATCACATAGGTAGTTCGTTGATCCCTTTACTAAAAAAACATGGGGGGCGAGAATCAATAAACTCTTTGAAGACGGTTTGGACTGCCGCATCGAAGTTGATTTTTTTTCCTTGTGAGAAGTTGTCCAAATTCCGGAAAAAATGGTAATCTCTTGGAGCAAGGTCCGGGGAGTACGGTGGATGCAGACATTCCAATTGTAGCTCATCTAACTTAGTGGTTGTTTGTTGTGCAGTGTGTGGTCTTGCGTTGTCGTGAAGCAGCAGTGGCCCAGAGCGATTGACCAATCTTGGTTGTTTAGCAGCTAGTTCTTCCTTCATGGTTTGCAGTTGCTGTCAATAGATATCTGCCGTAATTGTTTGGCCCGATTTTAGAAAGCTATAGTGACCGACACCGGCGCTAGTCCACCAAACATTCACAAGTAACTTTTTCTGAATCAATTTTTAAGACATAAGATATTATGTCTTATGTCTTTCTGAGTCAATTTTCGTTTAGCGCAGGATTTGGCTGGGACTCCAGGGTTCAGCCATTGCGACGAGCGCTTCCGATTATCATACAGTATCCACTTTTCATCACAAGCAATGATTCGTCTTATGTCTTATGTCTTTCTGAGTCAATTTTCGTTTAGCGCAGGATTTGGCTGGGACTCCAGGGTTCAGCCATTGCGACGAGCGCTTCCGATTATCATACAGTATCCACTTTTCATCACAAGCAATGATTCGTCTTATGTCTTATGTCTCTCTGAGTCAATTTTCGTTTAGCGCAGGATTTGGCTGGGACTCCAGGGTTCAGCCATTGCGACGAGCGCTTCCGATTATCATACAGTATCCACTTTTCATCACAAGCAATGATTCGTCTTATGTCTTATGTCTTTCTGAGTCAATTTTCGTTTAGCGCAGGATTTGGCTGGGACTCCAGGGTTCAGCCATTGCGACGAGCGCTTCCGATTATCATACAGTATCCACTTTTCATCACAAGCAATGATTCGTCTTATGTCTTATGTCTTTCTGAGTCAATTTTCGTTTAGCGCAGGATTTGGCTGGGACTCCAGGGTTCAGCCATTGCGACGAGCGCTTCCGATTATCGTATATATCCACTTTTCATCACAAGCAATGATTCGATTTAAAATCCCTTCAATATTGTGTCGGTTGAGTAAAGTAACACAGTAGTCGATGCGTGTTTGCAAGTTACATTCACTCAATTCATGAGGTTCATCCCTGTCATCGCTCAAGTTTTTTTACCTTCCCGATTTGTTTCAAGTGGATTAATGCGGTTTTATCACTTACCCCGAAGCCTGCATCTATCTCTGAAGTGCTTTGTGATGGATCCGCTTTCACAATAGTCTTTTAAGTCTTCATTTTCCACTTTGGTCTCCGGCCGTCCACGGGGTTGGTTTTGAAGGTCGAAATTTCCAAAACGACAACGTTGAAACTAAAAACCGTGCTTTCTTTTGCGACACCAGCGCCGTACACATTATTAATCCTTCGCGCTGTTTCTGCAGCGCACTGGTGCCACGATAGAACTCACACTCCTAAATATACCGATTTTTCATGTTTTCCATTGTGCGGTAATAAGCGACGCCGAAGAATAAAATAATGACAAAGAAACAAATAAATGACTTTTCAAAACTTAAATGTACCAGCTCAATGAATTTATAAATTTGAATTTGAAATTTTTTACCAAAGAGATATTTCAGATCAAAGTGGTCAGTACGACAAAACGGTAATTTCATATACATATAAGGGCCTAATATTTACCATTCGACACAATTATTAATGGTCCTTAAATGACAATCGATACGTACGTCTAACTCGTTGGACGAAAGGGAAAGGACCAAACCTAAGCGTAAATTGTGTCAAAATAAGCTGCTCGTTCGCGGAACCATGGGGTATGGGTAGCATTGGCCAGCACCGCTGAGGAGAAATGTAAATAAAAAACCGGCCAAGTGCGAGTCGGAATCGGAGACGGGTACCGTTATCTATAAAAACGGCAAAAAATCATGTCTGTTGTATGGGAGCCCCACTTAAATATTTTTTAGTAATTATTTGTTGTTATAGCGGCAATAGATATACATCATCTGTAAATATTTCAATTGTCTATCTATCAAGGTTCATGAGACACAGTCTGGTGACAGACGGACAGTCGGACAGATAGCGGAGTCTTAATAATAAGGTCCCGTTTTACCCTTTGGGTACGGAATCCTAAAAAGGAGCATGGCAAAAGATGACTGTTACTTATCAATGTCTCTGCTCCACTCTGTCGTGACAGCTCGTCAACACACTTGCGAGGAATACGCCAGAGTTAGGACTCTAGAAGTCTCCCTCACCCACCATACTCACCAGTCTTTCTATTTTTCTACGAATTTGGATGAGAACATACGAATCAGTAAAATGCATTCGAAAAGTCTAAATACATTTTTTGAAACGCATGTAAATGAGAAATCTGGAACTCTTTATTAGTTCATACATTTAACCGTTTCCGGTGGGAACACCGACTGTGGAAGTGCCGATCGATCAAATCATCATCATCATTTCGGCTTGTTTTAGTCCCCTGCTGAACATAAGCCTCCTGCACCCATCGATTTCCCATGCAGTCATTTGCAAAGGTCACTCCGTCTAGTCGGATGGATAACAGAATTAATCTGTATTTTATCAATCTTCAATCTCTAAATGATTCTACTCGTTAATTTTTCAAAGACTACATCAGTTTAAGCTTTACTAAAATATTTGTGTTCTAGGCAACAGCAATCCAGAGTTTGAAACTGAATACACGCGGCCGCCGTTGCAAATCGCAATTGAAACCGAAGCGACCATCGAAAACTAAACGGAAACAATCGAGAAAATGCTCCAGAAAAGATAGACGAAAACGTGGCGTGGACAAGACATCTCGGTTAAGGGGGCGCAGTTTTAAAAGGCAGACTATCGGGTGCCACTGCCAGTGTTCCCGCGTGAAAAGGGCGCGAAACCGAAGGAGCGGGTCCGATGACATTTTGACGTTCGATCTGTCAAATAAGTTGTCACCGACAGATGTTTTTTTAAAAAGCAAAACGGGAATAAGACCAACGAGGTCGGACTACCACGAAGGTTCGGTAAGGATAGTGTGCAGAAAAAAACCCGGAGAAAACACAAGCGTGCATTCCGACTACAGGAATGATACGAATTACCCGGATACAAGTAATCCTTCGATCAGTTCCTACAACAGCTTTGCGTCGACCGACCACGAGCCTATGCTCTAAGTTCTACCTTGAGTACTAATTATATTTACAATTTACTTTGAACCGCACTGAAAACACTTAGCACTTAACTTAATGTTTGTGAGTAAATAAATATTTACCCGTACCTTTTCCTTATTTGAATTAGACATATATAAGGATCAAATGAACTGACATAGTTTACTAAATGTTTCGATTTTTCGATATTAGAATTCGAGACAAATGAAAAATAGATTCAAACATCATCTTCCTCCTGACGTATCCCACCAATGCGCAATGTGGGGACATACAGTCAACCCTACTTGGAAAAAAACAGCCAGATATGAACTCGGGTTGTTCGAGAATATTGAATTAAACGCGAACGCCCGAAAACTTGGCAATCACGGCTCACTTTTTCATAAGTACTTAATTAAAGTGAAATACTTGTTGCTCTGTCCCTAATTTGCATTGTGTGAAAAATACATATGATGAAGTCTTCGGCCACTTTTGGCCCAGTATACTTAAGGATTAATATTGTTTTTTCTATTATTTCGAAGATATGGAAGATGTTCACATTGCTGTCCTAACTGTCGGATCTGGGATTTGAAAAAGGAATTCTTGACTGTATTCCATAATTTTGTTGACAATTTATAGGTGAATATATAATGCGTAGAAAATTATTTTACCTCTGCAAGGATTAGAATCTACACTTTCGATTGAACCACTGAGAAGCATTGGGCCCATTCCTATTATAGGTGTCTGTTCTATGGCATTTCCGAACGCACTCACCGCATCTTCAGGGTTCGTAATGCGAATACCTCAAGTTTATATTTGATTCTTGGGAATAAATAAAAGTCGCAGAGTCTCGACACCTGCCATAGTCAAATATCCACCGTTCGTTTCACCGAGTGCGCTGAAGCGTTTTCGTGGTGAAGGAGGATCGACGCTTCGAGGACGCTGCTGATTGATTTGATTTATCCCACTGATCAGATTGTCTTTAAGCTTTCATCGCCTGTGACGATATCAAATACAGAATCACCTCCATTGAACGTTTCTAACATTTCGCAGCACTTGTAAAAATGCAAACATAGCCCTTATCTAAAGAAAATTGTAATAATATCTTCATTTAATGTTAATTTATTAAAGTTTAAAGGAAAAAAAGATTTGTATAAGCATTACTCGTTCAGTAATGAGTGTTTTCTTACCACGGAAAAGTGGGGCAAGCGGTGCAGTTGTTAAATTTATTAACAAGCAACGCAGACGAAATTGCTGTTCTCAGCGAGTCCAATACAGACAGCTATAGTTTTACGGTAACGTTGCAAACTATAGGGTTTTTGTAGTTATAGTTTGTAACGTTACTGCAATCCCAAAGATGTTGTTTAATAAAGAAAATCGCCTTAATTATATTTTGTGTGAGCCCCAAGTTATTTTGGGTGATAAATGTATTCATTTTTTTTAGTAAAACTGACCAACGAATCGGATTTTATTTACGATTTTATGGTTTTTATTATTTTTTTCGGCCGAACACCTAATCCTTTACATAGAATAAAAGTGGCCTAAATCTGCCCCTCATAACATCAGTTATTTATATGAGAGTACAATTGAAATAAAACCAGTGATTTCGGAGATCAGCGGAAACAAGTATACAAATAGACACACCTTTTTAAAAATAGTTTTTTTGTATACCTATGTAATGTGTGAATATTTATATGAATTTAGTAAAGACTTATTTTAGATATTAAAATGCAATTTTATTTCTTTACATTCACAGAAGATTAAAAAAAGCAAAAGACATTAAATTATTGTTTGTGCAAATGAACTCGTAACGTATTTTACAATCTCATTTTGACAATAGCCCGCAAAACTGATTAAATCGAATGTAAAGAAGTATTCACAATTTCACGGGATTTTATTATTTTGCGCGGAATATTAATTATTAAAAAACTATAAAAGTAGCTTTATTTACTCCTCATAACATTAGCTATCTTATTTCTATCTAATTCATGAAAGCCGTTAAAATTATTCACCATTACGAAGATTAGCGCGAAAAAATACGGAACCCTAAATAAGACAAAATTTTTTAAAAAGCGACTACTGAAAATGGTTCTCAAATTGTAACAAATGTTGAGAACTCAGATAGATCAGAGACTACAAGCATCAGATGTTAAAAATAAATCAGAAAAAATTTTGTTTGGTAAAATATATTTTCTTAATAAATCGGCACTATTACTACTATAAATAAAATAAAAGCAAAAACAAAACGCAAATCTCAATAACCGTCATTTGAATTGTCCTATTTCATTTTCCGCTTGTGGAAAAATCATAGAATACCCTAGAGCTAGAGCAAAGTGCACAGAGTACATTTGTATATACTGAAAGTGTAAAAAGTGTAAAAGTAATCTATGGGAATTGTCATATATTATAGTCTGTTTCATGCTCATACCTACTTCAAGTGTAAAACAATTTTCCCTTGAGTTTCAACTTTCATTGTAAATTGTAAGTTAAAAACTGAACAATATTTTTTAGCTCTTGTGAATAATACTCCGTAATGTCCGATCGACTGAAAAGCACCAACAAGGTGTCTAATGAGGAAGTTATAGAAGATTTAACAAAAGACTTGGAGTTATCTTTGAACACAGAGGAACCAACACCAGAGTATGTGGTAAATCCGGGTTCTAGCCTGGAGGACTTTTTACCATCAGCTGGAGACGCACGAACAAAGTCAGGTGAGCTGATTTAGCACTTTTATTTATTGGTATATATTGACCGCGTCCGATGATGCATACGACTGTGTTCTAAAGTTTAGTATGTTCAATCAGTAAATATAATCAGTAACCTGTTTAAGAGGATAATGATGCACGGCCTTTAAAGCCATGGACCATCGAAGCACTGAATACAATAACATTAACATGATTTTCTTTTTTAACACTTCTACTCACATATTCTTTTTATTTACAAACAATTCTTTTTTATTTATATATTTATTTACCATCCAAAACTTTCATTATTAGTCATTGGAGACTATCCCACCAATAGTTAAAATTTTAAAAACAAAATAAATTTTTCAGAAATTCCCTCCACAGAAGATGATTTTGACAAAGAAGACAAAACATATTATGATGATAATGATAAGGCAGAAAGTGATAAAGAGGAGAGTGACTCAGATTCCATTAATGAGGAGTCCCTGAAAGATGCTGAAATGGACCTCACAGATGACCAGAAAGCAGAGAGGAGGCTAAAAGCAGAGGAACTGAAAACAGAAGGGAATGAAGCTTTTAAAATTGGGGAATATGAAAGGAGTATGGAGAAATACACTGAGGGTGAGTATACTACCAATGCATTACTAAGCAATATAGAATATAACACTACATCTTTCAGTTCATGGTCACTCGGTTTTTCCCCATCGGTCGTCAGTTCTTCAAGTGATTTGGCCTGCCCCTTGCCACACAAGGAAGGCCTCTCCCTAGGGGGACCGAGGATATCGTAAGAATTTGATGAGAATTATTTATCAAAATTACTATTGATGTGACTTAAATTGGGCTTACATATTAAACAATAGTCAAGCTTATATGTATAGATAAAACACTATTGATATAATACTAATTCAGGTAAAAGTTCTATATATTGTAGAAAGAGATTAATTTTTTGGAAAACTGACTTGTTACTGGTTGAAATAGTCACAATGCCATTTTCTGTAACATGAAATTAACTTACAAAATATAAAATAATCTTTAATATTACATTATCTATGAGGTATTAGGTTTCAAAAACTTGACACCATTCAACCCTAGCCAGAAAGGGCCTAAGTTACTGCATTAAACACAACTATCTTCTCTATTTAAAATTGTTTCTTTGTTTGATTGCAAAAAAAAACATTTTTCCAGGTCTCAGGATTTGTCCCCTGCAGTTCCCTCAACAAAGGTCCGTGCTGTACTGCAACCGGAGTGCGGCTAAAATGAAGCTGGAGAAGTACAAGCGTGCAATCAAGGACTGCAGTAAAGCCATTGAACTTGACGATAAATATGTCAAAGCTTATTATAGGTAAATATTAACAGCATATGTTCAAGTTTTTGATATATTTTATGTGAGAAAGAGGCAAAGAGCTGGCGGTTCACCATGTTGAGTGGTAAATCAGAAATTGCTCTATCTTACTCCATTTTTTTTATACAGGGAGATTTTTTAAGAAGTGCCCAAATTTACACAGGAGGTTCAGACTAGGTAGCATAATCGTTTTTTGAAATAAAAAACAAAGTTTTTTTTCCCAAAAAAAATGCCATTCTATTCCCTAAAACAGAACGTGTTGACATTGCGGTAGTCATTCATAAATACCTAAATTTTACTGTGCACGAACTTGTATGCGTGTTAGTTATGATGATCGCGCGTAAAATGAGTTGCGTATAAATCACGCACTTTTTGAGATAAGTTCAAATGAATGTAATTAATTACTTACGAAGGATTTTAAATATTTATCATTTTTTATATAACATTGTTTGTCTTGAATTTAATAAAAAAAAAATGGATACACTTAGAAAAGCCACCCTGTATAATGAATCAATGATCAATGTTGTTTTAATTGAGATGATGCATGTCCACCTTGCGCGGTATTTAAAAATTGTTCCGCTTTACATTATTATATGACATAATATATAAGTAAGAGAGATGATATAGAACATAATTATGATACGGAAAGAGATAGCAGTCTATAGATTTAGCTAGCCATAGACGGAATCGGACCGACCAGAAGAGAAGTTACACCAATTGCCGTAATTTGAATGTCTCAGTTTCGGCTCGGTAATGTCAAATCCACTTCGTATTTGTATATAATATATTGTAATGAATATACTTTGATGATTTTCTGTTATTTCTTCATTACCGCTACCGCAATGAAATAAATGTTTGAAAATAATTTTCTAAACGCCTTTCAGGCGGGCACAGTCGTACGAAGCGACGGAGAAACTGGACGAATGCCTGGCGGACTTCAAGAAAATTCTAGAACTGGATCCTACGCACAAAGAGGCTCAGGCGGCGGTGATCCGTCTACCTCCCCTCATAGAAGAGAAGAACGAGAAATTGAAGAAGGAGATGCTTGGCAAGCTAAAGGACCTTGGCAATATGATATTGAAACCCTTCGGTCTCTCCACGGAAAACTTCCAATTGGAACAGGACCCCAACACCCAAGGCTACAAAATCAATTTTAAGCAGTGAACGGCCTTTTGTATAGAATTGTGATACTGTGATTATATTTATTGGTTTAAGCGATGCTTTGTTTGTTTTTTGTCGAAACATCGTTAGTATTAACTGCTTTTTTCTGTCTGTGTTATTCATTTGAAATGAATACTGATGAGCTATAATGATTTTAACTTTGAACATAGCACGGACATAAAGTGATCACTGCCTTCTATGGACATCAACAACAGACGGGTTAAGCATCAACAACTTTCATGCTTAAAAATTGCAGGTGATAAAATATGAAAAGTTTGTTCCATTCATGACACGGGCGAAACAGCCATAAACGTTGTGATTACATTCTCTCTGGAAACAGCCTTAAATATATTTACAAGTCACGGTGGTAGGACCACGCCGCAGCTCTGGCTGTTGCACGAATGGGCAGGCTTATAATTAAAAAGCTGCCTGCAGCTTTTTAATTATAACCGTTATGTTGTGTTCGCTGTTCAAACAATAATAATTATGACATAATTCACTATTACTTCTTTCAAATATTAGATCCTTATAATCCGCCATTTGTAATCCATTGTTATATCCTTTCGCGAGATAAAAGACGTTAAAAACGTAAAAGCTTAGTGACTAAAGCTTCACGGCGCGAATCTCGAAAACGTGGGTTCGATTCCCACAGCGGCGAAAAACTTTTCATACTTTTTTCTACAAATTTTACTATTTTATCTAGCGGAGATTAGAGATTAATAATGAATTCGACTTTGTTTTTCGACTTTTGTTTTTAAAAGCTAGAAAGTTTGTTTCGTTGAAGCTGGAGTCATTTATGTATATAAAAAATAAGAAATTTTTTCATCGAAATATGTTCAAGTAATTGTTTGTGGATTACCAAGACTATTAATAAGTTTTCATATTCATCTATGCTGACTTAAAACAAAGGTTTGGTTTTGTCTAATGTCAGTGATGCTAGAAGAAAAAATGAAACACATTTTCGTAATTAGAATGACGATGTCAATTGTGCGCCGTCGGGAAGCATAAAATATTTGATACATGTTTTTTATATGAGAAAATTGAAATTTCGAGTAATTTTGAAGCGAGAACCACCAATGTTATTATGATTTAAACACATACAAATACATTTCTATCGTTGTACTGTAAGTATTCAATCCAACTATGTAGCTATTTTTTATTGTGAGTTCTGTGATACAACAATGAAATTAAAGTGGAATAAAAGGTTCAGTAATAAAAACACTTTATTTCAATACTGGATACTAATAGTACCAACAATAGTTATAGATAGGCCCTGCCACGTGTTGCTTTGATTAATTCATATACAAAGTTTGATTTAAAATAACACGGACAAGATTTTTGTCGCTCTGCGAGCCGTAGAGCGGGCTATGTTAGGTATTTCTCTGCATGACAGTCCGCAATGCAGTTATTTGCAGTATAACAAAGGTAATCGATATAGCTCCCGTCCGGGTAAGCACCACGACCTCACAGAAGACCAGCGTAAAGTGGAAGTATGACAAATACTTTCGCGTTTCGTCTGGTGAGTGAGGTAGCCGGAGCCCAATTTTATAAAGGGTGGCGGTATGCACTTACCATCAGGTGAACAGTCTGCTCGTTTGGCAATTTTTCACATAAAAAAAAGCTAAGAAGATCGGTTAGCTGAAGTGGCAATGGGCCTGCCGTGTAGCTTATAGAACCAATAACGCAATTGGAAAGAAAGATTCTCAAGTGGCGTGTAAGTGGAGTGATCCCCCACTGTATCGAGTGTTTATCTGTGCGAATTTTTGAGAAGTAGGTGGATGCAGATGGCTCAGGATCGTGATTCGTGGCACTATGCGGGAAGCCTATGTTCAGTGGATAAAACATACTGAAAATCACGACACAACTAGAATGATTTTGATTGGTCTGTGGCATATAGGACTCTAAGCGCATTCTAGTAAAGGAACGCTGGGCCGGCACGCCCATGATATTGAGTTCTTCATTTTACGCGAATTTATACATATTAAATGAAATGAATAAATATTTAGTTTTTTACACAACGTTCTCTAGTCCCAAACTAAGCATCGCTTGTCCTATGGGTACTAGATAACTGATGAACATACTTAAATATACCTTTTCTTTTGTAAATAAATACATATTATACATACATATACACCCAGGCACTAGAAAAATGTGTAAATGTTCACATATTGTGTGATCAACATAGTATTTTTCTAGTAGTGGGGATCGAACCCACACCCTCTAGCGCAGAAGGCAGGTACACTACCCACTACGCCAGTCGGGTCGTCAAAATATTTATTATTAAATGAAATTAGTTTACGGATTTTATCGCGTTTAAATTTTGATTTTATAATTGCCAACGTTCAAAAATTAGCGTTCCACGATGGGTTAAAACGTCGGGAATAATAAAATTAAAATTAAAATGCGATAAAATGATGATGATTTAATGAACTAGTGCGCTTAACATCTACGGCTACTTCGCCACTTATCGACAGCGAGAACAGTGAAACACTAGGCAGTACCTTATATTAGAAAATCCATATGCAGCGTGATCATTTACCGTTAGGTCGACCGCCTTTACATTAATTTGTTATCTGTTCTCATAAGTTAATTTTATGAGGCTATTACCGTGGTAGTGCCAAAAACAGTTTCTGCTGTTGCACGAATGGGCAGGTTCGCCCAGGCAAGCACCACGGCCTCTCAGGAGACTGGCGTGAAGCGAAAATTTTGAAGTTTCGCGTTACGTTTGGTTAGCGAGGTCACAATTTTATAGGTTGTGAACGCATGAGCAAGTCATCGGGTGTTTTATATTTCTATGAGCGGCGGTGCTCATTTAACATCAGGTGAACCGCCCGCTTGCTTGACAATTTTTCACTTAACAAAAAGGTGGTCAGAACGGCGCGCGGTAATTTCTTTTTACAAGCAAACAGAAAACATGTGCAATCATAGTAAAACATTTTCAAGCGTCATCTATTGCTAAGCAAAAAAATGCCCCCATCCATGCCTCTCACCAAGAGGTTCTCATACGGAGACATGTGTCTCTTCGCCGCGGCCATCTGGGTGGTGAATTACTCTAGATCGCGAGGACAATTATGAACCACGACAGACAGCAAGAGGTCATCTCTCGGGACAGCCCCGTCTAAGTTGAGCGCTCCTCAGCGCGTGGTGAGCTGTCCCGTCTGCGCTTTCGTCATAGTGGTGGCTCTCTATGGTGGTAGGGCCACGCAGCAGTTTCGGCTGATGCACGAATGGACAGGCCCGTCCGGGTAAGTACCACAAACTCACAGAAGACCAGCGTAAAGTGGAAGTATGACAAATACTTTCGCGTTTCGTCTGGTGAGTGAAGTAGCCGGAGCCCAATTTTTCAAAAGGTTGCCAATGCATCTGTGACCCTCGGGATGTCCATAGGCGGCGGTATTCACTTAACATCAGGTGAATCGTCTGCTCGTTTGACAACTTTTCGCATAAAAAAAAATCAGCCCTGTGCCATGAGGGCGTGAGTCACGTGGTAGACGAGGATGCCGTGTCGACTTTTATCACAGAGAGAGGCATTTTAAATTCAGAGCGCCCTCTAACTTTAATTTGCAGGAAAATAATGGTGGCCTAGTTTAGCCCTTTTATTATAAAGACCAACTAGGAGGCTGCGACGAAACCACATTGAAAATATTCCACAATGACATTCTTAAGGCGGCGACTATCCTAACTACACTACATATCGCCGTCCATTCTATCCACTCTATCAATCTACTTCTCGTTTCAGGTTTGAACCACGCAGATAAATTATGGCCAGGTGCAAATGTCGTCGAAAACGGAGGTACGTGGACCTTTAATAATCAAATATCCTTTCTGGCGATAGCCGCTAATTATGTAATTCTGACAACAGTAGACGCATCCTTTACTCAAGAGCTTATAGCGAATAAACCTTGTTACTATTAAATGCAATGCAAGAAATGCGATAACCGGGACAATGCAGTTGGCACATCCAGCCCTTGTACAACATTGTGCATCATTTACTTTCTCCTCACCTAGGTGTGGAGAAGGTAAATGATGAGGTCGGCTGAACGTGTGATTCATGTTTGTAATGATATTTGCTAGGTTTTTTAAGATCAGCCGCCTACCTGACGTCACAGTCCTCCTTGGGAACAATTACCTATGTCACAGAAATACTAGTCCCGTGTGAAAATCGAACTAACGACCCCCGGTGCCGAAGCTAATAGGTCAGCGGCAGGCAGTTGCACCGCGCAGTCTGTCCATATAAAGTTACAATAAATAAATAAAACTAGAATGTCATGTCAATGTCAGTACATTAACATGGATTCTGAAATTGAAAAATATCATTTGGTGGCTTATCTTACACACTACGATAATAGAGGTGGTAAAACTTTGACCTGCTTTAGTCAGTTGCGAAACCCGACTCGATAATACTTTTTGCTGAAACCTGTAACACTTCTGACATTTTGTTCTTCTTTCAATTTCAGGAGGACTGGAAGGTCGTAAGTAAATGTTATGAATAATATTTGATTTTGATTTCATCATCACCAACAGCCGCAAGATGTCCACTGTTGAACATAGGCCTTCCCCTTAGAACGCCACAATGAACAACACTTTTCCGTTTGCATCCAGCCTTTACGATCCACACCACACTCTTACGATGTCGTCGGTCCACCTAGAGGGAGGCCTTTAAACGCTACGTCTTCCGGTTCGTGGTCGCCACTCTAGAACCTATACTCCCCATCGGTCTTCAGTTCTTCGAGCTATGTGGCCTGCCCACTGCCACTTCAAATTGCGAATTCGGAGAGCTATGACGGTGACTCCGGCTCCGGAAAGAATTTTCGAGCATATCTCTTTCCATAGCTCGTTCTGTGACTCTGAGTTTCTCCTGATGTAAGCTGTAGGTAGAAATTCTATCTTTGCATTAAATACACTCTTAAAAACTAAACTTCATAGAAAAACCTGTCAGAATTCTTTGGCGTCATATGTAAGGAGGAAATGGTAATCCAGGGTCATCATTTTTCTTCCTATCCTGAATTTATCGTGTGACCACTGTTCTATCTGACTTAAATCGTAGGTAGCAATTCTGTCTTTGCCTTGATTACAGGGTGTAAAAACCCACCTTCTGAAAAAAAAAAATGTTTAAGAATTCTTTGGCGTCATATGTACATTTCATATTTATGTGTAGATCGGTACTATCTCCTCTTCAGGAAGATCGCTGCTTAAAAGTTGTAGAGTGCACTCTGGCTAGTCCAGGGAAGTACCTACATAAATGTAAAGAAGTACATTAAGCTGCACCTATAAGCGAACAAGTGTCAAACTGAAATTGGCCATATTCTACCGCCTTTTCCGCTGAGTTGTATAATTCCAGGACAGCGGCCAACAGTACTGTGTATTCCTGGTTGATGATTATCGCTCAAGATCAAGGTCAACCGCTTCGTGCCATCCTCTCTGATAAATGAGCGGCTGACGAGCCACGCCATTTCCAGGGTATGCCGCAGCAGGACGGGCAGATTCAAGCGCTGCAGATACTGCGATCGGCGGTACCGAGTGAGGCTTCCGCAGCGACGGAGGCGACGCTCGGGCTGCAGGTGGCGGCGGTACGCGACTTTATTAGTAGCGTATTTGCGTTGAGGGGTAAAATGGGCGCGAATTGTCCGTGGCTTTGCACAAGCTGACGTTTATAGATTGGAATCGGGGTAGGGATCCCCTCGAAAGAGCTGTGAGTGACTGGGCGCTTTGCACACGCTGGCGTAGTTTTTATTGGGGAAGGGGGGTATTACAGAAAAACTTGCCTTATAGTATGTGTTGAATGGTGTGGCCGTTTGTCTGTGTAGTCTAGCGGAGTGGTCTTGGGAGTCAGTGGAAGGACCAAAACTGAATTTATTTCTTTTAAAAAGTTTAACTCTTTCCTTATTTAAATCTTGAATTTTTATTACGAAACTTTATCATAATAAGAATGAAGACCAATATTTACATCAAGATCAGCGCTTGGTTTTGTGCGCGATGTTATCTTGGACAGATTTGCTCTATAGACGTGGTGGTAAATACGAACTAAATTTTTATCAAACTACTTTAAAATAGAAGATTCTCATTATTTTCATGTTTCCTCAGAACTCCGTCATTTATGAACCGATTTTAAAGATTCCTACTTGCATTGTATCCGATTTATCTCCCATGTGGTCCCATATTATAATCATTTCATGGATGGATATTAGAGTACTCCACAATATCAAATAGAAAATTACTTATTAATGAGATATTTGGCATTAAGCCCGCCGTTTGTACCAGTTAGTACAAAAAAGTGTGTAAATAAATAAATAAATAAATATTTGAAGTCGTATTGATTTCTTGCCTTTACGCGAATATTTTTAAATGAATTACGGATTTATTTAATAACGGAACGATTACGAACCCTTTTTCCTTGCGTTTATGGTCACGGGATAAAGGTCTCATCTCGTATGTCCCGCGAGTGTGAATAGTTTATTGTTAGTAACAAAAGTCCTACTTTTTTTTCTTTTTTTTTTAACACTGCCCTTTAGGATAACGTTATCCTTTTTTTGTAAGGACGCTTGCAAACATAAATTTCACGTGGACAAACACTCAGATGTGAAACAACTATCTGTGGCCCACACAAATAGTTGTCCCGTGTAGTAATCGAACTTGCAACTGCGCCACGGGGACATCCCAGTTATCTCGCCGTTTTGTCCTATTTGTTAACCGACTTCAAAAGGAAGTTCTCGATTCGGCTGTATATTTTGTTCTTCAGAGCTTTTCATCGAATGAACCGATTTTGATGATTCTTTTTTATTTGAGAGCTGGTGCTTCCCACGGGTCCCATATCGATTTCATTGGTACTGTATCTTGGGCCCCGGAGATACCTAAGTATTACCAAAGGAACTCCTGAAAATATTCTACGAAATGAATACCGGGCGAGATATTGGATGTCGGTTTTGTTTTACGTTAGTAAAAAAATGGTTTATTTGGTGTACGGTTGCAGAGTGCGAAGATGTCGCTCGCGTTCCGTGGCCTTCCAGAACTGCGCGTACTGCCGGCGAATGGGCCGTCGCTCCCCCTCCTAGCAACGGGGGTGAGGAGCCACATTTAAAACTAGCCGACACCCGCGGCTTCGTCTGCGTCGTCTAATAAACGACTACACCGCCTGTCCGCACTTCGCAACAAGAAAACACCGTTACTGAACATGTAGTGTTTATAAAAATCGTCGTTTTCGGGTTCCGTACCTTGGGGTATCTTGGGGTAGAACGGGAACCCCGTCACAAAGACTCCGCTGTCTGTCTGTCTGTCCGTCTGTCACCAGGCTTTATCTCATGTACCGTGATAGTTACGACAGTTGAAGTTTTCACAGACGATGTATTACTGTTGCCGCTATAAAAACAAATACTAAAAAACAGAACGAAAAATATTTAAGTGGGTCTCCCAGACAACAGACATGAGTTTTTTGCCGTTTTTATGTATTTTTGCGGTTTTTAATTTTTTTATGTGTAATGTCAAGCGAGCCGGCGGTTCACCAGACGTTAAATTAATGCCACCGTTCACCACATCTACAACACCCGATGGATTGCTTATGCGTTAACATAATTTATGAAAGTAGGCCCCGATTACCTCGTTCGAACCGAAAAACCGGCCAAGTGCGATTCGAACTCGCGCACGGACGTTTCCGTACTATTATCTATAAAAACAGCAAAAGCGGAACAAAAAAACCTCATAAAGTAACAGCCTATACATGTCCCACTGCTGGGCAAAGGCGTCATCTATACAGAGGGTATCAGGGCATAGTCCACCACGCGGCCCCACTGCGGATTGGCGGACTTCACATATCTTCGAAATATATATGTTTTTTTTGTTATTATTTCGAAAATATGCAGGTTTCCTCACGATGTTTTCCTTCACCGCGGAGCACGTGATAAGTCAGAAAGTTAAAGACTTCATTGGTGCCGGCACCGGGAATCGAACTCAGGTTGCTCGAGTATATTGAATTAAAGGCGAGCGCCCGGACACTGAGATATCACGGCTCAAATACATCATAATTATGTGAAAATTTCAACTGTCTAACTATCACGGTACATGAGATACAGCCTGGTGACAGACAGACAGAGAGCCAGCCAGCGGAGTCTTGTAATTGGGTCGCGTTTTAGCCTTTAGGTACGGAATCCTAGAAACTTGTAAAACCGATGGACAGGTGTTCCGATGGTTATGTAAAAGACATGGTTATAAAAAGCGAATTTTCAATTGCAGCTTTTTAATTCAACACAACAGGTCTAGGATCTAGGATATGGTGAATAATCAAATGGTCATTTTATTATTTCAGTTGCTGTCTCCGCTTGTGCCGTCCAGTTTTAAAAACGTGATTTTTCGCAAACCGCGAGCAATATAAAATAAATACTTTTATTTTCATAAAACGATGGTAAAGGTATTTATCGAATGTCTCTTGTTTGGACCATGTGTTTGTAAATTAATATATCTTTTTTCCATATTTGGGTTTCTTTGCTATTCCAGCCACTTGAGCTATTTAAAAAAATGTCAAATTATCATCGCTATGGTATTAAATTCTCAGATTGCTATTTATTAATATTATTTTAATACTCGTAACCACATAAAAAAATTCGGATATAATTAATGCGCATGTGACATATTTGCATGTGTAAAATTCGAGACAAAAATTACCAGCGCATGATGTCGGGATCGAACAGCAAACAAAGGTTGCGAATCTGCTCGCCCAATCACTAACCATCAATCTGTGAATTTACAGTGACCTCACCACATCGACATTCTGATCATGCAACTTGATTGCAACATTGAGGCCGTGGCCTCGACCAGCGTGTTTATTAACCTTTGGTTTGTCGGAACGTAGATCTGCGCGCCAAATTGTGCTTCCGTTGACTGTCGGAACGTAGATCTACGCCAGATCGTTTGCGATTAATAGTGAGCTATTTGCTGACTAGATAGAGTTAATTTTCCCGTGAAACTCGATCGAGAAATTAGCGAAGGAATGAATGAACCGTACTTTGATAGCTAAAAGTATTATTACTGGTAAAAACCTATTTATTCTTTCACAACTATTTCGAATATCTCCATGTTTTCATTTAAATATTTGAATTACTATTTTTTGTGAAATAAGTATCGAAAACCGTAAGTATTTTTTCTTTTCTTATTATTTAGTATATAAAACAATGATAACGTATCGAAAACTGCAATACTAAGAATTTAACGAGATACGAAGAACATAAAATGTATGTATCCGTTCGTCATCTCTCTTTCATTTTCGACTAACTGATATTTCGTAGTTTGAATTACACATTCTTATTATCTTACACATCATTTTGATTCTATATAGATATTATAAATAAAATGTAAATTTGGAAAAAACTTTCCATCTAACAGAAATTTCGTTTTCAAATTGTAACGTATAAAAACTTGGAAATATAGGATGTTCATAAAAGTAATTTTTTTTGTTCTCGAGTTGAACATTACGCCATCGCTATAAAATGTAAATTACTCCATCGCTATAAAATGTAAAGATAAGGTAGAGAACATTTTATCCACTTAGTGTTAATTTACCTATTTTAATGAAAACGAACAAAAATATATTATTGGAAGATAGAAGGGTACACTGCAACAGTCTATAAAAGGAACAGCGCTAGCCATTTTCGGGGTCAATCCGTAAGTCGTAGGTGCCGTCACCTACAGACCCTTACCGCTAAGTACGTTCCGTCGCAAATGGCGCAGATCACGACACATCCTCGATTTTCCTGGTGATGAGACGACTATTGCCATCGACAGGATAAAACAATAACGCAAACACACCAGATCACAGCGCACTCGCCGGCGAGTAGAAGCGTCGTTGGAGTTTCTTCCGCCACTTTTCCCAGCGCCAACGCTTTCCGGAATGGTAGTCGTGTTAGACCTAGAAATTCGAGCCGAGGTCTGGCCTTCTACGGCACCCTCGAATCGGAAAGCTAAATGGGTGTTGAGTGACAGCCTAAGCTGAGATCCCCTCTCGAGTGTCCTTGAGCCTAGACACTCCATGGAGCGTCCACCAAAGCGCCGTTCCTTTTATAGATCGTTGCAGTGTGAAATTTAATTTTTTTAATTTTTTTTAATGGTAAAAAAGCAGCAAACTAGCAGGAGGCTCACCTGATGGTAAGTGGTCACCGCTGCCCATGGACATCTGCAACACCCGAGGGCTTACAAATGCGTTGCCGGCCTTTTAGGAAAGAGTACGCTCTCTTCTTGAAGGTTCCCACGTCGTAACGGTTCGGAAAGACCGCCGGCGGCAGCTGGTTCCACAGAGTGGTTGTGCGAGGCAAGAAATGCTTTGAAAATCGCGCTGTTGTGGAACGCTGGACATCAAGGTGGTGTGGATGAAATTTTTGGTTTTGGCGCGATGTCCGATGGTGAAATTCAGCCGCCGGGATTAATCCAAACAATTCCTCGGAACACTCCCCTTGATAGATGCGGTAGAATATGCAGAGTGATCCAACATCTCTACGCACAGCCAAAGGATCAAGCCGATCGGAAAGACCTTGATCGTCAAAAACCCTAGCTGCCCTACGTTGAATGCGGTCAAATGGAAGAAGTTGGTAACAGGGGGCTCCAGCCCAGAGGTGAGAGCAGTACTCCATGTGGGGCCGAATTTGCGCCGCGCATTTTTTAATGAGGAGTCACGACAAATGGGGACTTTTTAGGGGTTAACGCGCAAACTTGTGTCGTATTGGGGTTGAATTGGACTAAGTTTAGTCGACCCCAGTCTGAGACTTTTGTTAACAAAGTCTCGACTTCAGACACAAGTTTGTTCCGGCTCTCGTAGACGTTTTCCCGAGAAATGTTAGCACGGCCAGTGTACGACACATCCACAGTGCTATCATCCGCATAGCAATGAACACTGCTGATTTGCAACATATCATTGATATGCAGAAGAAACAAAGTGGGAGACAGTACGCAGCCTTGTGGAACACCAGCATTGACAAATTTAGGATCAGAGCATGCACCGTCGACGACGACCTTGATGCTCCGATCTGCCAAAAAGCTGGTGATCCATTTGCATAACTTCCCGGGAAGCCCATAGGATGGCAGTTTCGAAAGAAGTGCTTTGTGCCACACCCGATCAAAGGCTTTCGCTATGTCCAGATTGGCTGCAAGCGCCTCCCCCTTGCTCTCAACTGCTTCTGCCCATCTGTGTGTCAGGTAAACTAGAAGATCACCGGCTGAGCGACTTCGACGAAAGCCGTACTGGCGGTTACTAATCACCTGGTGCTCCTCTAGGTACCGCAGGAGCTGGCAGTTAATGATGGTCTCCATTATTATTATTATTATAGGCCATGTAGTTGGACGGATCCGAGCTGTTGCCTTTCTTATGGATAGGGTGCATTAAAGCGGCCTTCCAGGATTTCGGGAATACGCCTAGAGTATAGGAGATCCGGAGAAGAGTTATCCAAAGTCGAGTTGGACGCGAAGAGAGAGCCCATAAGATCGGCTTTCTACTTCGCAGCATGGGCCAGCGAGTCATCCTCCGTGTGCAGGGGTGGAAAAGAAGGCTTACAGAAATTTCCCAAGACAGCTTTGGCGAGAGACCAAAACGCACGGTTTCCCGTTGGGAGACGCGCCAATCTCTCACCAATTCTGCCAATGTGTTCCTATTTCGCCTTAGCAATAACACTTTTGAAGGACCTAGAGGCAGAGTTATACTTCTTTTTTAAAGCGCTGGTTTTTACATCACTTGACGTTGAAGCGTCAGCCCAAGCCTGGTAGCAATCCCGCTTTCGGCGTAATGCCAACTTACAGGAGCGACCAAACCAAGGCTGCGACTTGCCACCAATGGGCACTGCAGAGAACGGAATAAAGAGTTCCATACCTTGAAGCACCACATCAGTCACTGAGTCAGCAACGACGCAGACGTCGTTCGGGTCATCCGGCGAGAAGCAAATCTGCCCCCATGGGTAGGACAAAAAGAGTGTCGAGGCGACGAGAGCATATAACCTCTCTGACGTACACGCACACCCCAGCCCGCGGCACAAAGGAATGTTCCAGTTTGTACCCCGGGTAGGAGAGGAATGAGGTGTCCGCTGGAGAAGATATCTGCGTCTCGGTAAGGAAGAGCAAGGCTGGCTTCGCCGTCTCAAGATGGAAGTGGACGGCGTTTAAGTTGGAATTTAGCCCCCATGTTGCAAAAGTTCACGGCATGCGAGGAAGGGGTGGCCTTATGTTGCCTGCTCCGTTTGCCCCGATCAGATGTAGAGAGCGCAATATTGCGCCCCGCCCCCCTCCCCCCCAGAATACGAAGGGCAGCCTGGGCGTTCACGCTCAGACGTTGTACGGCCTGCGCGTGGACGTCCAGAGAGGGATTCTCCGCCGCGCTGTATGCTGGTGGTAGCATACAGCGCTCCTGGGGTAGAAAATTTAAGAAATTCCCTGGGCGTGCCGGCTCAATTCGGCTGCTACTCGAAGGTGCGCAGCATGGCACTACCACTAGTTGGGTTGACTGACTGCACTGGTGGAATAATCTCTGTCACAAGATTATCCCACCAGCGGGCGATGGGGTCGTCACGTCCCGACGCCAGAAATTGTTTATATGCTGTAAAGGATGGAAGAATAAATACACCAAGCTATGCTTGGAATGCGAAAAAACAATTAATACACAAAAGATTTTTTTAGTTGATCCTGTGTTGTAAGGACGTTTTACAAACATAAATTTCACGCGGACAAACACCCAGTTGCGAAACAACTATCTGTGGGTCACACAAATAGTTGTCCCGTGTGGGAATCGAACCCACGACCCCCGACGCCTTTTTTATTGAAAGTAGGAAAGAAACTTACTTGAAAATTTAAACATCCTCTATAGTCATATAGTCAGTGTCGGAACGTAGATCTGCGCTACTAACGCACCAATAAATTATGATATTTATACTCAAATTTCTTAAGTTTTATCAAAGAAATACACATTTCATTTATATTTATTCAAAACAACATGTATTCTGTTTTCATAACATGGAAATAATAAAACTAAAACGTTTATCATGAATTACAAAATTGCGCGACTGTTTTTCACCGACAGACAACGCATTTTTCATAGTGCGCTACCCGACAGACCAAGGTTTAATTATGCCTTTTGTCATGCAATCCCTCTACACGGTCATTTACCTAGTTCTTTTTAACAATCATGACAGGAAACGTACGCGCGCACGCGCGCGCGCGCGCCTCTACACAAATTGTATTTGTTGCTCGTACCTTATTAGTCTGTCAAAAGGAAAACTGTAATTTAATTATTAATCAGTAATTTTGTTCATCTCATAATTTGTAATCATACTGTAGTTTCCCATATAACAATAAAATAAAATATTGACTAGACGAGAGAGAACATGAGTGTTGTGAATCGAGTTTCGGGAGGTAAAAGAAGAAACTCTTGCCAAAGGTCAGCTATTCCTTCAATCATGTGCTTCAAGATGGTAGCACAAGGGCGGTAAAGGACTACTGCCTTTCTCGATGTGGGGTCATAAGTTCTGTCAAATAGTGAAAGCTTTTAAATTTTCAATGTTGGCCAAATGCTTATTGAATTCGAATTTCCAACGTAGAAAATAAAAATTTACCGTATTTTGAATTTCGTTGAATAAATTTTTAAATATTGTAACAACGACATTGCCATTGTTAAAAAAAACCGGCCAAGTGCGAGTCGGACTATCACACGACGGGTTCCGTACCATCTTCTATAAAAACGGTAAAAAAAAATCATGCCTGTTGTATAGGAGCCTCGCTTAAATCTATTTTTATTCTGATTTTTACTATTTGTTGGAATAGCGGCAACAGAAATAGAGTATCTGTGAAAATTTCAACTGTCGTATCTTTCATGGTTCATAAGTTATTACAACCTGGTGATAGACGGACAGACCGACAGACAGACAGTGGAGTCTTAGTAATGGGATCCCGTTTTACTCTTTGGGTACAGAACCATAAAAAACACATTATGTAGGTACTTAATAGACAAATAATAATTCAATGATATGATATCTAGGCTTTAATAATTAGTAAAATATAATATTATGTAATTAAAAAAAATGGCACATATTCTATAATTATTATTTAAACCTTTCATTATAAAACGAAACTGACTACCTTAAAATCATCAGTTAAGTTTTGAAAGCAAAAACATCAGTTAATACAAAATATAATATTATGTATTAAAAAAAATTGTCACATATTCGATAATTATTAATTAAACCTTTCATTATAAAAAGAAACTGACTACCTTAATATAATCAGTTAAGTGGATCACACCTCACATAAAAAATACTTTCACTCTTTGTCCCAAATGAATCCGCCCAGTAGGAATTTATGCATATAGACCGAGGTGAAAATGTTGGTAGCCGGGTGCTCTCCTCCCGCGCCAATGTTGACGATCAGTGGCATTAAATGATCCGCTTCGCCAGGCGGATGCGATTCCAAGCCCTGCGGCATTTGATCCCATGTCATAATCTTCTCTTTTTCTTTGCTACCCGTGCATACGTCGTTTAAGAAGCGATCGAAAATCTCGTTCACGACGACCCTGTCGTTTATCCGTTCCGCCTTTCGAAATTCCCGCATATTGTGATACGACATCCCCGAACCGAAGATCGCGACGCCCTCTTCGCGGAACCGATACAGTACTCTTCCTATATCGAAATGCTGTTTCGCATCCTGATTCTTCAATATGGACACCTGAACGATGGGTATATCCGCGTTCGGATTGATAAGCATCATCGGAATGAAAACTCCGTGGTCCCAACCTCTTTCGTCGTCCAACGTAGACGGGATCCCCGCGTTTTCGAACGCTTCGTGTACTCTTCGTGCCAACGCCGGGTGGCCGGGGGCGCCATATTTGAACGTGTAACTCACCGGTGGGAAGTTCGAGTAGTCGTATATTAAATCGTGATGAGTCCCCGACGAGATCGTTACTACTTCCTCCTCACGATGCGCTGTCACAACTATTATTGCTTTCAGCCGCCTCATGTCAACAATTTTTGATACGTTGCGTAAGGACTCAGCAATATCTAAGTCGTCTTCAACACCCAAAATCGGGTTGGGACCGCCGCCATGATTGAGGAAAACGGATGGCGCGAAATACACCGAGTCTTGACAGTTCGCCATAGCTACTAACAGCAACAATGTTAAATAAGGAAACAATCGAATAAAATTCGTGGTACTGATATGATAGAACATTGTTGATCAATTTAAAGCGTAGCAATTAACACAAGATTTATTTTAGATGTGAATGTGTAAACACTTTGTTGAATTTAAAGACTAAACCTATATACGTTAGTACTATTTAAAGCTTGATAGGTTATCAAAGGTCGTTCCTTTATCGATATTATTATGTTAATAGTGTGGGAGTCCATGACTTTGATTTTTGACGCGCTTGTATATTATATAAATCAGAAAGTGTCTAGTCTGCCACCAGGGGCCATTTACTAAATAGAATTACCTAGCAGCTACTATCTCTAGTATTAGAAAAAAATTCTACCGCAAGTTGCAATCCAACATGGTTTAATTTAAAAATAAAATTGCCGATATAGCTCATTGTTCGGGCGTTCGTTTTTAATTCAATACAGTCGAGCATCGAACCTGAGTTCGATCCCCGGTGTCGGCTCGTGCTCAGCGGTGAAGGAAAACGTCGTGAGGAAACCTGCATATTTTCCAAATAAAAAAGAAATCTAAGATATGTGAAGTTCGCTAATCCGCAGTGGAGCTGCGTGATGGAATAGTCCAGTATAATTTATGTAAAGTAAGCTATTAGGGCATAGGCCCTAATACCTTACTTTACATATATTATAGCGTAGAGAAATAGTTGTTATAATTGTAATCTAACATAAAATGCTATTCTGCTCCAAGTTATTACTCATTGGAACATGCAATTGTGAATTACTTATTGCAATTTTTTTTATCAAGAAATAAAATTAGCCGTTGTTTTAACGTTTTAACATTGGGTCTACCCAAAAGAGAAAAAACAGTAATAGGACTTTAACATCGAAATACGTGTTGTAGGATGTAAATAAAACGGTACTTTTCCGTTAGCCGGGCGCAAATGTTTGCTCTTGCTATGTCGCAGCAACCTTCACGGCTTGCTCCACTCAGTATCTCCGACCTCCGACGCGAGCTTCTGGCTCCGCATATTTATGTTCACTCTACGGGGGAGAGACCTCATGACCATAAGAATTAGGGTGCTCTGTGCTGGATCTCTGATTCACTTTGATCCTAACCTAAAAATTCCTCTATAAGAATCCACATAATACCATTATTTCTTGTTCTAGCGAATGCGGCAGAATAACATTATTATTTTTACTTACCACTCATCATATCAGCCGTAGGACGTCCACTGCTGAACATAGGCCTCCCCCATTGACTTCCACTTCGACCGGCTTACCACTAGTGGCAGTGTATTCATTTTAATAAAATGGCTACTGATGGCAGAATAGACTATACACTTCTTATAACGAATATGTCAGAGCCGTATAAATTGATTATTTTTATATTCAGTGCTAGTCTCTGCACTTGAAATGAGTGGTGTAGTGGTCGTAAAATTTTATTTCTCTTAATATAGTACCTAGAGCATCTGGGCGCGTAACCCAGACTTTTGAATCCTAACACATTTCACGTAAAAATTAGCAGAGCTAATTTTAATCACTAATTGATGCTTGTTTCAGCGAATTCCTAAGCGATTAGGAACAAGCATTTTAAACAAAATTAATTTTTAATATAAAAATATTGTAAGAAATGATCTTTTTCTAATATGTGAAAAGAAAACTTTAACTGTTAATTTTTTTTTACACACAGCATAGTTTTAAACGATGGTAAAGTTCAGTTTGTTAGCTCTTATACTATAATTGGATTGGCAAATCGCGTATTTTTGCGTTTTGTCCTAAGAAAAACCTTGGGATTTCCAGTGGGTTAAATCCATTTAATGGTCACACATTTACAAGTTAAAGAACATTTCTTTCTGCCTGCCGTGTTAAGTATGAGTTATAGTAGGTCATGGCTTCCAATTTGCGGAGTTTTTAACGGTCCATTGCTTTAATTACTTAACTGCCCTAACCTGTAATTGCACATTAAAATATCAGTTTAATTCAGATGAAGCTTTAATAGTCTCGGGACTGAAAGCAAAAACATCAGTTAATACAGCATTAAAATATATGAAGAATAAAGGAAAAATCTAATTTTCAACAAAAGATATATTTCCCCATAAATAACTTTAAAAACAACTTACATTATCAATCTTACACATAGTTTTTTTTATAAAATAGACTATAATTTACTTTACTTAGCAAAAATACAATTTTCAATGGTCCCTTAACATTAGTACAGATAATTGTATCAGCTTCCAAAGAAATAACTAATATACAAAAGGTAATTTTTCATTCATTAGCAATTAATTTTTTAGGTTACAGAAAAACACTAATATAGAATAGAAATAAAGAACTATGTATGAAAACATTCTTGAAAAAACAGATATAAAAAATTGCAGAGTAAATAATCATTCAACAGTTTAACACCTTTTTGCTGACTACAATGTTACAGTAGTACCATATTTTAGTTAAATGTGTACACTTTAGGTTTGTTCAAGTAATAAGAAGGATAAAAATGTCCATAACCAAGTCTATGTCATCAATTTGTGCCAATGGTTTGTGAAATAGATGAAAACAATTTATTGTATTCACAAGTTAGCAATATAAGACACATCTGCTGGAAATTATGCAAAATATATTTATACATTACCACCCATATATCAACGTTATTTAAACTGTTTTTTTTCCTTTGCTTAAGTCTTTAATGTGAAAAGCCGAAGCTATCAGCCGAAAATAGCTTCATTAGACTTAAATATAAACTATTACAAATCTGTTTCCAATGAAATTGTGATTTATGTAATGGCAAAACATAAGCATTCATATCATCTTTAATTTATGATATTTACAAGTCGGCAAAAGGAAATATTTGTTTCAAATGTGAATGTTAAAATAAATTTAAAATAGTGCCATGTTTATTAGTGACAATGTCTAACATTTATTCTCCTCTCCAAATGAATCCACTTAAGCGGAATGTTCCACTCATATCCCAGTTGAAAATCCTTTCTCCAGGTGCTGAGCCGCCTGCACCTGCTATAACAATCAAAGGCATGAAGTGTTCTGCAGCATGTGGAGGGTGTGCTTCCGATGCTCCTGGTTGATTCCTCCAAGACAACAGTCCCTCTCTTCTTTTCTCTTCACTATTAGCAGTACACACCTCATTAAGGAAATCATCAAATTCCTTATTTATAACTTTCTTCAAACTCCTACTGTGCCTAAACTCTCTCATGTTATGATATGACATTCCAGAGCCAAGCACTGCTATCCCCTCCTTCCGGAACTCATACAAAGCTTTTCCAAGGTTGTAATGTTGTTCGGGATCTTGATTGCTCAATACGGATACTTGAATAATTGGTACATCTGCTTCAGGGTTTATAAGCATCATTGGTACAAAGACTCCATGGTCCCAACCTCTCTTTGGGTCAAGTCTACACTCTATACCAGATTTTTCTAAGCTCTTTTTTATTCTATCAGCCAGCTCAGGGTTACCAGGAGCGTCGTATTTGTATTTATATGATTCAGGAGGAAAGCCATAGTAGTCAAAATATAAGCTATGGTGGTTACCCGAAGATATTGTCACTTTGTTCTCTTCCCAATGCGCTGTGACCAATATTATAGCCTTAAGCTCTTTCAGATTCACGTGTTTCTTCACCTCGTCACGTAGAAAAACCGTCAGGCCTTCATGGTCCTTGTCGCCAAGAAGCGGCAAAGGTCCACCGCCGTGGTTCACAAAGAGCGCCGGTGCCAAGCCAATCATTTTTCTGAAGCCCGTGAACTGTCTAATAATGTTCATAGAGAGCAATGACATAAACACTACGAATACCACTTGTATCAAAATTGATAATGTATTTAAAATGAGCATGAATTAGCACTTTTAATGTAACTTAACAAAAGTAATAGTTGCATCAGATCCGAATTGGTTTATTTATCCTTGAAAGGTCATGAGTAATTACACCAATTACAAATAAATAAGAAACTTGCATCGCATGTTTGATTACATTACATTACTCACTTTATTTTGACATAATATGTCATTTCTTACGTAACTTCAATTAGAACGTACAATCAATCAGCCAATCACCATCTTTAATTTTAGCGTTCAATAATTTGATATACCATGATCAGATAAAAATAATATTTTTTAAAATATGTATTTAATAATCTTATTATTGATCATAAAAAAGATACTAAGTAATTAATTAAACAAATAAAAACTATATTCATTGGCTTATATAGTACTAACATGTGAAGCAATGAAAATTCTATAATCATCAATATCACTTCCAGCTTGTGAAAAGCACTTTCACTAGTGAATATATGATAATAATAAAATGATGACATTGATGTTTTCTAAATATTCTATTGATTTCGAAACCGTTTTTGTGATGTTTGTTGTTAGTCCGACAGTTTTGATAGCTTAGTCAGAAGGACCTCTAGCTTCATAGCAAGCACGTAAACAACTAGTGGTCTCGTGAGAACAAGGTTCGTCCAGGTAAGTACCAAGACCTCGCAGAAGACCGATGTGAAGTAGAAGTGTCATACTTCTGCGTTTCGTCTGTTGAATGAGGTAGCCGGGGCCTCGTTATTAAAAGGTGGCGACGCATCTGCAACCCTATACGGGTGTAGCAAATCTGCATGGTCAGTGGTTATTACTTAATATAAGGTGAACACAAAAAAAAAAAGGTACTTCACGACCCGAGGGCCCGTCAGAGATGGAAGATTGAACCTCGCGGTCGTTGAAACAATGGACTGCGATCGATAGTGGAACGCACCTATACATCCTATGTATCAAGAAATAAGGTCGAAATTGTGATTTAAAAAAATGATTTACTGTATAAATTGTTTGACGCAACCTAATACAGGTTCATTTAATTTTTGTACAGTTTCTTCTCACGAAACCCTTGCATGCGATAAAATCTGTCGACTCTGTCGATGATAATTTCAAGGATATGATCACCTTTTTCCTATGATTACCTTACCCCTAAATCATTAATTTTTCATTGGATACTGGATTTTTCTCTTCCTTATGGGTTATTTCAAACTTATTAAGATTTCACTTTTGTCTCTATGTTACCCTTCCTTTCCGAGGTACACTTGAGTCCTACGTTTCTTTTTTTTTTTACTTTCTTCTTAGTAGCGAGTAGACGGTACCACCGTCGGCCTTCTCGACATGTATGGAAAGTACCAAAGTAAATGATTAAAAAGAAAAATCGATTAAAACCATAATAGTATGATTTTAATAAATTTTTGCGAACGCCTTTAATACCGTCAGTCACGACATACATCCTATTAGCAATCCTCTCCTATTCAATGATTTCCGATGAAGCGTTGGAATAGTTTTCATTATATCTTCGAGAGCGCCAGCAGGCAGTTACTATTGGTATCGGTATCGGTCATCGGACCGCTACAGTGTTCGAAGCGTACAACCGGACAGATTAAACCACCGATATCTCGACCGGAGCGGTCTAGTGGATTGCTGATGATCTGCAGCTGTATTTTCAGACGACTATTGATAGGCTTCCAGAAATTTTATATAAAGTATTATAAGTATAAATTCATTATATAAAGTAGTTTAAATTAGTAACTCAGTTGCCATCAAAAAGTAGTATTATTGCTGTTTTTCTTTTGCGATACGCTTCTAGCAGGGTGTGAGGGGGTTATTCTATGGGTTATAATTGAGGATCAAACAAAATAAAATTAGCGAATAAAAAAAATATCGAGACCGATTCAATAGATCGACGAGACGCGCTCGCGCTATTTTAAATTTTAAAACGACTAATTTTTAATCATTTGTCCTAAACTAAGATTTATTAGTAGACCATTAGAACTGTTATTCTCAACGAAGATATCTTCTTCTGATTTAGTAGTAGAGAGCTTTGTATTTTAACGTTAATTACGGCTGCATCATTCGTATTATGTACAAGCTTTATACCTTGAATTTTCGTTATTGAATCTTCCACAAGTATATATGTTTTGTTTCTTGTAGTCTTTTCTTATGTCGTTTATGAGGAAAAAACCACTATCGAACGCAGGTATCTACTGATGGATACCGAATATGCATGAGAGTGTATGTGCCACACGATCTTGGAATGGATTAATACAGTTTATTGATCTAATATTTACAAGAATAGATCTATCTAAAATTACATATTATCTAATAAACCTAATCCACGCGGCATGATGCCATGAACGATAGCTGCATTTCTTCGCTGAATAGTTATGCTTAATCTATGAGCGAAAAAAAAACAGCTCTCTTGTCACCAGCCGCGGCGTTAACCCTCGGACATAAACTTTTAAAAAAAATTCATTGACGGGGACCCCACGGACCTAAAGTTTCAACAGCAAATGGCACAAACACAATCTAAACATAAAGACTCATATTTGTGCCATTTACTTACTTCCGCTGCCTCCGATACCACCTTGGCCCTGACCAAAGTACCCCTTACATGAGAGGCAGCCAAAGTGTCTACATAAGTAGCATCCCAAACAAGGGCTTTGCCTCTCTACCAAAGTTAAACCGTCGGGCAGTGGCGGACTAACCAGGGGCCGGAAGGGGCGGTCCGCCCCGGGCCCCAGTCTTAGAGGGCCCCCAAACAACTTCATGTTCCCTTGAACAAATCCTAAACAAGGCTTTAAATTTTGCTTTGTACCTATCTAAGAGGTTGGAGTTTGGAGGTCCCATACTAATATTTTTTCTTTCAAAATAAAATAAATAAAATCACAATCATTTCAGATAAAATACAGCCGGAACTGGTTATTTACATTTCATAAATAAAATTACTGCTACTGCTAATCGGGGCGTAGCAAAGCTGTGTCAGCCGTATCAGTGATGCGGGGTCCCCGAGCCCAAGGTCTCTGTAGGCCCCGAACGGATGAAAACAAAAATTTCACAATCTCTTAAATTATTAAGTCGTACATCCCGGGAAAAAAATGATAACTTATACAACATCATCTAAGGACTCATTCTCCTACATGAACAATAAAGTCATACACAAGTTTTGATCATGTTTGCGTAGTAATTGCACGAAATCAAATCTTTCAAAGTTCTTTATTTTAACCTATTTAAAAAGAACTTCTTTTAAAGCGAAAGGTGAAATAAATTATTTTAGCCCCACGATTCAAAATGAAATTGTTAATTTGGTTTTTTAGCGCAGTTAAAGAAAAATATTGTTTCCGTCAATCCGCAGTGGGGCCGCGTGGTGGACTATGCCCTGACTGGCCTCTGTATAGAGGAGGCTTTTGCCCAGCAGTGGGACATGTATATATATGTGGCTGTTACTTTACTTTTTTTATAAATTAAATAAGGTCAATTTCTGGTGACTATTTCGGATACAGATTTTTTTTATGTGAAAAGTTGCCAAGCGAGCAGGCGGTTCAACTGATTTTAAGTGAATACCGCCCATGGACATCTGCTTCAACCGAGGGTATGCAGATGCGTTGACAACCTTTTGAAAATTGGCGTCCGGCTCTCTCCCTCACCAGACGAAACGCGAAAGTATTTATTATACTTCCACTTTACGCCAGTTTCCTGTTAGGTCGTGGTACTTTCCCGGATGAGTCTGCCGATTCGTGCAACAGCCAAGGCTGCTGCGTGGCCCTACCACAGTAGAAATATCATAATGGATAATTTAAAAAAATTTTTACTTTTTTAGCAATAATATTAAAACGCTGGTCAAAGTTGAGTAACAATTCATCTGAAAAATATAAAATTAGATACTTCTTAACCTTAAAAAAGTTTATCCTGACAGAACATGGTCGAGAAACGAACGTTAGTTAGGTTAAGGAAAAATTATTCATTAATAATTAAATTTTTGTAGCAATTAAATTAATTTTCACAAAAAAAAAAAAAACGAACGTAACAATTGTAAAAATATAATTAACACGCAGAGAATTTATTTATAATGCTTGTCGTCTTTTTTTCTTCACTATTAGAAATCGACTAATAGAAAGTTAATATTTTACTAAGTATTATTTTCACGAAATAATAAAAACTTGTAGAAACACACAACTGTCTTATAAAACAGTCACGACATAAAAAAACATGTTTAAACCCTGAAAAGGTTTAATATCATTCCAATATGGAACTTATGAAATTATTTTGGATAAAATTCAAATGACTTGCATCGTTTTCCTGAGGTAATAACAGTATGGTTTCTATTTTTAAACCCAGGTTTAAAATTAAGTTACAGTTGTAACCAGAACAACTGCAACGGATGAAAATTCGTATAGTTTTTCGTAATTAATACTGATATTAATTACGAAAAACTAATTAATACATATAACGGATAATATCCGTCGGATATCACCTAAGTCACTATTTTATATAGCGGCAGTAAATCTAGAAAAAGTAAAATCGTCTTCGCTATGGATGATTTAATAAGTAAATTTTCCGAAAAAAAGGGGAGAAAAGTGTATATTAATTCCAGGTTTTTGTTTCTTTGGTAAAAAATCTTTACTCTTCATGTGGGCCGATACGGTTTTGATACGGTTTGGCACGATACGGTTTAAATAATCATAAACGCTTATACATATAAATGTATTGTAAATAAAAAGCTTGTTTAATTAGATCAATTCCTGTTAGTCAGTTTAACTAGGGGCCTCATTCAGCTTTACCGCCCCGGGCCTCTGAAGGCCTTAGTCCACCACTGCCGTCGGATCTCTTACTATCGTCGCGAAATATGCCACAGGGCTCTAAAATAGATGGAACATCGGTGGAAACAAGAGCCCTACGGATGATGTTGTTCAGGGAACCGTGGCGAGAAAAGCGACCAACACTTTTTTGACACGAAAGCCAGTGGAGACCAAATTTGTCTACATGACACCACAAAGACATTGGGGTGGTTATAAAATCGGTGCCCCCTAACGGATTCCTACAGCATAAGCTTGCGTAAGCTTTCATCGTCAAGTAATGTGCCCAAGTTGCTTGATGGTATAGCGTGAAGCCAATAAACTCAATACTTTAGATGAGACGCCTAGGAAACGGGCACGCTTTAAAAAAACTTTCGAAAGATTCCCTCTGTTTTTGTAAATTTTCTTCCAGTGGGATATTTTCGTTGGAGCATATAGACAGGCAAGGCATCCTCCTCGGCATAGGAAAGTTCTGAATTGTGATTAAGGATATTAAATTGAATTAAAGATATTACATTGGAATTACCCAAGATCATAAACTTACTTATGGCAAGCATAATATAGGTAAAATTGAATGAAAATTGAAGAGCATCTATAGCGTTGGATTGGAATTCGTCATTTGTAGAATACATCTGTTTTTCACGACCTAAAACCTATCAAAATTCTTTACTGCTCCTATGTTAGACCTATACTAGAATATGCCTCCCAGGTTTGGAGTCCATAATACGAAATAAATAAATCACGTATTGACTATATTCAAAAAATATTCTTAAAATATCTAGATCAAAAAGTACTTATAAAGTCTCGAGATAGCCGTATAGATGTATAGATGTAGTTGGTAATATTTTGTTCCATTATATGTTAATAATTAAAAATTGTTTACGCATCAATTCACTCACCTAGTTGTTATCTGAAATCTTGTTTTATGTTCTTTTACCAAACAACAGAAAACGCAAATCTTTTCACACCAATTTTGCTGTTGCTTTTTCTATATCTTAGTTAATGTTATTGTACTCATTTCTTCTTCGTTCTTTTATTACTTTTAATAGCGGCAAGTTTTCTAAATAAAATAAAATGAATAATATAGTATATTGATAATAATAATTGACAATCTTCTTGCATTTAGGATTTGGGTTTTCTATTTAACTACATTGTTTTCGAACGTTTGATATATGTATGAGGGAGATCGAGTATGATAAAAAGAGACAATATGATTTCATTCGCGACTAGCAATGGCGGCTTTGTGAGTTGTCCTTTTCGCACCAAATTTTCTCATTTTAATGTTATCAAAACAGAAATTAATGTTTACGTTTGTTATGTTACTGTTGCTTCTGTAACACCTTAATTGTTTTTTAGACACAAATGTTGTTTTGAGCACATATAAAAGACAATGATTGATACTGGGCGAGGTGATTTTGATATTGTACCCTTAAACGCTTCAAAATCAGCCAACGAAGCATTTGAATTGATTTCGCGTCCGTATTAATATTGAAAGTATATTAATAGTGCAAAGATGGATAAGAAGAGTAAAAAGAAAACTGTCATAAAACGGAAAAGTGAGGACCCTTCCGAGAGCGAGAAGAAAAAAATCATGGTTAACAGAAAAGCCGAAGAGGAGAAAGAAAAAATTGAGGTGGTGAATCAAGTGGTGGAGGTACCCGTGGAGCAGGGGCAACAGATCGTGCACACAGGCCAACTGGTCGAGGGGAACTTCGAGCAACCGGTGTTTGTAAATATGAAAGGGGAGCCCGTGCAGTTGGGCCCTAACACGGTTATATTGTACGAGCAAAGCGGGAATCCGTCGAATTTCGCCTTCGGCGGCATGTGGACCATGGACTCCTCCGGCAGGATCGTTATGGCGGAGACGATTTACGACGTGAAGGGTGAACCCGACGAAGAAGCCGGCACGTTCGTACAGAACGCCACCGAAGTCAGCAATGTGAGTAGCGGAATTTGTCCCCGCTGCAAGTTCAGGCTTCAGTTTCATAAAAGAAAACAAAGTTATCTTCCCCTGACTGAAGAAATGAAAAGTTTTTCTTAATTTTTAGTGTACTGGAACAAAGTCTAGTTATCTGGCCTGTAGCTTGCAATTCCCTTATTTCATTTATGCATAATTACTTAAGAAGGGTCTATCAAGCTTGTGGAAAGCTATGTGCCCAATGAAGCTTTATATAGTACTAGAGGATTGGGCACACATCCTGTACACACAACATAAATCATTAGATAAAAAAAAATTGTGAGCCATTCTCGAATCGACCTGAAGACACAAAATTTCATTAAAATTGGTCAAGCCATTTAGGAGGAGTTCAGTGACATACACACATACAGTAGGACTATATATATAAAGATAAGGACTGTGAAAGCACAAACCTTTTCATGACAAAGACAAAAATAGCACACAAAATGTCTACTGTTAATGATTAATTTTTGTACCACTACCTCAAGTTCATGCCATTCAAGATATATTTTTCACACACAATTGTTTTATGAACTGAAATCTATGTAATCAATTCTATTTTATTTATTTCAACTTGTTGACAGTTCTAATATGCATTACAGCAAGCAGTAGAAGAGCAAACTAGTACATATCAGCAGTACGAACTTAGCAGCAATGCTCAAGTTGAAGGCCAAGAATATGAGGTGGCGATCATTGAAAATCCAAGTGATGCAAATGAAAGGTGAACAAATAAATTTGTTTTGTCTGATTAAAAGTTAAAAACCAGCCATATACAATTCGAACTCATGCATGAAGTTTCTGTACAATTATCTATAAAAACAGCAAAAATAATCATAGCTGTTGTATGGCAGCTAATTTTTAGTATTTGCTGTTATAGTGGCAACAGAAATACATCAATAAATTTCATCTATAATGGTTCACAAGATACTGCCTGGTGACAGGCAGACAGACAGCGTAGTCTTAGTATCAGGGTCCTGTTTTACCCTTTGGGTATGGCACTCTAAAAAGAGTAACAGACTGTACATATCTCACTGATGGGCAAGGAACTCCTTTGTACTGAGGGTATTAGGGCATAATCCACCACATGTCCCACTGCAGTTTGGCGGACTTAACATATCTTCTAAATATTTTATTTTATAATCCAAAATCCAAATCAAATATCCAGGCTTTCTTACAATATTTTCATAGTAGAGAATGTGATAAGACAGCACTTAAAATTAACAATTTCATTGGTGCCGACATTTGTGGTTTCCCATCTTTGACACGCGACAAAGCGATAGATAGCAGGTTTTCATATTCGCCATCCTATGATGTTAATACTCACTTAAAGATACTATTAACTGCTATCCCGTATCGCTTACTTTGATTAGATTTATGTCAACACAAATAAGAAATGTAAATTTTTATTGATATAAAAAAAAACTGGAGAATGTCTCTTGTGGTATTGGTACTGCAATTCTAGTGGTTTCGCAGCACTGTACACTACCTAGGCCTAAGCTTAATGTTCTTGTTCATTATATGTTAATTATTTTCAGGAGCACGGAGAACCAGGTGATATCAACTGAAGCACAGCTGGTGGCCACAGGCCCTGGCGCAGTTCGCTGGCTGAACCAGAAATACGATTTTGTCGTGAGGAAGCTGCAACTGAACTATGGTGAGTTGCTTCATCTCCAAGCGTGAGATAGAAAATAAGTTCTATATAAACATTAAACTTACTACTCTCACTTGAGTGGACTGAGTCTTCCTGAGAAGTACCACAACGTCACCGAAAACCGAAATTTGATGTCCATACATAAATATTAGAAAATATCTATTCCAGATGCTGGTGTGAAGCTGATGTATTCCCTCTCCGGGTGTATCCAGTGCGTGTACTTAACAACTCCCAGCATGCAGCTGGCTTTCAATGCGGTGCCTCAGTTTCTCTGCATTGAAACCGGTGAGTCTTGACCGGTGAGCTATGTTTGACGCTCACTGACATCTATGAATCTTTTGGGCAAGCATAAGATGGCTTTATATTTAGAGTTCCAGATGTTTCAATGCTTTGAAACAACCATTCACCTTTTGTGATATGCTCATAACTTTATATTTAGAGTCTCAATGTTGCACAAATTTAAAATAATGCACATCATATAAAATAATGCATGAATAACATTTAATAATTTGACATTAGAAAGAATTGAATAAGGTTTGAAAATTTATTTGTAAATATCTAAATGAAAACAGAAATGATACACAAGATAATTTCTGTGCAATGGGTATTATACTCTTGTGTAGCCAGGGAAATAAATTGCACCTTCACTGGGAATGGCTATTACAGGGTATGCACATTGTGACTCAAGATCCCAGTGATCAAGAACCCAGTGCACAAAGGCAAGGTTGGCAAGTTAACCAAAAGCTGTACGAGTTTTGAACAAATATAAAAAAAAGTCTTGATTTTATAGTAAACATGTATTCTCTTAATAGAGGTCATTAGCTAAAGTATTGCGATTCATAATATTATCGATGTTGTCTAAGACAATATCTGTCTTTAACCGCAACTGGCTGAGTTGATTCGTGAATTCAAATGAAGAAGTTATTATCCTGAATTTCGACTGTTACGGTGAAATAATGTTTAACTATCATTCTGTGGAAAGTTGAACATGGGAAATATGTATTAGGAATGGTTTAGTGCACAAGCATAAGTGGTAACTCTATTATCTAGCCCTCCATTATACAATCATCGGGACAAGGAAATGCAAGAAGATGGAAAAGAAGATAATGTAAATGTGGAAAATGATGCAGGACTATTACATGACGAAGCACATTCTGCTCTGGAAACAGATCTCAAATGTTTAGAAAAACAGCGTGATGAAAAAAAATTTAAAACATTTATTTACAACTAAAAGGACTAAAAATCCTCGAGTACAATTTGCTGGTACTTTTTCAAGTATAAAAGTAATATCTGTTGTCTCCTCACTAGGCAAGCCTGTAGCAAGGAGAGACATATTGCTTTTTGAGATTTTAAAGTACATATTTTTCATCCAGCAGACATTAGAGTTTGACTTCATATTACAGAAAACTTAATTACACGGTAAATATTGGTAATGTATAAACTATTGTACACCTAATGAAACCTGTAATAGAGACAAAATCACCAAAACATTGAGACAAAACAAAATACTGTATTACCACTGGTGTATTCAACATGTCTCACATGACAAGACTCAATAAATATTCTTGATACTAGGATAACTTAAAATCAAACCGTTCCATAGCTTAAAGCATGTGGGAGCCCATAGTGGTGAAAATTTTTCATTTAAAATTTATATTGAAGCTCGCTCTTGGCAAGAATTAGAAAGATTATAACAGTTATGAGGAGCCTAAGTGATATAGAAAAGCGAAATACTCTTAAGTCAGTTTACTCACTGTGCCAATCTATAATAACATATTATATAACACGCTGGGGAAGTGCTGCTAAAAGCTTCATGGTTCAGGCCGAGAGAGCAAAAAGATCATTCCTCAAAGTATGTTGTTGTATGTTATGTTATGTTGAAGTATCTATAAGTTCGTATAGATAAATTGTACAAAGAATCTGAAGTACTCAGTGTAAGGAAATTTTAAAGTAACAACGTGTACATTCTTCCTGTTGCTGGGCAAAGGCCTCCTGTGTACAGCCGGTGTAGTTCCCAACGCGGCCCAACTGCGGATTTTACATATCTTCGAAATAATTGAATAAAAATATTTCGAAGATATGCAGGTTTCCTCACGATGTTTCTTTCACCGCGTAGCACGTGATAACTCAGCTCTTAAAATTAACAATTTTCTTTGTTGCCGGCACCGGGGATCAAACTCAAGTTGTTCGAGTATATTGTATTAAAAGCGAGCACCCGGACTCTCAGCTATCACATATCGTATTTACTTTTCATTTACACATTATTATATTACTATTCAGTAAATGATCACGGTACTGTGTGACAATTTCGCAACTACTTTTTAAATGAAACAAAAACCCCGCTACTTCTGTAACTAGTTACTATTCCTGTAATATCTTTATTGCGTGGATACCATATTGAAATAACGCTGTCACTCCCACAACTGAGATGAATCAAATGACACCCTATTCGTTGAAAGGTTTAGGCGGCAGAGGGTGCCGAAGAATTAGATATACATACACTCGAAAAGCATTACCTTCCTGTGACCACTGCTAAATGTTTATATTGTTTATCTCAACAGGAATAGAGTTCAACAGCAGTATGTCGACCGTGAACGGCTCGGGAACGTCGAGTATCAAGCACAACGTGACCCTGTTCCTCGCTGAGGATGGCAACGGGAAGTCCGTCATCGTCAGCGCAGGTATACATACTGCATACTGCATAAATAGGCCGTCTAGTTAAGAAGGAGGATGCTCATTGAGGAAGCTCTTGTAGCATCGGCTGTTCGCGAATGGGTAAGCTCATCTGAAGATGTACCAACCCTCACAGAAGACCGGCGTGAAATAGTAAAATAGTAACCGGGTTCAATCTTTTAAAATTTGACGACACATGCGCAGTAACACAAGTGTTTTAGACGTATATAATCAATTATCACAAGGTGACCTGCCACATTCTATACAGTGTATAGGCAATGAAAATAAAACTTCAGAGCAGCAATTGAAATCTATGCATGTAAGTCCCAAAAGTAAAGTAAAGTAACAGCCTATACATGTCCCACTGCTGGGCAAAGGCCTCCTCTGCACAGAGGGTATCAGGGCATAGCCCACCACGCGGCCCCACTGCGGATTGGCGGACTTCACAAATTTTTTTTGTTATTATTTCGAAGATATGCAGGTTTCCTCACGATGTTTTCCTTCACCGCAGAGCACAAGATAAGTCCGCACTTAAAGTTAAAAACTTCATTGGTGCCGGCACCGGGGATCGAACTCGGGTTGCTCGAGTATATTGAATTAAAGGCGAGCGCCCGGACACTGAGCTATCACGGCTCATGTCAGTGTCATATAAGTCCCAATGCTTGTCCTTTTTTGACAGGCACATAGTACCATCCCGGATTAGCGAATATTTTCTTAATATTTGTACAGTATTAACACATAAACTTCAATTTTCATTACTGTCAAAGTTATAGTGAATTAATAATTAACGTCTCAGTGGAGCCATAACAGGAAAAAAAATTACCTCGTAATACGGAAGTTCTACTTGTAATCATTCCAAATTGTAATTATAATTTCTCCTATTTCACATACTTTCGTGTAGCATACCTGAATATATATACATATACGGATGCTTATAGTTTCATGTTGAACGTAGAAACGCTGCATAGGAATGCATCAGGCTATTTCATTATACGAGTACATCATTCTGATTCTGTTCCTACATGGTTCAAGTACAGACGCGCGTGAATCTTGCTTCTTGCTTCCAGGCATATCCACCCTCATCGGGGAGGACCTCACTTGGCTCCTGGAGACGTTCAAGTCTTGCAACCCGGCGTGGCGGCAGGTGCGGTGCGTCGTGTGCGACCCCACAAAATCTCAGCAGGTAACATATAACCACGTCTCAAATCTACCAACCAAGCTACTCTCAGAGTAGCCCTGGCCTTTCAGATCGAAATTGACTTTCAGCCCCCTTCAGTCGATGCTTTAATTCTGACCATAAGGAAGATCATTCTGATAAATTAAGAGAGTTTACCATCCTCTTGGAAACTCAAATAACATTTGAAAAGCCATTTGACAGCTGATTAGTTAACTTATACAATAATAAGTGTTTCAGAAACCGGGGGTATGTATTATAATAAAAGCTAATATAAAAATATGTTTGTAAATCTACGGATATACTAGACACAAACGACGGAAATATAAAGTTTTTAAAAAAACTGAACTGGCAATAACAACTGGTGATAATTGATTTTTGCCTAGAGCAACCGCTTCTCTTGCTCTACCCTTGTGACGTCACTGTGACTCCTTTATCTTATTGTTTATTGTGTATATGTCAATTGATCATTTTCACCTCGCTATATTGGCTCCAACTAATTAACGCATCACCTCATTACACTAAGAGCCGTGATAGCTCAGTGTCCAGGCGCTCGCCTTTAAATCAATATACTCGAGCAACCCGGGTTCGATCCCCGATGCCAGCACCAATGAAGTTTTTAATTTCAAGTGCTGACTTATCACGTGCTCAGCGGTGAAGGAAAACATCGTGAGGGAACCTGCATATTTTCGAAATAATAACAAATAAAAATATTCCGAAGTTATGTGAAGTCCGCCAATCCGCAGTGGGGCCGCGTGAGGAGGCTTTTGCCCAGCCGTGGGATATGTACAGGCTGTTACTTTACTTTTTTTACTTATCACACTATTGTGCGACAGTGATAATTCGTTAATTACTAATTACTATGGTATCTAGATTACGTTAACGTTGTAGTGGGACCGAGACGCGATCTACTTGTGTAGATTGAGGCGTGAATTATAGAATTGATCATTTAAGTGGTAGAGACTGACCAACTTCAGTCACTTATATACATTCGGTTAATGAGGCTCAGTGTCGCTTGCTTTTATTCATTATACTTAGAAAGTTTATTTCAAATCCAGGTCGGCACTAATTACATTCTTAACTGCAACTTTAAGAGCTAACTTGTCCTGTGCGCACAGTAAAGGAAAATATCGCGAGGAAACGGGAGTACTTTAAGAAAAAAAAATTTCGAAGGTCTTTTTCGAAAGGGCGGGGTCGCGTGGTTGTATTATGCCCTTATACCCTCTGTGTAGAGAAAGCCTTTGGTCAGCACCGGCACATACAGATTTTTACTTTAATAATGATGGGTAATAGAGTACTACTACTATTCAGGGCGTGTCCCGTCTGCCAGTTACTAGACTTCATAGAGTAAATAAATCGTTCATGGGGCGGTGTATACGCTTCTACAAACAAAACATTCCACAAAATTCGCAAAGCTTGCCCATTAATAGGTTTAACAGACTGACAGACAGACAGCGGAGTCTTGGTAATAGAATCCCGTTTTACCCTTTGTGTACGGAATCCTAAAAATGACTATCGATAGATGAAAACAGTGACGACCTGTACAAGTGTGCTGGAAGTCGATGGATGCAGGTGGCTCAGGATCGTGCTTCGTGGCAGTCTGTGGGGGAGGCCTGTGTTCAGCAGTGGACTCAAACGGGCTGAAATGATGATGATGATGAGATGAAAACAGGTCCCATTTTACCCTTTGGGTATTCGGTACGGAACCCTTAAAGTTATCTTGGTTAATGATGTTTACGCAGCTGCTACGCAGCAGCCTCGGCTGTTCCACGAATGGGCAGGCCCTTCCGGGTAACTACCACGACCTCACAGAAGGCCAGCGTAAAGTGGAAGAATGACAAATACTTTCGCGTTTCGTCTGGTGAGTGAGGTAGCCGGAGCCCAATTTTCAAAATGTTGTGAACGCATCTGTAAACCTCGGTGTGGCAGATGTCCACGGGCGGCGGTATTCACTTCACATCAGGTGAACCGTCTGCTCGTTTGACCACTTTACAAAAAAATCTTGGTTAATGATCTTGATATTTCCCCGTTTCCAGGAGGTGCGCTCGGCGTTCCCGAGCGCGCACGTGACGTGCAGCGTGTGGCAGGCGGCGAGCGCGGCGGCGCGGCTCTGCGCCGACGGGGCGGAGGGGGGGCGCGCCGCGGACGCCCCCCTCTCGGCCGCCCCCGCCAACGCCGCGCCCCCTCCGCCCCCCGCGCACGACGAGATGGCGGCGCGCTGCAAGACGTACGCGCTGGCGCTGCTGCGCGGCGACCACACGCCTGCGCAGCTGCAGGTGTGTGCGTGTGTGCGTGCGTGCGTGCGTGTGCGTGTGTGTGTTTCTGTGTGCGTGCGTGCGTGCGTGTGCGTGTGTGTGTTTCTGTGCGCGTGCACTCGGACGGATTCGTTTTTTTTTTTTATTAAGATGACAAGCGAGCCGGCGGTTCACCTGATGTTGAGTGATCACCGCAGCTCATTGGCAGCTTTAAAGGAGGGGGCAACGGCTAAATCGCTCGAACATACGAAACGCAGAAGTATAACAATTCCACTTGACGACGGTCTTCGGTGAGGTCGTGGTACTTCCCGGACGGATCCGCCCATTTGTGCAATGTTCAGAAGTTTTAACGCCTCTGTCTGACCGTGACCATGAATGCTGAAAAGAAATCAAAGAATCTGGAAATAACATTTAGTAAATGTGTAGTGTTCAAATTGAAGATAACAGTTATTCATAGGTTTTTAGGAACTTGTTTGACCATAAATCCATAGATTATTGCAACTGCACTTCAACCACAAAATTGTGTTTACACAATAATATTTATACATGAGCAAATATACATATTTTTTACCGAAATTAAAAAAGGCGGTTCTATATTCGACTTGTTTTATTTTTTTTTTACATTTGTTACCTCAGAACTTTCGATTTTTGATGATTCTTTTTTTATTTGAATGCTGGTGTTTTCCATGTGGTCCCATATTCATTTCATAGGTATTGGATCTTGGGCTTCGGAGATACTTAGGGAACTCCTGAAAATCAATTATAAAATGAATACAGCGCAAGATATTTGAAGACGGTTTGGTCTTTCGTTATTAAAAATGGACTTGTGAATTACATTTAACATTTGTTACCTATTGTATAGTTAAAATACGTATTGTATTCTATGGAATCTATCTTTGCCAGGTGCTGAAGCGCGGTATTATCGGTACGGGGGCGGGCACGCTGCGGATGTGGGAGGCCCTCACCAGGCCAGGGGGCGCCATCAGCAAGCTGGACTCTTGGCTGGAGGCGGACAACTACACCAACATACTTCACAAGGTATCCACAACCACCTTCTTTACATGTCGATGACAAATCGTTTATTTCCGGCCCAGAACTTAGCCACTTCGACAGCACAATTTGTGGCATCGATCAGATTCTGCTGCGAACAGGTGAAAGGGCAGGCAGGACAGGACATCAGATGAGCCATGGCATGTGTGGTCCACGCACATGCCATGGTTCGTGTGCAGTCCATGGCCACAATCATAATAAAGGTCTACTGGTAATTCGGCGTATTCCCGTTAGGAGGTGATATGGGTGAGTATTTGCGATAAATTTAACCCCCCCAAATGTATTATGAAAAAATGCAACATCAAAACATTTACTTTAAAAAGTATCAATTTAAATATCATTTGTTTCTTTTGATTTATAAAAACGACTAAACAATGGTTATTTATCACTATTTAATCAACAATTATCTGTCCAAAATTAAAAAAGGGAGGTGAAAAACTATATTATTTCAATATTTTTTTCAAGTTTTTTTTCCAATAAAATGCCTTAAAAACAAAAAAGTTATAAAACTTTGCTTGCAGATTATTTTTAAAACGTAACCGCTTTCTTAACTCTCACAATGCATAACAACTAGGAACATTAAATTTGTAGACAAAGTACGAAAAGATTGTCGCCGCTGTGGGAATCGAACCCTCGTCTTCGGCATTCGCGGCCTGACGCTCTTAGCCATTGAGCTAAACGGCTGATTGCCACACCGACGAAAATCTTAACATGTTTTATCTACATTGTTTTTTTTAGCATCTGAAGCAATGCTTAGAGCATCTGTTGTTATATCCTTTCCTTTAATGTTCCTTTCCTTCCTTCCTTTAATGTTTAATCTTAAGTGCAGAGATTAACATTATAAAAAACTTTGAAGTAAATACTATTAAAAAAATGTAAATTTAATTTTTAATTTGAATTGAAATATGGAAGTGCTTGATTAAAATGAACAGCATATGTTTCAAAATTATCATGCTTTTGCAACAATAACTGTTAAGCTGGTCGTCAATAGTGCATATCAACCTTCTAATTTCGGTTTTGTAGAGCTGTCACACACTACCTAAGAGACGTTTGTCATTTGTTATACAAGTGTGCGACAGAGAAAACGCTCTATGAAGACGAAAAGATTAAAGTATTATTCCCTACCATATAAAGGTATACACCATGTAAAGGTATTAATGGGGCATTTAATAATTTGGTCTGGTTTGCTTGAGTTATGACATATTTCCATCGGAAGGTGAGACCCATTTATTATTTTTAACACGCTTTTATTTATCTTCACTTATATCTTTTTTTTTTCATTCTTGATATCAAGCACCCAATGCTTTTTAAAATAAAATATTTGTTTTTACTCAATTTTTACTTTATAGTTATCAAAATTCCTTAGCAATCATCAATTGGTGGACTGTATAGCAAAATTCTTATTTCGAAATTATTTTCTACTTTTTAGTTGGAATTTCAAGTAAAGTGTTTTTTCTTTAACTGTTTCATGAATTCTTTCCAGTCAGTTCGCCCCGTAATTGGCTTGATCTAAAATTGTAAGAAATAAATGCAAAATTGAATATGCAGAGCTCCAAAACCACATTTTTACATTGTCATGTTTCCATCATTCCAGGGTCTGGAACGGCTGGTGGCTAAGTTCCAGAACATGGTGCGCAACCAGATGCAGCCTGACGAGTTCGTGTCCCTATTCTTCAATGTTGCCAACCAGCTGGAGGACGAGAGGAGGAGTTTCGCCATTGGAAGGCTGCGGGTGAGTCACCTTAGCAAATGAACGTAGTAAAGTAACAGCCTATATAAATGTCCCATGCTGTGCAAAGGACTCCTCTGTACAGAAGGGTATCATGGCATAGTCCACCACGCGGCTCCACTGCGGATTGGCGGATGTGATAAGACAGCACTTCAAAATTAACAATTTCATTGGTGTTGGCAATCAACGCAGTGGCTTCTAGTATCACTTACAAAAACTTGCCCTTTTGGGCTTGTCGTTTGAAGTATCTATAGTTCCTTACTATTAAAAATTTTGTTATAAATGGCCACTTCAATCAATAATATTAATATTTACTATCAAAATGTTAGAGGTATCAGAACAAAGACTTATGATTTATATATATATTTTTACGCGACATATTACATGTCGCGTAAAAAATAAAAAAAAGCCTTAGAGAAGGAGGACCATCATTGTATTACGATGATGGTCGATTACTAATGGAGAGAGAGAGGGCTTTTTTATTGTTTTTTTACAACATTGCTCTTACTTTAGGATAAAATGAGAATGTGTTGTAAGGACTTTTTACAAACAAATTAAAAAGTTTCCCTTGGACTAGCACCCAGATGCAAAACAACTGTGTGTGGGTCACACAAACAGTTGTCCCCTGTAGGAAATTGAACCCAGGACCCTCGACGCCGAGAGAGTCATCTATTGCTGTTTCAAAAATTCACACAACCCGATTGGCGTAGTGGATAGTGGACCTGTTTCCTGCGCTACATGGACTATAATATAGATAACGCTGTGTAGAAATATGTCGCGAAATATTTATTTACTTATTTGGCTTCCCACTCTCAGCAGAACGCAAGTTTTTTTTTTGTAGTATATTCACACTAGAAAACTAAACTCAAGCAAGTGAAGTGTGCTTTGCGAACTCTGCCCGTCTACAATTGAATTCAAACATGGATTCAAACAATGTGTATTAGGAGTCAGACCGAAAGCGGACTGTGGAGTGGACGAGTTGTACATATTTTAAAAGGGTCAAATGGGACCCTATCAACTGTAGTAGGTCCATGCAACAATGTTCACTGTTGCACGAATGGGCGGCGGCTATCACTTAGTATCAGGTGAACTGCATGCTTGTTTGCCACTTTTTCACATAAAAAAAAAGTTATTCAATTTGTCAATGGGTACCGTGAGGTAGACAGTCGGGTTTGAATACGCAAGTGCTATAACTGTTTTTTTTTCCTTCCAGGATATGGAGACGATGAAGCAGTCGCCCACGGACACCATAACGCAGTACGCGTACAACCTGATGAGCCACCAGACCAAGTTGGCGCAGCGCTGTCTCGACGACAGGACCAGCAGGTATGCTGCTGACTCCCATGGGTTGCAGATGCGTTGCCACCCTGCAATAAAGTGGGCCCCGGTTACCTCACTTAACGAATTTCTTTTTAAAAGCGTGGCGTGCTTTCTAAGATATTTCCATTATGACTACTTTTACGTGGATATTGTACATACCGTCATTAAAATATTATACCAAGCACGTCGCGCTTTCCAACAGTAAAAATTTTTTTTCGTTAATAACACTTCATAATTTAATATTATTGATAATAATTTTCTGCTTTTTAGTATAGTTTTAGTTGTTTTTTTAAGTGAAAAGTTGCCAAGCGAGCAGACGGTTCTCCTGAAGTTAAGTGAATACCACCATGGACGTCTGCTACACCCGCGGGTTGCAGATGCGTTGACAACCTTTTGAAAATTGGGCTCCGGCCACCTCACTCACCAGACGAACTTGAAAGTATTATACTTCCACTTTACGCCGGTCTTCTGTGAGGTCGTGGTACTTACCCGGACGGGCCTGCCCATTCGTGCAACAGCGGAGGCTATTGCATGGCCCTACCATTGTAAAAATTTTAATTAATATTTCCGCCATGTTTCCAAAATTACATTTGCTTAATTCCTTTGCAGTGTGGTTAATATTAATGATCTAAATAATATGTATTTGTGTTTATCCAAAGTGCTGAGGCCACCAAGCAAAACAAAATAAAACACCTTAGTATGGGAAAAGTACTTTTCATATATTTTTTTTAATTATTATTTATTGAAGACAGTGCATTTCAACTTGCGCAGACATTCCATTTCAACTTGCGTGGAGTTTTTTAATATAGTATAACAAGGGTGCAATAGATGGCAATACTCTGTACAGACACTGTTAGTATTATACTGAAAGATTTTTAGGTATTGCCATCAGTTCAATGTATCCATTCTTAAATTTCAAATCATTTGGACATCTGGGTGATAATTGAATTTACAGATATAAATACGTGCTGATATAACGATGTGCTTGTACACGTCTTGCTAAAAATGTGCGCAATATTAGAAAAAAAAAAATACCAAATGAAATTATTTAAACGTATTTAATTAGACGTCTCGAGCCCTTAAAAAGCGTTCATGTAAAAACACTTGCATTCTGAACTATGTTTGTTGACTAAACGTCTTGCATCGTCCGATTTGGCAGGAGGCACAGCAGCGCGGCGATCTGCAAGTACGGTACCTCAACGCAGGAGTGCTCCTGCCTCTTCAGCAAGGTGTTCCGGCTGCCGTGCCGGCACATCCTCATGCTGACCACGGAGCTCAAGGTCGGTACAATACAATGACTGTGCCTCTCACGGGTGGTAAAGGCCATAAATAAAAAGAAGTAATGTACCATGTTTTTATAACCGACTATTACAGTATGAATACGCTATCCACACTATAATATTGTAAATGCGAAAGTAATTCTTTCTCTCTGTCTCGCTTTCACTCCAAAACTACTGAACCAATTTAAATGAAATTTGGTACACAGATAGTCTAGAGCCTGAGAAAGGACATAGGCTATTTTTTAATTGTAAAAAAGTGTTGTAAAGGTTGAAAGATGTTTATTTAAGGGCTTCAACGCGAACGAAGCCACGGGCGAAAGACTAGTAAAAACATAAAAGTAAAGTTAAGTAACAGCCTATATATATGTCCCACTGCTGGGCAAAGACCTACTCAGTACAAAGGGTATTAGGGCATAGTCCACCACGCGGCCCCACTGCGTATTGGCGAATTTCACATATTATCTTCGAAATTTTTTTTGTTATCTTTTCGAAAATATGCAGGTTTCCTCAAGATGTTTTTCCTTCACCCCTGAGGACGTGATAATTCGCCGCTTAAAAAAATCAATAATTTCATTGGTGCCGGCACCAGGGATTGTACTGAACTTTAATTTATTGTTTAAAAATATTTATCATGTGTTTTGGGTATATTACATTTATTCGATAAAATTGTTTAAGCTAAATAACATTAGTAACTACAAATTACTAGCCAACTTTCATTAGTCCCCGTCTTGTGGGTTCCATTCTATAACGAAAAGTTTTTCTGATTCTGGGTTTTAAGATTCTTCTTATTAAACAAACATTTTTCTTGATTTCTTTCAATTATTATCACATCTTAGTGAAACATCCTTCCGCATATGGATCGGACTTAACTGTGTGGTTCGTTATTTTTACGAGGTAACATCATTATTTTTATGGGTGAGGTATTATTTCGAGAATTCTTTTGTGGTTCTAATGGTGCTAATTTTCTAGTTATGAGTGCCCGCCTCTGTCGGTCTTACTGAGAGGTCAATTAATAGTGTTGGTTTCAACTCCGTGGCGTAGTTGCTAAGGTTTGGCTTCGGAGCCGATGGTACTGGGTTCGATTCCAAACGGGACAACTATTGTCTTGGAACTGGGTTTCCGTGTGAAATTTATGTATGTAAAACTTCTTTACACAGGACAATGTTAACCTAAATTCCTTACTGTTTTGGCTAAGGGCAATATTTTAAATAAAAAACTAATCAATTAACATTAATTAGCATTAAGTATTAGCGCGAAGTTGAGCCTTAAAGTAATAGTCTACTCTCCCTCATCCAGCTCAAATTAAACGTTTCTGATTGCGACCAAAATTGTTTACGGTATCTGCTATCTCTTTCTCGGGTATTCGCTATCTCTTTCTCATTACATTCGCTATATGTCCCACTCTAACATTCCCACGTGCATATCTGTAACAGGTGAAGACGCATATCCCGTTCGAGCCCCGCTGGACGGTGCAGTACTGCCTGTTCGGCTGTGACAGCACCCTTGGCACCACCACCACTACCACCAACACGACCGGTAAGATTTTTTCATAGGAAGTGGTACAGGAGCGATTGTTGCTCCTTATGGTTCACAATCCTCATAATCCTTATGGTTATTGGTATCACATTAATTCCATGCGGATGAGCTTAAAACTTAAAAATTTAACACTGTCGGTATATGGAGATGATGTTTCTGATTTTGGCCATATTCGATTATGTTATGCATAGGCATACATAGATATGTCCACATATATAGATATGTCCTTGATTCAAATATAAAATATTTTTTCCTTATAATAGGTTAATAAGTTAGAGCTTTCAAAATTTGACGTTCTACTTTGAGACCCATTACTGAGTATTAAAAAAGGTAAAATCAAATAATGCGGTTGAATTCGTACTCCGTTTGATGAGTTTTTTAAATGCAATCAATAATGGAGATGAAAAAAAAAAAGTTTTTCTAATAGTGTATCTAAAGTAATATTACAAAGAGGAAAGTTTTTTTTGTCTATTACGATTAGAAATTTACTATTAGAAAGCTCCATATTTACCGAGTAACTTAGGTCTTAGTCCCTACCTAAATTGGAAAAACGTAACCCAGCCTATCAAAATGTTGCCTATAAAAGACATTATTTTGTATGCGCTGCAAAATCTATTAGCGGTTTTTTAAATGCATATCAATAATAGTACTTAGAAAAAAAAAAATATATTTTTCTAATAGTGTATCTAAATGTAATGCCTTACAAAATTTCGCGGAGGAAAGTTTTTTTTGTTATTACTAGTCAGAGAGTAGTCGTTTAATAGCTCTATCAGTTATGTCTCCCGGGAGCATAAAGGGATTTATTAGTACTATATGATATTCTTATAGTTATTTTGTAGTTTAATTTACCTTATTAATTTGATTTCTTCTTATATTTTGTTTGATAAATATATAAAATATAATCGTAATTGACGTCTTTATGCTCGGTCATTTGAATAACCTTATGACACAACCTAAGATGTATTCCACTTGAACTTTATTTAGTTATTTGAGGAATTTACACTACACAAGATAGTTTTCTGTGAGTGCATATAGAGTGCTTCTTCTCAAGTAAAATAATAAAGACATGATGAAGTTTTAGAAACTGTTAATTAATAGAAGATATGGAGAAAAAATAGGTTTAACCACGCTTGGAACCGGATTATATCTTGGCATTTATGGGCATGAGATCTTCATGTGAGGCGATAGTAGTTAAAGACTTAAAAGGAAATTTAATTTTCTTTCAGGTCGGCGGTGTGAGACAACAGCAGTACGTACTGGCCACTCCAGGGCAAGCAGCAACACCGGTTTCACAGGTACTGACAGGATAGAGGAGCTTTTTTAGTTCCGATTAAGTTTTACAGTCCTAAAAGCAAACAAATTCCGACATAGATGACATAAAGTACTGACTCAGTGACGCCGATGCTAAGCTATTAGCTTCGGTTTCAGGGACGTGCGTTCGATCCACCCACGGGATAAGTATTTGTGTAACACACAGATAATTGTTCTGGATCTGGGTATTTGTTTCCCAAGGACTGGGTAGTTGTTTACGTCAGGCAGGCAGTCCAGTCGTAAAAACATAGGCAAAACCGCTTATATGATATGATTATAAACGCATATAAAGCGTGTCTTTACAATCGCGACAATAAATGAATATACGTCTAACGCTACTTGCCAATAATCATAAAAAAAATGTTAACGTTAAAAAAATCCATATTTAAAAAAAATATTTTTCAAAAAAAGTAATTAAGTAAAAAAGAAACAAAATTTGTAACATCCTATACAACTAACTGATTCATACATTCAAAGACTTTTTCATTCGTTGCCACAGCATCGCATTACAAGCCTCTCCTTCTAACAGTATGTTTTGTATCTTTCAAATTCATTCAACTCATCAAGCTTTGTGACCTTTACAAATGAACTTTACGTTACAGTTTTATACGTAAGGTGTTCTAAAATTAGATGTTTTGGAAAATTTAATAACTCGGCAAATATTGATGTTTAAAGAATGTAAATGTTTACTACAATTTTAAAAAGTTATCCTCTATGTGTGTTCATTTATTGTGGCGATTGTTAAGACACGCTGTATATGATTGGCTCTTATCATATGATTCGCATGTTGTTGACCCCCACCTAGTTGGTATTAGGGCAAGAGGCTGACCGTAATGATTAGACGACTTAATATAAAGAATATATTATCTTTTATTAATATCTGATTGCACAGAACCTACAGTGTTGGTTTTAGCTCATAAAGTGAGTACTCTTTATGAGCTAAAACGAACACTGTGGGAAACAAGAGGACAATGACTTGTGTAATGCACCAACTTCTAAATCCCGTTCAGCTCACATAACACTTCAGTGAACAATGTTGTTTGGTTCCCTGAACACAATTTTGATAATAAGTTCAAATTTGATCCATCTTTTTGTCAGGTCAAATTTAGGTCAATTTACATATTTTTTATATTTTGCGCGTTCTAAGTACAAGCCTAACCATATTGGAAACCTTTTTTAAATTATTTGTCTACATTCTATTGCTTTACACTAATAATAGGTATTCCATTTGAAAGATATTAAATGAGTATTCAACAAACTCTATACAAAAATTTCTTTTTAGTGCATATAACAACCTACAAATTTATCAGAGAGTTGCCTAAATCAATTTCGTCGATATCATGGTCTTTAAAAGAAAATACTCATGGTTAACATATTATACTTTCCTTGAAACTTTATTCATAGGTGATATTCTGCGGTGGGGGCGTAGGAAGCGTCGGTGGAGTAGGGGGCGCCGCCCCTGTCATCACGTCTGTCCTACCGCCTGGAGGGGCTGTTCTCACCCCTCACCACACGCTGCATCAGTGAGAACAAAATGGCAGCAGGATGTTGAAGACGATACTCAAGCATAGTGCGGGGGATTGCAAGAAAAATACAGTGCAGTGACAAGTTAAGTCGTGTTGTGGATTAAAAATGCGGTTACTGCAATATGACAACAAGTTCTAGAAATCGAGACTACTTGCTCAGGAATAGCTAAATGTTGACAATTTATAATGATGGACTAGATGAATGCTAGATACCTTTTGGTTATCTTTACTACTGAATGTGTTATTATTAGCCAGTCCCCTACCTTGAATGACATATAACATGATAGTAAGCTTATTTACATGATCTGATTTTGAAACATCTAGCTTTGAAGTTTTAGTGATAAAGTCATGCAAACAATTGCCTTGCATATTTGTCATTTTAAAGACTGCTTCTATTTTGTTTAAATAAGTGTCCAAGACAAAATAAGAATCTAATGATTCTAAAAGATCTAGGTCAGTTCTTTGCTTTGGCAGAGGGGGTCGTGAGTTCGATTTTCACACGGAATAATTATTTCTGTGGCCCAGAGATAATTGTTACAGATCTGGGTATTTACCAGGAAGGTTGCCCTAGCTAAAACCACTAATAATATAATATGCTGGTCCTACTAAGGTGAAATAAGAGCAGGAAGGTGATGAAAAGAATATTGAGGTAGCTCAGTGTATGCATGGCTAATATAGTATACGCATATGTAGGCCCTATATGGGTGAAATTTTGCTAATTTACACAAAATGGGCTTTCAATTCTTTAGATTTCTCATGTAAAAATTGCAGTCACACTGTTGTGTTCAGTGTACTGCTGACATAATTATCTTATCATCTGTCATTCAGGAACTCAATCCTGTTGAGTGGTTGATAATAATAAATATTTCAGGACACATTTTTACCTATTTTCTAGACCCAAAATAAGCAACGCTTGTAATATGGGTATTATATAACTGATAAACATACTTAAACTTTTATATACATATATAAACACCTAGACACTGGAACAACACTATATTGACCGGGCAATATTTTTCCAGTAGTGGAGATCCATCCCCACCCTCTGGCGCAAGAGGCAGGGGATCAATCGGGTCATCAACTATTGATAGTTGTCATCATAGTTCCATTTAAGATTTGATGTGTTTCTTAGAGTCAATTATTAACACAGAACCTAATTTTATACGAAACCTTCGTAAAATCGAGTAAAATCAAGTTTATCAATTTTTGATCATGACAAATTTTCCGATATGTAGTCTACTGTTGTAAGACTACATATCGGAAAATTTGTCTATTACCGTATATACATACATTATGTGATACAGACATCAATATGTTTGTCATGGCTCTGATGCAGTTGCTAAACTATTCGTCTCGACGTAGATTAAATTCAAGCACGGGACAAATATTTGTGTGCCCCACAGATAATTAATTGTTCTGGCTCTGGCTGTTCGTTCCCAGCCAGGTGGGTTAAAGAAATTTGTCAGGCGTAAAACAAAGTTGTGCCGAATCCATCTATGTGAGCCAAGAACGGCAGCAGGATAGCGATGTTTTGATAATCCCTTTTGAAGAGATTCTTACTAATGAAACATAGAAATAGCAAATTAATAAAACTGACTATTTAAAGTTTTGTACCACAGAAACCAAACACTGTTATGTTTTTGACTATATGCTTCTTCAATTATCTAACATGTTCGCAAAGAAGATTCAGAAGAGCATAAAAGAGCAAGAAAACATTTGGTGGAATTTGAAATTTTTGTAAATATGTATCTAATTGACAAAAGAGGCTATCTCAGGCCTTATGTGTAATCATTCAGTTTAAAGTGGCAGAAAATTGATAATACAATGTTGCGATTAACTAATAATTTAAGCATAGTATAAATAAATAAACATACATTACCTTTTAGGGGTGAGTTTTATTGAGTGTCATAAGCACATGCGCTAAAACATTGTATATGTTACTAGTTAATCTCTCGCCCATTAGAATATGGGAACTGTTATTTATTTTAATTTTAACCTGCTTTTAGCTTATCTTATATACATTTGTTAGTTATATTGTTGATATTTTTCAGCAGCACTGGTCAGAATTGGACTTGTGCGTCTACTGGACATACGTAATATGCTTAGTTATGAAGTGTGCAGACATGTCTAACTTATGTTATTAGCAAAAATTTGTTATATTCTATAAGCAAATGGTTCATTAAAATATATAAGTAGCTGCTGCATATCTCCAAATATATTAAGCAAGGGGTCATCTAAGCCCGTTGACATGAAATGGATGGACATTATCATGGTTGTTATGTCATATCTCGAAAGGAATGTCTGGCATCTGGGCATGGCTTGTTCAAATTGTAAATTTTTTAATATGTAGGATAGGTATATACGACATATAGGTAGTTAGTGTTATTTTATACTTAAATGTGCTGCATATTGGTTGGTTGGGTCTGATGTGGTCATGCAATGTTTCCTAAAACTGTTTAAGCATGTACCAAGTTATTGTAACTTATTAATAGCTCCAGTGAAAAGGAGCATATTTTATAAATACTGTATTAAATAAAAAACTTCTTTGTAAATTGCATTTGGTTTTTGTTTTATCCTAACTAATACATCTATTTCCTAGATAATAAAAAATATTTCAACAATCTGTTAAACTCTTATTTTTTGACAAATTGTCAATAGATGGCATTGTCATAAATTCTTTACATTTTTGTTATGAGTTTAGACGTCGGATTTCTCCATGCAGGCATTTATATATTATTATATATATTATTCATCTTCATCAATAAAAAGTGACATGATGAAGTTGGTCGCTTTGAAACCAGTTTTATCATGATACTTTTTGTCTGTCAGTGTACGCGCACATCTTAAAAACTTTTTTAGGGTTCCGTACCTACTCAAAGCGTAAAACGGGACTATTAATAAGACTCCGTCTGTCAATAGGCTGTATCTCATGAACCGTGATATTTAGAAAGTCACAAAAGATGTATTTCTGTTGCCGCTATAACAACAAATACTAAAAAAACTGAATAAAAATCATTTAAGTGAGGCTCCCACAGATATATATGTAATCTTTGCGTAGTGGTTATATTCTATTTGATCGTTGCGGCCGTTGAAAGGAAGGCTGGTTCTTACGAGTATATCGCTCAAAGGTATACCGCATAACAATTCAGCATGGAAATATAGCTAATGATGTTGGTTCCATACCGCACGGACAAGGGTTGTTAGATAACAATAACATGTAATTTAGTAGATAATAAGTAATTTTAGATAGATTTAATGTTATAAATATTAAATAAATAAAAAAAGAAACATTCAGTTATTTAATATTGTGTTTTTTTTCAATGATAAAACGATTTTTGTCAAGTTGGAAAATTAAAAAAAGCATTAACATTAAAAAAGGGTTTACTGTGGTAGGGGGCCACGCAGCAGTTTTCGCTGTTGCACGAATGGGCAGGTCCGTCCGGGTAAATCCCACGACCTCACAGAAGACCAGTATGAAGTAAGGGCAATGTTTTTTTAAAAAAAAAAGCAAAACAATGAACCAAACTAAAGATTAACTAAAATAAGACGAAACTGAACTTGAGGAAGAAAATAATACATTTATGTCTGCATTTGTATTGACAACGGCTCTAAATATAGGCGAACATAAGGTGAATAGTTATCCGCCATGCACCACCACCAACCGAATCAAGAAAGAAATGTTAATCTATCAATGCCGGAGTCCCGGCCTGGTGACATTTCCCGTATTGAATCAAAATAAGCCGCAGCCTCCACTCCTGGCCCTTCCGTCAATTTATTAAGTTTCAGTTTTGCAATCTGAGCCGTGATAGCTCAGTGTCCGGGCGCTCGCCTTTAATTCAATATACTCGAGCAACCTGAGTTCGATCCCCGGTGCCGGCACCAATGAAGTTTTTAACTTTAAGTGCTGACTTATCACGCGCTCCGCGGTGAAGGAAAACATCGTGAGGAAACCTGCATATTTTCGAAATAATAACAAAAAAATATATATTTCGAAGATATGTGAAGTCCGCCAATCCGCAGTGGGGCCGCGTGGTGGACTATGCCCTGATACCCTCTCTATAGAGGATGCCTTTGCCCAGCAGTGAGACATGTATAGGCTGTTACTTTACTTTACTTTTGCAACCATACTCCCCCCGGAGTCCAAATTCTTTGGTTTGCCGGAAGCTGCCCGCCGTGCCATCGTAGTGACGTCGGCTGATCGCTAGATGACATATTTACGTTAAATTGTTTCATTTCATTTTGGCGCTGCGGGATTCGAATCTACGTCTGGTTTCGCGCCCAGACGCGTTACCAACCAAAGCTAAGCGGCCGATGACCTCACGGAGCAAAAAAAATCTTATCATATATCTTTTTTTATGAGAAAAGTTGCCAAGCGAACGTTCGTTCTATTGCATTTTTAGCAATGCTTGGCGCATCCAGTGTGTATCCTTTACTTAGAGCATACATTATTTATGGTTAGAACTGGGGCGGTATCTAATCGCCTTCGAACCTCGTTATACTTGCACAGATGAACGTGCAACAGAATAACAGAAGAAGCTGCTGCGTGGTTCTACTACACTAAGCCTCATAGGACCTCCATTGAGAGCCCATGCCACGCCGTATTGTTCGAAACGTATAAAATAACCATTATGTCGTTGGGTTCAATTCTTACGACCGTTCTATTCTTACCCATATTCGTTATTACCAACATAAAAAGGCTGAACTCACGTCCAATCGGTGTGAACTGTGTGTATCGAGTAGATTCGGACCTATCGGAGATGCGTCATTCAGATTGCGCGGAGTTTAAAAATTGTTCCACTTTATATTATGACATATTATATCAGTGTATGTGACAGATAATATAAAAAGTATGATACGGAAAGGGAACTGCTTTCCCTTTAATTAATTACACCAATTGGCGTAATTTAAGTGCCTCAGTTTTTAAAAAGTGCGCTCGTCATATATAGATATATGGTGGGTGATCATAGGATCGATGTAATGTTACCCAGTGTTTCGAAGTACACAATCCTAGTTCATAAATCGCTATCACATTTTGCAGATTGTCTGTCACAAAGCTTTCGAATTCCTCGAGAATTATAAATTAAAAGCATTCGTAAATTTTTGTAAGAATTAGAAAATAAAACAATCAAAACTCTAAAGAGACAATTTATTTTGAAAATCATACAAATATAAACAATAGTCCACACTGGTACTTATAACAAATTGGCACACATGAAACGACCTATAAATAAATTACCTACGCGTATTTAAAATATTTCTATATAAATTCACAAACAATTTACCCAAAAAAATCTGGCTGATTTTTATATTGAACGACAACGCCGGCCGTTCAGTTTGTTCTTTTTGACTATAAACAAAAATTTATTGTGCTAAACTATATCGTCAAGGAATGTAATTAAAATAGGATTGTATAGAATGTTTAGTATTGTCTGCAGCTTTTAATATTGTTACAAAACTTATAAAGTAGGGATGCCGAAAAAATTTCGATATATCTAACTTCTAATCCGGGTTTCCGATTATTCGAATACTGGACAGAGTCCGTACATTCAAATATGTAATATTTGGCATACTTTTTTTTGACAACAGGGCTTAAAATGAAAATATCTATATATTGATATTTTCTCTTCGAGATATCGAGGCCCGATATTGATATATTTTTATAAATATCGATATATTTTTTCATTTTCGGCATCCCTATTCGTAAAGCGTACCTACTTCGAAAGTTATCGGTGATGTAAAATACACATATCAAATTAAAAACACACTCATATAGAAAGAAAAAAAATTAATTGTAATGCAGATAAAAAATAGCTATGATGCAGATAAAAAATAGCTATGATGCAGATAAAAAATAATTGTGATCCGGATAAAAAAAAAACAAGTATGATACAGATTAAAAATGATTGTGATGTGGATAAAAAAAAAAATGAAATTTCACCGCGTTAAACGTACGCGGGATTAAAACACTACGACGCGTGTGAGTAGCGTCAAAAGGAAGAGGGTGAACAGGGAGTACACGTTTCGTGTGGCCATCCCTAGGGAGGGGGGAGCCACGCTGGTGCACGCGTCCAGGTGGCTGAACAGCTCCATGTAGTTGCGGGCCGCTTCGTTGGCGGCGGTGCTTGAAGGCTCCGAGAGGCCGACCGCGGTGTCCTACAAGTCAAAGTGGAAGTCGCAACTGAACTCAGAGTGAAAGTGTAGTTTATTTTATACTAGCTGCTGGCTGCGACTACGTCTGCGTAGGCGAAAAGCGTAAGTAACATTCAGACAGAAAGACATATGTACATAAAAATATGTATATAAATTATAGCCTATGTATTATTCTGATGCATAAGCCATTCAGTAGTATTTGCGTAACCGAGTAAAAAACATCTTTCTATAGGTACAAACTTTCGCCTTTATAATATTAGTAAGGATTTTTGTTATTTTCTTTATATAGTGTAATTTTCCGTTGCAATCTGACACTGGTTCGCTCTGGTTACTTATAATCATTTCTTATGTTTGTCGCTACGAAAAATAAAATCAATTTAATGTTTTATAAAGAATTTATTATAATGACATCTATTGACAACTTGTTCAAATGAAAGATAGCGAAGTCGAATTATAATAATTTATTATTATTCTTCAAAATCCCTTAACTTTTAATAGTAAGTACTTATTTGCTAATAATAAATGCACGGGTTACACTCACAACGTGTTATTTCTTTTTTAACTGACTTCCAAAAAGAAGGAGGTTTCTCAATTCGACCGCGGACTTTAGAAAACAATTGCGGATATCTTAGACCGATTTTGATGATTATTTTTTGTTGCAAAGGAGATATCCCAAGGGTACCATCATAAGAAAACCCGGATCTGATGGCGGCATCCCAGAGAATTCCAGGGCAATCCTCATATGTTATAGGTATTGACAACGTTTTTTAGTTTCCGGTTTGAATTGGGCTTTTTTTGTGAAATTATAATTATTTACCCTATTTTATAGCCGCTGTTCAAAGAGCTGACATACAATGGGGAGCTTTTACCTTGAATAGGAGGTCGCTAGTCCCGTCGAAGGGCGAGTACATCTCTAAGTTGATGTGCTGGCTGCCCGTCGCGGCGTTGTAGCCGAAGTACTGGTCAAGTGTCTCCAGCAACACCCCCAATGCATTCCTCAAAGGGTCGTTCCTGTGTTAATCACGTCACGACACATTTCTCATACGAATCACAAGTTATAATAATAATAATGTATGTATTATAAATAAATATTTTATTATATTATTATTAAAGTAGCAGCCAATATATGTCCCACAGCTGGGCAAAGGCCTCCTCTATACAGAGGGTATCAGGGCATAGTCCACCACGCGGCCCCACTGCGGATTGGCGGACTTCACATATTTTCTCAATATATATATATTTTTTTGTAATTATTTCGAAGATATGCAGGTTTCCTCACGATGTTTTCCTTCACCGCGGAGTACGTGATAAGTCAGCACTTAAAGTTAAAAACTTCATTGGTGCCGGCACCGGGGATCGAACTCGGGTTGCTCGAGTATATTGAATTAAAGGCGAGCGCCCGGACACTGAGCTATCACGGCTCTTATTATAATTATATATTGTATTATTATTATTATATATAAATATTTATATCTATTGGTTTATTTTTATTCATAATATTATGTTATACATATATGCAATATACAGCGTGTCTTTACAATCGCGACAATAAATGAATAAATGGTATCAGGGCATAGTGCCCATACGCGGCCCCACTGCGGTTTGGCGGACTTCACATATCTTCGAAATATTTTATTTTGTGGGAAGGACAGGACTTCTCACCTCCTGGCCAGAACTTCAGAGTCGACCACGTAGGATAGGAGGCAGCCCTGGTCGATGGCCAGGCCCGGTTCTGCGGCCAAAGTGTTGTTGCGGCACAGGGCCCTGTAGTCCGTAGGCCGCAGACCGAGGCTGGTGAACAGCCCTGGAAAAGTTTTTTTTTATGTGACAAGTTGCCAAGCGAGCAGACGGTTCACCCGATGTTAAGTGAATACCGCCGCCCATGGACATCCGCTACACCCGAGGGTTGCAGATGCCTTGACAACCTTGTTTGAATTGTTTGAAAATTTGATTATTATAATACTCATAAACAAAATTCTATATTTACTTACCGTACAGCAGAAATGAATTTTCGCGGAACCGTTACCGCAAAATGGATTCACTTATTGTTTTATTCATAGTTTAAAACTTATTACATACCTAGTATTTATTCATGTTAGAAAGATTTTTTTTGTGAAACACTCACTCTCAATGTTTTGCAACTCGACGAAGGCCACGTCTGTTTCGGGATCTGCCAAGCATGCCAGAGAGCCGTTGTTGCCATAGTATTGGTTCGTATGGTCCCAGGCGCAGGTGACTGTCGAATAAGGTATTATTAATTATAATTGACCTTATTTTAGTCTTAGACAATGATGTTTAATAATAGAAAACCTATGTCCATTTTTTTTCGACTTGGTTCCGCTTTATATTATATTAGCTGCTGCCCGCGACTACGTCTGCGTAGAATAGACGAAGGCGTAACATTCAGGCAGAAAGACTGATATACATAAATGTGAAGACTGATAGCCTAAGTCTTATTCTGGTGTATAAGCTATATTATTGTAAAGTTTCATTAAAATCCATTCAGTAGTATTTGCGTGAAAGAGTAACAATCATCCATCCATACATACAAACTTTCGCGTTTATAATATTAGTAAGGCTGACATAATTATATAAGTAAATGTGACAGATGATTACATACTTTCTGTAAGTATGATACGGAAAGAGATAGCAGTCTATAGAATTACAATCTAATTACACCATTTGGTGTAATTTGAGTGTCATATCAACCACCTATTTGTATATATCATTGGTCTTAGACACAAATTAATAAGGACAATCTTTATTGATCTAATATTTACAAGATTAAATCTGTCCTAGGCTTAACGCCGCGGCTGGTGACAAGAGAGCTGGTTCTTTTCTCGCGCAAAGGTTGAGCATAACTATTCAGCGAGGAAATGCAGCTAGCGTTCTTGGCACCATGCCGCGTGGATTAGGTTTATTAGATAATATGTAATTTTAGACACAAATTCAATTAGTATCAAGAATGGATCGTCACTGTGTTTAGTTAAAGTGCATTATCTTTGTTCCTTTGTGAAAGTCGTCTTGGACAGTGATTCCATCGCCGTAAATTTCCGCTTTTAATAAACTTAAGCGAACCAAGACACCGTTATAATAAAGAACGTCAATTAAAAGAATTTAATGTTTAATTTTTTATAAAGTTTGCAAGCTCTGGACCGTTTTGTGCGTTTAATTTTTGTTAGGTTACTAGTACTCAGACTCCCACATTCCCCTGCCCTTCCCCGGATCTAGGGGTCCGTAATGGATTTTTCCCACGTAGAAAGAAATGTTTAAATATTAAAATTTTTAGAAACGGTTTAAATAGTTAGTGTCAGCGTAACTCACAGTTGGAAGCGTTGGGAGAGTCTGTTGATGCCGCTGGCTTGCACACGGAGCATAGCGTGGTCGCGTTGAAACTCTGTAGTGACAGTGGGAAAAGCTTTAGTTAAATCAAAAGCCACCCTATTCGTTTAACGCCTGTATAACCAGCTTGAAAACAAATTTGACAACAACATTGAATAGGCATTTATTTCTTTACCGTCATCTACACACTTGGAGTTATGCCATAATAATAAAAAACATAAAAATAACATTAAAAATACAAAAGAAAAAAATATGTTAAAAATATTTAATTATAATCATATTAACGACTTAAAAACAATACTAGAAAAATGTTATTTTTTTATGGAATAGGTTCATGGCAAAGGAAATAATATGTGTGCATAAGCCGCAGGATTGCAGGGCCAATTTTCAGTCGGCACATCCCGGGTCGGAAGTGAAGAATATATCGATATATCTATGTATTAATAATATCGAAGAGAAAATATTGATGTATGGATATCGCATATAGTCCTAGAACCCTTTGTCCAAAAAAAACGTATGCCAAGTATTAAATATTTGACACCTACGAACTCGGATACGTAACAAATATCGTCTTTATGAAATTTTCGGTATTGAATATTTTTTATCGATTTATCGGATCTAAATATATCGGCTGAAAATATCGACATCGACATATAGAATCAATATCGATACATCGATACTTTCCGTCAACCCTAGTCGGCCCAGGCGTACGTATCGGACGGGTTCATTTATTTTCCAGTGCGGAAGCGGAAGGAGTGTGGGGGGGGGGGGGGCATGAATGAATGAATGAATATACCAAATATACCAAAAATAAAACATTCCTATATATACCAAAAATAAAACAAACAAAAATTAAAAACTTAATGTAGAAGTGATGGTATTACTACGGGTAATTTCTTCCATGGTAGGTTCCAATTAGGGTTGCTAACTGTTTTTGAGAAAAACAAATTATCACATGTTACAAGTAGCGAAAAAAAAGTATTTGGAAGAAAAAAAAAGTATTTTTCAAAAAATTTTTTATTTCTTCTTTTGAAGATATGTTTTTGTATGGTTCTAGCACACGCTCTCAGTTTTTCAATATATTTAAATATTTTGAAGCTATGTTTGCATTCCCAATTTAAAAAAAAGTTACTAAGTAGTAACGGTGGTAGGGCCACGTAGCAGCCTCGGCTGTTGCACGAATGGCAGGCTCGTCCGGGTCCGTCCACGACCTCACAGAAGACCGGCGTAAAGTGGAAGTATAATACTTTCGCGTTTCGTCTGTCGAGTGAGGTGGCCGGAGCCCAATTTTCAAAAGGTTGTCAACGCATCTGCAACCCTCGGGTGTAGCAGATGTCCACGGGCGGCGGTGTTCACTTAACATCAGGTGAACCGTGCTCGTTTGGCACCTTTGACATAGAAGAAAATACCCACCGAAGACTCGCTGAGGGAGTGCGTGGCGTCGATGGCGCCGGGGGCGCACGCGCCCGCGAAGAATTCCCCAACCGCTCTCGCGTAGTCGCACTCGGACGCGCTCAGCACGCCCCTCTCTTGTGCGGTGTTCACGAACGACATGTACGCTGCGTACACACAACAGATACAATCGTTCGTCCGTGTTTATTACTAGCCGCTGCCCGCGACTACGTCTGCGTAGATAGGCTGAAGGCGTAACATTCAGACAGATATACGACAGATATATGAATTATAGTCTGTGTTTTATTCTGATGTAAAAGCTATATTATTGTAAAGTTTCAATAAAATATATTCAGTAGTATTTGCGTGAAAGAGTAACAAACATCCATCCATACGTACAAACTTTCGCGTTTGTAACATTAAGTAAGGATAGGATTTTTGGAGTGACGAAGTGGCGAACGAGCTGGCGGTTCACCTGATGTTAAGTGATAACCGCCGCCTATGTGCATTTGCAACATCCGTGGGGTTGCAAATGCACATAGGCGGCCTTTTAAAGTGAGTCCCGGCTACCTCACCCACCGGACGAATCGCAGAAGTGTAACACTTCTTCTTCACGCCGGTATTCTGTGAGGTCGTGGTAATAAACCGAACGGACCTGTCCATTCGTGCAACAGCGAACATTCTTTCGTGGCCCTACCACAGCTCAGTGTCCGGGCGCTCTTTAATTCAATATACTCGAGCAACCTGAGTTCTATCCCCGGTGCCGGCATCGATGAAATTGTTTATTTCAAGTGCTGACTTATCACGTGCTCAGCGGTGAAGGAATACATCGTGAGGAAACCTGCATATTTTTCGAAATAATAACAAAAAAAATATTTCGAAGATATGTGAAGTCCGCCAATCCGCAGTGGGGCCGCGTGGCGGATTATGCCCTGATACCCTCTGTACAGAGGAGGCCTTTGCCCAGCAGTGGGATACGTATAGGCTGATACCTTTACGGGATTTTTTATTCGCACCCATATGAGGGCTGCCGGTTGGCTTATGCCTTTCTTGCTTCTAACTTTCATAACGACTTTTATATTAATGTAACGGCTCGTTTTGCTAATATAGGAACCGGTCGTACACGCCTTTTATCTACAAGTCGTTATGAAACTTACGAAGCTATGTAACTAACAGCCATTCGCAGGGCCAGATTTAGAGGTCTGGAGACCTCGGGGCAACAAAGGAGTGGAGGATTGATTACTGTTAATATTTAATGTAATCATGTTTGTACAAAGTACTGCAGGTAAAAGTAAAACGCGAATAAAAATATGAAAGGAAAAGTGTTTACTATTGTTTATTAGTCTGAATTTGAATTTCTTTTCCGAATTCTATTGTGTGGGCGCCTGGGCTGTTGCCCCGGCTGCCCTCCCACAAATCCGGCCCTGGCCGCTCGTTGAATATAGAAACCGGGCATTAGTCGCACTCACCGATTCCGCCGAACTCCGGGAAGCAGGCCTTGCCGCCCCTGAGGTTTTCAAAGCGTGTAATCTCGTTCTGAGTGGAGTTCTTCACCAGAGCGACCACGCGGGAGAAGGCGGCCGGGTTGCTGCGCGCGTTCTGCACAAGTTTCACCGCCGACAGCTGGTAGTTCCTGCGGGACGGCGCTCGACTTTTGTACGCGCTGTACGGCTACGTGTTTTATGGGGGAGCGGGGTGTTTTACTGTGGTAAAAAGTTTCTGTTTGACGGTAGTTCCTACGGGGTGGGGCTTAATTTTTTACGCACTGTACGCCTACGTTTTTGGAGGTACTGAGGTATTTTACTGTGGTAGAAAAGCTTCTGTTTGACGGACGGCCAGGGTCATCCGGGGAAGTACCTCGGGCTCACAGAATTGCTGAGCACTATAAAAATTTAAATTTCTAAAAAGCAACGGCGGATTTTTTGGTTCGAATTATCGTTGTGAAACGATATTAGAAATTGTTTGTAGCGTTGCTTCAAATGCTAAACGACAATGTAGATAAAAGACGTCGAGATTTTCGTCGGTGTGGCAATCAGCTGTTCAGCTTAGTGGCTAAAGCATCAGGCCGCGAATGCCGCAGACGTGGGTTCGATTTCCACAGTGGTGAACATTTTTCGTACTCTTTTATACAAATTCTAATGTTGTGAATAGTTATTTGAAATTGTTTGTGCGCTGTAAATAAAATGAATATGCGTGAAGCATTGCTTAATATTCGCGACGTACGAAAATCTCAACTAAACGCTCTAACTAAACCCCTAATGCCCGGTTCCTATATTCAACGAACGGGCGTTAGTTACATAGCTTCTAACTTTCATAAAGACTTTTAGATTAAAGGAACAGTACTAACTCACTTTCCGCGGGTAATGCAACGGCTCATGAGTAAGACGCCTCGTTTTGTTAACATAGGAACCGGTCCTACACGCCTTTTATCTATGAGTTGTTACGAAAGTTACGAAGCTTTGTAACTAACGGCCGTTCGATGAATGTAGGAACCGGGCATAAGTCAGTCGTTTAGCTTAGTAGTTGAAGCGTCTGGGCGTTATTCCGGAACGTGGGTTCGATTCCCTCGGATATGGAATACTCAACGTTTCCATTTTTATACAAACTTCAACTATATGCCCTGCCACGCAACCCATTTTGTTTTTTTGGTTCACAAACCGAATGATACATTTAATAAAAACTATGTTACTAAAATTAATATAGGAATACAGATATATGCACATTCTAAAAGAGTGAACACAGCGTTATACACTAAAAACTACAAACAAAACACCTTAAACAAAAAAATAAAATAAAAAATAGAGAAAAATATCGTCTTATCAACATTATATCTTGGACTCACTGCCTCGATATGTATCCGTAGTTGGCCGGCGTCGCGATGAAGTCCGCGCGGTCGTCCTTTATGTCCTGCAGGCACTCGAACGTGTTCGCCCTCTGCTGGCACGAGATCGCCGGTTCGATTCCCAGCGTGTAGGCGGCTGTCCGCAGCCAGAGGCACTTGGCGTGCTCGCCGTTTGAGATGGTGCACCAGCGGCGCGCCGGCAGGCAGGAGGCGGTCGCGTCCGCGCTGGTCAGGTTGCGAACTGGCGGTTGGAGCGACCGCTTCGTTAATAAATAGATAGATAGATAGATAGATAGATAGATAGATAGATAGATAGATAGATAGATAGATAGATAGATAGATAGATAGATAGATAGATAGATAGATAGATAGATAGATAGATAGATAGATAGATAGATAGATTATAAAAAATAAAAGAATAAATAAATAAATCCTTATAGCAAATATTAGATGTGTACAGGTGAACAGCATTATGCGACAAAACACTAAAGGTGAGGCAGAAATGCATGCACAAATGGGCAGTCCCATCCGGGTCACAGAAGACCGGCGTGAAATGGAAGCGTTCCACTTCTGCGTTGCTGCGTGTACCGGTGAGTGAGGTAGCCGGGGCCCACTTTTACAAGGTGGCAACGCATCTGCAGCACTACCGGTGTTGAAAATGTCAATGGGCAGCGGTTATCATCTAACATCAGGTGAACCGCCGTCTCGTTTGCCACCTTCTCACAAAAAAAACGGCCAAGTGCGAGTCGGACTCGCCCACGAAAGGTTTCGTACCATTATCTAAACGGCTAGAAATCATGTTTGGGAGCCCCACTTAAATATATTTTTATTCTGTTTTTTAGTATTTATTGCTATAGCTGCAACAGAAATACATCATATGTGAAAATTTCAACTGCCTAACTATCACGGTTCATGAGTTACAGCCTGGTGACAGACGAACAGACATACAGCGGAGTCTTAGTAATTAGAGTTCCGTTTTACCCTTTGGGTACGGAACCCTTAAAAAGATAATGCCACAGACAGACAAACAGGTACACAGGCAGACATGTCGGACTTACAACAGCCCTCTTATTACGTCGAGGGTTAAAAACAAATAGAAGAGGACAGTTAACTGTTTTGTGGACTCACCTTCAGCGGTGTAATTCGCGGGCGACGGTAAGCCCTCCTCGAAGAAGACTCTCGCGTTAGAACCTCCAACGACTCCGCTGAACAGGACCGACTGCCAGGTGTTGCCTCCAGGGTTGGCACCGTTCGGCCACCACGCCCTCAGACCGGTTTGGACCGCTGCAGCGGTCGACCTGTAAACACAACCGTATAAACCTGCCAACCCTGATGGCGGATTTGCCCTAAGGCCCAATCGGCCCGGCCTTAGGGCGGCCACACATCAGGGGCGACCAATCGTGGCAAACAATTCACTGATGTATACAATATATGATGGGCTCTGAGAAAGGGGCGGCTTTAACTTACTACTTGGGCTGGGGCCTAGAGAGGCCCAGACTGAAATCCGCCACTGGCCAACACTGATTTGAATAAGCTATCTGATAGTACTCGATGGAAGGTTTCATCGGTGTCAAAGACTAGAAATGCTTGCGGCATGTGAAATAGATTAAAGTGCAAGATTGTTTACACTTGTAATTACATTTTTCAACCGCAATAATAGCTTCGCGATATACCTTCAGATTATCACGTTGATAAAGATTATGACAAGATTATCGTGTTGTCCAGATGTTTCAAGAACACTACACCTAGACTGATTTTTATTTTTAATCGATGATGAGTAAATGTTAAGCTAGCTGGTGATGAAAACATCTAGAACTACACATTCGATCCGTCTCTCATAGACTATTGACTTCAGTTAATAATCCTTGCCGATGCATGGACAAAATGTTTTTCTTTTCACTACATAGTATACAACAAAGTCGATCCGCTCTGTCTGTCGCTATGTATGCTTAGATCTTTAAAACTACGCAACGGATCTTGATGCGGTTTTTTTAACTAGATAGAGTGATTCAAAGGGAAGGTAGGTATGTATAATACATTGCACCCGTGCGAAGCCGGGGCGGGTCGCTAGAAACCAATAAATGAAAGCCCATTGACAATATCAATACCGTCATAATCTCATCTTAGAGCTAATTTAAAACTTTGAACCAATCGAATACGTCCATTCCAAGTGTTTTAACCAATAGAGAGTGCACATTTCTAAGACCATAATCTAAACTAATAGTGTGTAAAGTAGGTACCAAGGTACTTGGAGTAAATATAGTAAATCTTTAAGAGTATGATATATAACAATTTACAACAAATTAGATGACTCCGTGGCGCAGTGGCCAAGGTATCGGCTTCGGCGTCGGGGGTCGTGGGTTCGATTCCCACACGGGACAACTATTTGTGAGACCCACAAATAGTTGATTCGCGTCTGGATGTTTGTCCACGTGAACTTTATGTTTGTAAAACGTCCTTACAACACAGGATAACGTTATCCTTAAGGCAATGTTTAAAAAAAGCAAATAAAAAAAAACAATTTAAATTCCTTGACTATGACATGGACGTCATCGGATGGTCCATCCTAATAAGGTCTACCCTTCCACTTTGATTCTTCAACTTACGCAGAAGCCACTATGGCACTCCAGGGTTGTCTCACGAAGGCGCATGGTGAGGTGAGCCCTTTGAGAACGTCTTCTGTGAGGGCGCGGAGGGATCCATCCTCGCACAGCAGCGAGTACTGCTCCGCGTCCTGAGGGTTGCGGATCTAGGGGAAGGGGGGGAGGGGTATAGGTTCTAACTTCTTAGAGTTCTAAGTTCTAAGTTCTAAGGTAGCAACGTACCAACGTCAGCATGTTTACAAACAATACAATCAACATACATGCGCAAATTGAATTCAAATCCCGATGAAGTTGTCATTTTGAGCACTTATCAAGTGCTCAGCGGTGAAGGGAAACATCGTAAAACACGTAAAGAGGACCTATCATTTTCGGAATAATACCAAAAACAAACAAGATATGTGACGTTTGAAAATGCGCAGAGCGATGGCGTGGTGGGCTGTGCCCTAATACCACCTGTGCAGAGGAAGCAGTGGGACAAATGTATATGAGCTGTTACTTTACTACATTTGGCTCATCGAATCCCAAGACCGCGGATATTTCACCAGAGGGCTGTGACTTCTGTCAATAATTTTTTTAAATGTCTGCCAAACAGGTTTCTAAACAATTCGTTCCAGTTATATACAGTGTGTCGTTACCATCGCGACAATAAATGAACAGACGTCTAACGCTACGTACCAATAATCATAAAAAAATATTAACGTTAAATAAAATCCATAATTAAAAAAAATATTTTTTATTTTGTTATTCAAACAAACTAATTAAGTAAAAAAGAAACAAAATTTGTAACATCATACAACTCGCGCCACAGCGTCGTATTACAAGCCTCTCCTTCTAACAGTATGTTTTGTCTCTTTTAAATTCATTCAACCCATTCATATGCTTTGTGACCTTTACAAATGAACTTTACGTTACGCTTTTATAGGTAAGGATGTTCTAAAATTCTTTGTTTTGGAAAATTTGATAACTCGGTAAATATCGATGTTTAAAGAATGTAAATCTTTAATACAATTTTAAAAATTTATCCTCTATATGTGTGTTCATTTATTGTCGCGATGGTAAATACACGGTGTATAACTCGTAGATATAATAAAATGAGACTATTTTTGTTCGTCGTATTGATTCGTTAAACTTTAGTTTACTACTTTGGATGATTTAAGTGTTAAATTCGTGTTCGACAATTTTATCTATACCGTTCACCTTATGTTAAGTGATAAACGCCGCCCACAGATATTCGGAACACCTGTTTCACCCGGACCACCGGGTTTCAGATGCGTTGCCACCTTTTAAAAAAGTGGGTTCCGGCTACCTCACTCACCAGACGAAACGCAGAAGTATGACACTTCCAGTTCACGGCGATTTTCTGTGAGGTTGTGATACTTATCTGGATGGACCTGCCCACTCGTGCAACAGCCGAAATTGTTGCGTGGTCCTATCACCTATTATATACACTTCTCAGGACCCGATTTAGGGGAGGGAACCGGAGTTACCCACAATATAGACTTCGGAATAAAAAAATTCAAGTAAACAGCTTTTCCTTTTACATTTTTTTCGCGTTTTACCTTTACCTTTTGCTTCTTTGTACCAAACTTTCTAAAACCTCATCATGTTTGTGCAAAGTACAAAATTGCCCCGAGGCCTCCCGACTTCTAAATCCGGCCCTGACACATCTTGACAATACATCCCTGTAAAACGTCAACATGGACTTTGGTGGGACCCACCGTGAAGAACTCGCGCGCGTGCTGCCAGGCGACGTACGCCACGCTGCCGTTCCCGTTGGTGCGGAGGCACTCTAGGGCCTGGATGTGGCGGTTTGTGTTGGAGACGCCCGCGACGCTCACGCCCATGTCGAGGGTGTAGCCAGTGCAGCCCTCGCCCCCGCACAGTGCGCAAAGCGAGGAGTAGCTGCTCTCTGCGGGTTGTTTGTGAAGAAGTTTTGCACTACTACTACTATTGCAGCTGTTTCTATTGCCGCTACTACTGGCACTAGAACTGGCACTGGCACTGCCATGAGCATGGGCACTAACACTCGCACTGCTACTGCTACTGCTGCTACTACTGCCACTACTACTGCTACTGCTACTACTGCTACTACTGCTGCTACTACTGCTACTGTCACTGCTGCTACTACTGCTACTGCTGCTACTACTGCTACTGCTGCTTCCACTTCTACTGGTACTGCTGCTCATACTGATACTGACACTGCTCCTCTTACTGCGACTGCTACTGCTACAGTTACTGCTACTGGTACCGATACTGCTACAGCTACTCACAAGCCTACCCTTTCCGTTTATGACTAAAAATTTTATAGTGGACTATAAATTTTATACTTATTAGTCTAATTATTAAAACTTTTAACCATGATACATGCGGAGTACAAATTATTATGCCGGTTCAAATTTTAGACAGCTCTTAATAACAGTGACTTTTAAGGGTTTGAATTCATTAAGGGCAGAGGTCCCTGTAGTGTGTACTATACTAAACTGTGGCAGGGCCACGCAGCAGGCTCGGTTGTTGCACGTATGGGCAGGCTCGTCCGGGTAAGTACCACGACCTCACAGAAGACCGGCGTAAAGTATAACAAATACTTTCGCGTTTCCTCTGGTGAGTGAGGTAGCCGGAGTCCAATTTTCAAAAGATTATCAACGCATCTGTAACCTGCGGGTGTAGCAGATGTCCATGGGCGGCGGCATTCACTTAACATCAGTTGAACCTCCTGCTCGCTTCTCACATAAAAAAGTGTCTATCCGCCAACTAAAGTTGCGGGCTCGAATCCCATTTTTGGCGATCCCCCAAAGAGTTTTAGTGAAATCAATAGATAAACAATCAGGCTCTCACTGAGGCGTTCGTCGATGGTTGCATTCGAGCTCCAGGGTCCAGGCCTGCAGCCGCTGGAGAAGGCTCTGCTCAGCGTCTCCATCTCCATCTCTTCGGCGGTTTTCTGCGCCACGTTGGCGTCCGGGCAGCGGTCCGTGCGCGCTACCTTCGCGTGTAAGAGAAAATCAGATTGCAGGGCCGGATTTAGGGGAGGGCCTCCACAAAGAAGATACCCCCACAATAGAGACTTCAAATTCAAATTCAGACAATTTTTTTTCTTTTTATAAAAAGAAGAAAAAACTAATAAACAGTAGTTAACAACTATTCCTTTCATATTTTTGTTCGCGTTTTACTTTTACCTATAGTACTTTGTACAAACTTCATTATGTCTTTTTGACTTGTTTTTCAACTTTGATTACATTAAACATTAACACAAATCAATAGAAAATAATTTGAGGCCAAGGGGGAGGCCCCTTGGCCCCCAATTTGTTGCTCCGAAGCCTCCAGGCCTCTAAATCTGGCCCTGCCAGATGTATGGAAAAAGTAATAATAATAATAATAGATCTTTTGATGACTCCGTGGCCCAGTTGCCAAGGTATTGGCTTAGGCGTCGGGGATCGTGGGTTCGATTCCCACGTGAGACAACTATTTGTGTGACCCACAGATAGTTGTTTCGCATCTGGGTGTTTGTCCGCGTGAAATTTATGTTTGTCAAACGTCATTACAACATCGTACAACAACTGAAAGAGACAATAAGTTTAGAAAGGAGATGAGTTGCCCTAATAATACTAATATTTTTGCACGTGTTACATCCCCAGTCACCATCGTACTACACCTGAATCAATTGCGCAATGACCGGTGATTCATTCAATAAAATCGACCACCGGCAAAGCGACACCCCTTAGTGTCTTAAGTATTAATATTAAGAACTTTTGTAAAACCTTTATTAAATATAATATTATATAAAATCGTTTTTTTTAAGATCCTCCGCTGCGCAACCCGTAATTCACACAATACCTAAAAAACTGGCGGCATTGATTTATTGGTATCCAGTGAACGATAATAAAACATGGAAGACGCACGTTCATACAAGTATTTGTTAATAAATAGCAGCACAACTCTCACTAACAGTTATCACATGCATATATATACAAATCAATAATACACTGAATTATCGTCAAACAAAAATGAACTTATTTGTTAGTTTTACTAAGTCTACATCCATAAAACCACCACCCGGTACGGTTTACAGTTTTCACTATTTCCCCGCGCCGTCTCGGTATTGTTTTTCGTTTTGTCATTTTGGAGCGAATAATGCTTCCATGTTTATTTGCGTTTTCTGTTGGCATCAGACAGCAAATCAGATGTATCATTAATGAGTTAAAGTAGGACCGCCCTCAAACAACTTTACCTATATGGAGCCAAGCTTAGCAAAGAAATCTCCCAGAGTGGAGAAAATTTAGTAAATTCAAAATTTTTCTAGAGAGGAAACTTTTAAGCGCAGAAATCACAGGTTGCGTGAGGCGACCAATGAGAAACGCGCGCGGTCGCGCATATCAGCCTATCAAAAAAGAGAATCACCCGCTCACATTTATTCGTACGATCTAAATGCACCAATGATAAATCGATCAGTTTGGTGGCTACTGGTTGACACACCAATTCGCACTGTGCGTAGAATAACGTTCTGTGGTAACATCAAGGGCGGATCCAGCTTTGGTGCCAGGGGGGGGTCACATAGTCGTGGTCAAGTGATAAGAAGTTTTAATTTAATTTTTAAAATCATAGATACAAGTAAAAAGTAGGTATTTTTAACCGACTTCAAAAAGAAGGAGGTTAACAATTCGGATGTTTAAATTTTTTTATGTATATTCGGGCATAACTTCGTCGTATATAGACGGATTTGCAAAATTCTTTTTGCAAATCCGTCTATATAGTATTATAGTCTATATAGTATATATTTTTTTGTTCGAAAGGGTTTCATTCCGAAATGGTCCCATATAGATAATATAATTTCATATAGATCTGATGATAATTTTCGGAGATAGCAAAGGAACTCTTCGAAATCTGACAGGAAATCAACCGTGTTTTCTATCGCATAAATATGCATTGTTTTGCATGTAGCGTTGTAATACTTACGTACATAATTTTATTTTAAGTCGGTTCTTTTATTTTTTTTTATATTAATACGTTTAAAAAATCGACTTCAAAAACTAAAAAGTACAAAATAACTTAATAAAGTACTTGTATGTGCTACTTATTGATAGGTTTGAAGTCGTAATTTATTAATATTAAAGGTATTAGGTTTGCATGAGAGGTTATTTTATACCTTTTAGTTTTTGAAGTCGGTTTTTTTTTAAACGTAGTTTTTTTATTTTTAGTGTCTGTAATCGGTTATTCTATAAACTAGAGTAGAATTTTTCTAGATTACATCAGGTAAACTAGAACATTTCGTTGCTTTTTATTGTCATTATATAAAATAGTATTTTTTAAGTAGCTATTGGTAGGCTTACTTATTTTTGAAATTTATTTTTATTTATTTCTTCGTTACCAGATTTTATGTAGTCGTATTGGTTATAATATTTTTTAATTTCACACTGGCTCCACTTCAGTGACAAGTAGCCTAAGACTACTTGTCGGGATAGGGGTTAATAATAATATATAATCAACCCAAATGAAAACTCCTAAAATAGCCGTACACACACTGAAATTATATCTTTCACGTTAAAAAAATGTTCATAAATAACAAAAAAAATATTTATTCAGTCTTTAATTCATTCATTCATAATATTCAGCGCTCATCTATCTAATCTATCTAATCAAAGACAGAATCCACATTCATAACAAACGGAACAAACAAACTTTATTTCCCAAAGATTCGATGTCGCATACTCACGTCCACTAAACCACCACCGCTCACCACCCATCAAAAACGGTCCACCCATTAAGACGAATCAAACTCGACGCAGTTGTGTTCTTTAATTACTGAGTTCCTTTGGCCACATTCCAGCTCTGTCATCAGACCCTGGTTACCATGTAACACCAAAGAGCTCGTCAAGACGAATCAAATGAGCCCAAACACAATAGGGTTGCGTAGTTTCTTTACTAAGTTCATATGACCACCTTCCAGCCCATCATCAGTTCCAGACCCTGGTAACCATCTAAAACTAAAGTACTCGCAAAGACAAATCAAACGAGCCGAAACTCGATTGGATTGAGTCGTTTCAGTCTTCCAGCTGGAAGGTGGTCATAGGAACCTCACAGAATAGCCTCATAGACCTCACAGAAGATCGGCGTAAAGTACTGCTGCGTTTTGTCTGGTGAGTGAGGTAGCCGGGGCCCACTTTATTATAAGGGAGAAACGCATCTACAACCCTATGCATTTGTCCATGGACGGCTGAAGATGGAGCTCCATCATCCGATCCTGGTTACCAATGAAAGACAAACTACTCGTCAATACGATTCAAATATGCCCAAACGCGATGAGGCTCTGTCGTTTCATTGCGAAGTTCTTTTGGCCATCTTCCAGCACCATCATCAGATCGGCACCATGTCATAATAATATTGCATTGTCTCGCGATTTACACATGTATACAAAATTTCAGCTCAACCGGTAACCGAGAAGTGGATCAAATTTAATTTGCAAGATTTGATGACAAACATTAAAATATTATAAAAATGTGCATAAAATGAAAACTACTTGGCCAAACTATAGTAAATTTTTATGGGACCAAATGGCAACTATTCTGCATCAATCTAAAGAAGAATCACGTAAATCGGATCATAAATCTCAACGTAATCGGTGTACATACATCGAAAAAAAAAAATATACCAATCGAATTGAGAAACTCCCCCTTTTGAAGTCGGTTAAAAATATTATATTAAATTAGTTCAATATTGAAGGTAACTACTTAAAATCTATATTGTGACAAAAATATATAAAAACATAATGTTTAACAATTTTAATTAGTGGTCCACCTAGGTCCTGGTCCCAGCCCAGGGGGGGGTCATGACCCCCATGACCCCCCCCTGGATCCGCCCTTGGGTAACATAGAACGAAAACGAATTTGATTTAATCGTCGGAAAGTCTTAATTATTGTCTACGCTTTCAGATAACATTTTATTTTTTTTTCGTCTGACTTAAAGATATTGAAATTCAGAATAGTACAGCGTTCTATCTGATGTGTGCGCTGCAGTACAAGGACACACGTACGTTTAGACACTGTTTTGTTGTACTGACTAGACAAAGCTTACTAATGTGATAGACAAGTGTAAAGTACTCAGAGTCAATTGATAATTATTGCACAGTCACCCACTTTTTTATGGTTTTTTCCTCGAAAATAGTGCTACATGCCATACGTATGTGTATGTCATACCTACATATTTTCTAGTAGAACAACTTTATATACCTATGAACATGTGACCTATCATTTTTTGGAATGGTCCGTTGAACTATGTTATATAAGTAAATGTTTATATATGAACTTGTGCCTCATCAGTTTTTGCCATTTTCCGTAGGAAAACGTCACTATTACACATGAAACCTCTTATTTCCTAAATTTATATAGGTAATTATTTATTCGATACCCTCTCTATAGAGGAGGCCTTTGCCCAGCAGTGGGACATGTATAGGCTGTTACTTTTTTTTTTTAATTATTTATTCAAAAAGTAGGTATGCTGTTTGTTTACATACCTAATCATATTACAAACCTTAAAAATTGTAACAGCAACTACTATAACCAAAATAAAAAAAATATAATTTGAATCGGCCTTCCTGAACAATTACAAATTTGCAGATGTCACGTTGTTCTACACATGGTGCGAATTGGTGTAATTAGATTCTATAGACTGCTATCTCTTTCCATATCATAAGTTCTATATGATCTGTCACATTCACACTTATATTTACGTCATATAATGTAAAACGGAATAATTTTTAAACGCCGCGCAGTATGGTCATGCGCCATCAATTACCAAACACCATTCAGTTGTGGGCTTAACTGTTATGGGAAAGATACTCACCACTCGTTCGAAAGCCTTCAACACTCTCGGAGACCAGCGCATCTCGGATTCATCGAAGCCTGGATGGCAGTATTTGCCGCCGATCAAACCCTCCAGACCGCCAGTGTGGGAGTTGGGCACTATCGCAACCGCTTCGAAGGCGAAGGGCTCTGAAATTGGCATTAGAATGTATATGTTAAATGAAACTAGTTTACGGATTTCGTAACCTTTCCGGCGTTCATGGTCAAGGGACAAACTCATGAACGCTGGAAAGGGTTCGAAACGTCGGGAGTTCAAAACAAAATAATAAAACGTAATAATATCCGTAAACTAGTTTCATTTAATATGTAAGTATAATATTCGCGTAAAATCAAGAAAACAATATTAGAATGTATAACTGAAAACCAACGCTGTAGTCTCGTATCGACTGCGGCATTAAGCTGAGTGCGGTCTGTTTGCCGTATACGCCACACACAATTGTGTGCGTAAAATGTGTGATGTGTTTAATATTTTTTATTCCTCTTTTTTTTTACTATGTATATGTGTACTATATATATGTACTATGTTTATGGTTTAAATGTACATGTGGCGTATTTGAGCAATAAATGTTTTCTTTCTTTCTTTCTTTCCTTAACTCATCCGCTAATAGGACCGTAATAGCTCAGAGTCCGAGCGCTCGCTTTTATTTCAACACTAGCGATCCGCCCCCGGCTTCGCACGGGTGCAGTGCTGAATGTTTGTTTTCGACATCGCATTAGAAGCCTCTACAATTTTTCGTGTTTCTCTACTATATTATGCATGAACTATACATAAATAAACCTTCCTGCTGAATCAGTCTATCTATTAAAGAAGACCGCATAAAAATCCGTTGCGTAGTTTTAAAGATCTGAGCATACATAGGGACAGACAGACAGCGGGACGACTTTGTTTTATACTATATAGTGATTACTCGAACAATCCCCAGTTCAAATCCCGGCGCCGGCACCAATGTCTTTTTTTATAGATGTCTTTTTTAACTTTTGGATAACATTATCCATTGTTGTAAGGACGTTTTACAAACATAAATTTCACGTGGACAGACACCCAGATGCGAAACAACCTACTTTGGGTCACACAAATAGTTGTCCCGTGTGGGAATCGAACCCACGACCCCCGACGCCGAAGCCAATACCTTGACAATTGCGCCACGGAGTCAATGAAATTTTTAAATGACACTTTAAGCGCTGAATTATCACGTGCTCACTACCCACCGTAATCTCAGTATGCGTATTATGAGAAGTGAAGTGAAATAATATTATTTGAAAACGCATCACATATTTTTAAGCGAAATTGAGAAGAAGGTCGCTGGACAAACCTTGCCTGTTGACGTCCCTGATCGTGGCGACGATCCGGTTATCGTTCGGCTGCTGCTGCGATAGCAGCATCATCTCCTCCTCGGAGAAGACGCCGAAGTCCGCCGCGTTGCGGGAGAGCTTCAGCGCGCAGTCGACCCTGAAAGGGAATGAGGAAATGAGTCTCACAGGCTTTTTATGAGAGAACGTGGTAGGAGGGTGGGTGGATTACCATTGTTAGGTTATTACTGCCCATGCACACAACCAATAGTTTGCTGTTGCAATGAGAACATAAGAGATAGGTCATTGTGGTCTGATCAGGCTATATGCACGAGTGCAAACACTCACGCAAGTATGACAAATACTTTCGCGTTTCGTCTGGTGAGTGAGGCAGCCGGAGCCGAATTTTCAAAAGGTTGTCAACGCATCTGTAATACTGTAGCAGATGTCCATGGGCGGCGGTATTCACTTACCATCAGGTGAAGCGTCTGGTCGTTTGGCAACTTTTCACATTTTGCAAAAAACTCATACTTTCTCTGTCTTCTGTGAAGACGTGATGCTGTGCAGTTAAGATGATTCAGTGTTATTGCTAACCAAGGTTAGCAACAAGTGTCGTGTTTTCGATTTCGTCACGGGACAAGTATTTGCCTACCCACCGATAACTGTTACGGTTCTGGATAATAATAATACGGTTCTGGATAATCTGGATACTGTTCTAGATGTGGTGAGGGGAGGAAAACGTGGACAATAATCCATACTAATATCACAAAACTACTGAACCTTGAACTTTAAATGAAATTTGGTACACAGATAGTCTAGAGCCTGAGAAAGGACACAGGCTATATTTAATTAGAAAATGTTTTTAAAGAAAAGCGGGCGAAAAGCTAGTGAATTATAAATTTGGATCGGGTCTGCGTCAACTGTGAGATGATGAGGGCGATGAAAGTGATATTGATAATTGTGATGATGACGACGACGGTGATCACACTCATGCAGCTGGTACTTGTTCACTATTCACAATTTCACTCACGGAAATTTACTTCATGTTTGTAGTTGAACTTAATATCCCTTTCATTTTACCTCGACTCGACCGGCTCACAAACTGCTTGGCTCCCATCTTTGTCAAGGTTCTGACAGAGCACCGGATTTGAATTGGAGACGCAAACTTTGTCTGAAAATAAAAGAAACATATTCACAATAACGGAAACAAATGTTGGGTCTATAGACGCGTCATTAAAAATAGTGTTTAGTTATCGTGAATAAGGCTAATGTGTAACATGCATTATACAGCGTGTCGTTACCATCGCGACAATAAATGAACACACATATAGGGGATAAGTTTTTAAAGTTGTATTAAACGTTTAAATTTTTTAAACATCAATATTTACAGAGTTATTAAATTTTCCAAAACAAAGAATTTTAGAACATCCTTACCTATAAAAGCGTAACGTAAAGTTCATTTGTAAAGGTCACAAAGCATATGAATGGGTTGAATGAATTTAAAAGAGACAAAACATACTGTTAGAAGGAGAGGCTTGTAATACGACACTGTGGCGCGAGTTGTATAGGATGTTACAAATTTTGTTTCTTTTTTACTTAATTAGTTTGTTTGAAAAATATTTTTTTTTTAATTATGGATTTTGTTTTATATTAATATTTTTTTATGATTATTGGCTCGTAGCGTTAGACGTGTGTTCATTTATTGTCGCGATGGTAACGACACGCTGTATAATAGGCGAGGCAAACGATTTAACATTAAAGCAATAATACGCTAGCCATTTTGTTAGAATTGTAAGTACCTATAAAAATTTGTGTCAGTGTCTTATTAATTGCGTAAATAATACGAGACTAACGGCCGGTTTCTGAAACACTGATCATCGTAGAAGTCAACTAATCAGCTGTCAAATGGCTTTTCCGAATTTATCATTCTGATCATTAAGAAGATCATTCTGATCAATTCAGAGAGTTTAACCATCCTTTTGGAAACTTATTTAAGACTAGCTGTGACCGCGACTTCGTCCGCGTGGAATTTTAAATAAAAAAAATCTAAAATAAAAGTATCCTAAGTTACTCCTTATTACGTCAGCTATCTGCCAGTGAAAGTGCCGTCCAAATCGGCTCAGCCGTTTCAGAGATTAGCCGGAATAAACAGACAGATAGAAAGACAAAAATTGTAAAAAAATAATTGGTATATGTAAAAAGCGGTTATTTTAATATTACAAACCAATTTTATTTATCTGTATAGATTAATAACACAGCTTTTTTTCTATATTACTTTTTCTATATTGTGTACTTAAAAATCGCAAATCAATAAAACTTATTTTCACTTGACACTATATAAGGTTCAACATTTATTTATTGGTTAGGTTCGTGGTCGTCTATTTTTATATATTAGGATACGTTTTAGGCACACACCTCCCTGCCGCAAGGTGGGGAGGCCTATTTAGAAACTACACGCCGGCGGGGCGCAAGCCCCAGAGGTTCAAGCGCCGTTATGGGTTCCCTCTTAGAGGAATTCATTCGCGAACGATGCCCCGAAATGTGGCGCAGCTTTCTCGCCTTCGCCGCGGAGAAACGCCGCGTCGTCGAATTCGCTAGCGACAACCCGACTTCACCGGCAGTCGCCTCGCCGCCATCTCCGGTGCCCTCTGCGCCAGCTAATGAGTCGCCTTCTGCGACACTAGTAACGCCCGACGCGTCGACTTCCGCCGAGGTATCCTACGGTGGACAACTACCAACACGCGTCACCGAGTGTCCTAGACATCATGTTATTCAGGGAGGTCTCGCTCGACATCGAGTCGGTAGAGACAATCCATGAACTAGACTCAGACCACAGGCCCGTCTTGTGTAAACTGGGCCAGAACGCCGGCGCGGCCCCTCCGACCAAATCCGTAGTGGACTGGCATCGTCTTGAGGTCAAACTCAAGGCCTTGGACCCCCAGGACTTAGTAGACTTACCCGAGACGATAGCTACGTTCGATGACGCAAATCGAGCGATAGCGAGTCTCCGTGAAACTATTACTTCCGCAGTCACAGACTCGGAACGGACGGTGAAACTGTCGGGCCACCGACGGTTTAACTTTCCGCCCGACCTAAGACTGCTAATTAGACAGAAAAATGCAGCCAAACGCGCCTTCGACCGATACCGATCGGAATCGAACCGAACCCTACTTCGACGCCTTCAGCTAGAAGTCAAAGATTGTGTATCGGAACACCGACACACAACGTGGGACACTCTCCTAGAGAACATCGAGCCATCGCACACCGCCTACTGGCGGTTGGCCCGCAGTCTGATAGCAGACCCCCGCGAATCTCTACCGCCGTTAGTTAGACCTCATAGCACTTCAGTAGCCCTAGATGACTCCGAAAAAGCCGAATGCCTTGCGGACAACCTAGAGCAGCAATATACGCCATCGCGCGAACACACCGATTCAGTCCACCTAACGGAGGTGGACCACGTAATCGAGACTAGGGCTGCGCTTCCACCGGAAGGCGAACCTTTAAATTCAGTGACCCCCGAAGAGGTCCAAGATATTATTAAAAATTTAAAACCAAAATCCGCCCCGGGCCCAGATAATACAAGTAATAAAATTCTCAAAGCTCTCCCTGGGCCGCTTATCTGTTTACTGGCGACCATTTTCAATACCCTTCTCTCCAGTTGCTCCTTTCCGGACGACTGGAAGCAAGCCACGGTTATCGACATTCGCAAGCCGAATAAACCAGCTAATCAGCCCTCTAGCTATCGTCCCATCAGCCTCCTCAGTTGCCTGGGGAAGCTCTACGAGCGGCTCTTGTTAAACAGGCTCAAAGAGCACGTTTTCCAACGGCCTTCTGCCGACGGAACAATTCGGCTTTCGAGCTAGACACTCATGTCCCGACCAGTTATACCGCCTAACGGAGCACATCCTTAAAGGCCTAAACTACCCCAAACACATCAGCACAGGGGCTCTCTTCTTCGATGTCGCAAAAGCATTCGACAAAGTCTGGCACAACGGCTTGCTTTACAAGCTGTACACACTCAAAGTGCCAGATAGGCTCGTACACACCATCCGGGCCTTTTTGTTGAATCGCTCTTTTCGATATCGAGTCGAGGGCACCCTCTCCACAAGCCGCCGCCTCACGGCCGGCGTACCACAAGGCTCCTGCCTCTCACCTTTGCTCTTTACGCTCTACACGAGCGACATACCCAAAGACCCCCACGTCAATCTCGCACTTTTCGCGGATGACACCGCGCTCTTTTATTCAGACCGCAACCTTAGAATACTAACCACTCGACTCCAAAGCGACGCCGACCGCCTCGGCGATTGGTTCCGCAAATGGAGAATAGAAATAAATCCCGAAAAGAGTGTGGCGATTCACTTCACACGAAGTACCTACCCGTCACATCTTTATAATGGCCCTCGCCAATGCAGAAAGTTGGGGCAAATATCCCTATATGGCCAACCGCTCCCCTGGGAGAAAAAGGTCAAGTACTTAGGAGTCACTTTCGACTCGCGTATGTCATTTACTACGCACATTAATACCGTTCGTAATAGAGCCGCGTTCGTCTCCGGCCGGCTACACAATTTAACTAACGCTAAAAGTAAAATGCCCTTAAGGCACAAATGATTATTATATAAGACCTGCGTACGACCTATTGTGTCTTACGCATGCATGATCTTCGCCCATACGTACCCTACTCGCTTGTACAAGCTGCAAATAGTACAAAATAAGTTTATCTGCCGCGCAACCGGTGCGCAATGGTATCAACGCAACGTCGACCTGCACAGCGATTGCAGACTTCCGACGATTCGCGCACATTTTAAAGATTTGACAAAACGGTTCTTCGATAGAGCCCAGCATCATCCCAACCCTCTGGTGGTAAGCGCAGCAAACTACCAATCGGACACTAACGCGAACGTAAACAAGCGTCGCCCGCGAAACGTTCTCATCGACCCGGTCGACGAAGAGGACTTAGATATGATGGACCCACCGCCGGGGGTCCCGCCGGATAACACTACACCCACAGTTAGTGTAAAAACAATCACACCAGTTCGCCCTCGCCTCCGAGCACGGCGAGACCCACACAACGCGTACACAAGGTACACCCGCGTTCCGGGGCGGTTCTCACTGCTCCCAGCCACCGATTAGCTAAATGCACAGTCGACGGCCGTCGGGGTCTCGGTCCGAACCGCGACCTCGAAGGCCCTTAGATGACACACCATAATTAAACGCACGCATGAGCACATGCGCGACCTACCCATAGCGGAAGGTCCAAACCCGTGGGTTCTGGCTAGCCCACCGGTTCGGCGTCCGATGAAGCTTTAATAGTCTCGGGACTGAAAGCAAAAACATCAGTTAATACAAGATACAAGAAGACTTGCATACAACACGACCCTGCGATCTTTACTAGGTCGTCCATCCAAAAGGTGGCCGACGACCTAGTCTGTAAATAGGTAGGCCTTCCTACGCTGCGCTTGCCGTCACGTGGTCTCCGTGATTTATTGAGTGGAGACAATTTAGAAATTAGTTAAATTAAATGATAAGGTCGCTGGTAGTGGCTGGATGAGGAAAGCGGAAGGTCGTGCTCTGTGGCTTGCCCTTGGGGAGGCTTTTGTCCAGCAGTGGACTGCAAAAGGCTGATTGGATTGGATTGGAAATAATTTAGCTTATTTCTAAATTAAATTAAATAACTAATAATAAAATTAACTAACTTTTGGATCGAATTTACAACTCGAATTTTATAAAACACGTTGATTGATGGACGACGATCAAAGCCAGGTCAACCGCCAGATTGATTTTTATAACCATTAACATAAATCTTGGTCTTGGCCTAGTGTAAATTTTAAAAGCGATGTTATTGCCACATCAGACAACGCTTATCAGCCGTAAAGGTGCGTCGCCGGCGCTCGTTTCAAAGTCAAGCGAGACAATGTTACGATAAAGTTTACTCCGTCTACCATATCTTTCTACTTCGAGTGTTGTTTAGTAGCCGTAATTGCAGTAATTAGCTTCACTGAAAGATTACTCGCTATTAATCCAATTATTTTAAATTTTTTCAAGCACTTTCCCGAGGTACACTTTTCCTGCGTGCCGATAGATTTTAACCACTTTTCACGATATTTTGAATCTTATTTCGTCTTTTACCACCAATACAATTTGCAAAAGCTGTTTTATGTGTATTGTGTCTATTTTAACGCTCTGTAGCGTAAGCGGCTCTTTAGCATACGCAGTGCTATTAGAGTTGTCTTAGTAGCAACTTACGCTTTAATATTTACCATTAAAATTACTCTTACAAAGTCAGCTTTTGTGGTATGCCTATGAAATGTTTAGTCTTAAATCAAATAATTAATAAGTGACTGCATCCGATATTGAGTAACTCCATTTTGTTACGTCGCTGACAAGATGAATCACGAAGAGATGATGGACAGAAGAGCGCTGTATAATTGAGACCATTGATAATTTATTTATTTCTTAATGTAGGCAAAAGTTACAGAAATTATACGATACTGATTGGGGTAAAATTTAGAACTTTACGTCTCGTTTTTCAAGCTTGAAAATTGTAATCGATAGAGAAATGTTAATAATGATATGATACTTATATAAGTTAAAATCCGTGAAACCCCTAGATTACGAGAAAAAAATTATATATTTTTTTATTTTCATACAATTGCATTTTGTTGTTGTCAAGATGTTTGTGATTTTGCTTCTATTTCTGAGTGGTCATAAACAAAATAACCACGAAGGCTAACGCGGGAGCGGAGCTCCTAAACTGTCCGAGTCGGATTGCTCTGTGACTTATTGAATTTAAAAAATAAATAATCGAACAAATGCTAGGAGTTTGACATCGCCCGCTTCCTATATATATCATGATGGTACTACTGTGTATTCATGTTTTTGAAGTCAAATTAATACTTTTTAATGAAAATAATAAATTATTAAAAGTAAGAGTTTTTAACTTATATTTCATTATTAATATTTCTCTATGGATTAAAAAAAATCAAAAAAAGAGGAGTAATGTTGTAAATTTTTACCGTTTCGAAATTCTTCGTCGTTGAGTGTACACGAAGACATCGTTAAAAACTTGATTGAACTTCACCAATCATCCTTCTCAGATTAGATTGCCTGCATTTTTCTATGCTATCTCGTATGAAATAAATATTTTATTGTTTCAAACATGAAACAGCGTAACATCCAACAGCGTTGCATATAGATGATGTTGCAAAAACAATGGCGTTGACATCGATATTAACTACGGCAGCGCGACTTTGATACTTCATTGTCTATAAATCGCATTTTCGCGTTGCATTCATTATGCATACAGCAAAGAAATGGAATAATTTGCCGGCGTGTTTAAAGGTTAGAGTGAATATGGCTTTTGCTGAGCCAGACCATTTACAATCTATAGCTGCATCACCACCACCATAAGGTGAGAAAAAATAACTAGGCAGTCGAATAAAAATGTTCGTTGTTGACCAAAGTTGATAATTTTTACTTTTGAATTTTAAATTACTTGTATAAATATTTATTGTTCATAAATTTAGGATCGATCTTGACCTAAGACAATATTTTTGAGCACATTAAGTTACTTACATAAAATGCAATTTAACCTTTAATTTAATGTGGTCTTCGCTGTTGCACGAATGGGCAGGTCCGTCCGGGTAAGTACAACAACCTCTTAGAAGACCGGCGTGAAGTCGGAGCTTTATACATCCGCGTTTCGTCTGTTGAGTGAGGTAGCCGGGGCTCACTTTCTTAAAAGAAAGCAACGGATCTGCAACCCTACGATTGTTGCAGATGTCCATGGGCGGCGGTTATCACTTAATATCAGAACCGCTAGCTCGCTTGCCATCTTCACATATAAAAAAAAAACCTTAAAACCGTATTTGATTAATTTAAATTAAAAGGGAGAAATATATGACGTTGAAACCTACTTATTAAGTTAGGTACTGAACTACTGCAATTCAATGATTATTTTTAATGACTATTATTATTTCGTAGTAAATGGTATCGTAGGTGCGGGTAAAGGTGTAAGTAAAATATAATAACCAGATCGTTAATAAATTATGTATTGTTTTAGCGAACGTCCATTGTAACCGTTTGCTTTTGATGCTATTTTGTAAACAAGCTAACAATAATTTTTCTGACTCAACTTTTACGTTTGTGAAAAACGCGCGATACAGATTATTCCCTATTGCGAGATTCGTCCATCAATATTGGAACGATATCATCGGTCATAGCAGTGTAGACAATTTTATTGCTATACTGTCATCGATAATTTTTTGTTCGCGACTAGTTTGATAAGATGCTAATGTAGGGTGAAGATAAGAGAACTAATGTACGAATAGGTGGAAATAACCGAGAACAGTAATCCACACTCTTTTTATATATATTTAGTTCATCGGGCACACTGTTTGGAAGGATAAGACGTTTTCACAGGCTTATTTAAATAGTTGTTGCATCTGTTTAATACATTTTACATATGCATGAGTCAGAATCACACCCATCTCTTCTAAGATGTTTACTGTGTTTGTTTTTAATAAACAATTAAGCGATACTATGATACAATTAAGTGCCGTGATAGCTCAGTGTCCGGGCGCTCGCCTTTAATTCAATATACTCGAGCAACCTGAATTCGATCCCCGGTGCCGGCACCAATGAAGTTTTTAACTTTAAGTGCTGACTTATCACGTGCTCCGCGGTGAAGAAATAATAACAAAAAAAATATATTTCGCAAAAAAATGTGAAGTCCGCCAATCCGCAGTGGGGCCGCGTGGTGGACTATGCCCTGATACCCTCTATATAGAGGAGGCCTTTGCCCTGCAGTGGGACATGTATAGGCTGTTACTTTACTTTTTTTAAGCGATACTTTCAACTCCTTCTCCGAAGCTCGAGTCTATGCGTGATAAATACGTAACTAATCCACAATGTACAACTTGACGTACGCCTTGGTTATATTTTTAAAGATGACACGATCACGAAGAAATATTTATCTTATCGAACTACCATTAACAATATGCATATTACATAACAACTTACATGTTTGTGCAGCTGCACTGCTAATTGCCAATATAACGACTAGAAACTCTTTGTAGCCCATTTTCAGAAACACTAAAACACTCAATCACAAAGGGACGTGAGCCCCAGTTACCACGCCCGGTGGAAAAGAAATCACTACAACTACGTACTCAACTGAAGCATTCGATACACAGTGACCGTGTAAACCCTATTTAAAACTGCCGCATAGCGCTCGCGGCCGGTATCTTATCAATATTTCGAAATTCAGTGTAAAGGTGCGCGATACAGTTTCGTTGATAATAATAGTGATAACGCGTCCGCTGAACAATTCACAATATGATTTGTGGGGTCCCACAGGGCACGGTGTTAGGACTGGTTAAGTTCCTTTTAAAAGATTTCCACTACCTCCAAATTTATCGCTAAATCGCAGTCGATAGGTTGGTCTTAGTTATAATAGGTTTTATGTTACGGTTATTTTGAATATCACGGCTATAATTATCACGTTTTATAAATTATTGTGTTTACTACAATTACACATATATTTATCAATTTTCCATATAAATGTCAAAAAAATACCAAAAACCCAAAATTTTTAAGATTATTATTTCTATATAGAACTATCTTCATCATCAATGAGTTATGATTCACGGTGATGATTCGTCATCGTCCCATTTACCAATAAAACATTTCACAGTACTAAATAGTATTTGTCCCTTAAGCATTCAATGTATCTGTGCGTTACTAGTTGTTTAAAACGCTCTATTTCTCCTACCGTAATATGTAAAAGGGGTGGTTGCTTTCGTATACATTATGTTTTTACACGGTATCGAAAACTTTTACAAATTAATGTAATCGTATTTTTACAAATCTAAGCAATAAAACTGTTACACACCCAGATGCGAAACAATTATTTGTCGGTCACACAAATAGTTGTCCCGTGTGGGAATCGAACCCACGAAGCCGAAGTCAATACCTTGGCAACTGCGCCACGGAGTCATCAAAATTAAATGCTAGTTTCGACTTCACCACCTCTTAAGTGTCACGATTAATACTTTAGGATCTTTTATTACTTTGTAGGTTTTTAATAAAATCCACAATGCTGAAATTGATCCGGTGACGAAAAAAAGTTATTCAAATAAAATTTAACAAAGCCATTTATTTAAAAAGAAATAATAATTATTTATGTTAAAAATGTATACATTATAGGGAAAAGTAAACATGTTTTTGCAGTAAATATAAATAAAAATATATTTATAAGTTTATCGTCTATACAGGGAGGCTTTTCTAAGCGTATCCTTTTTTTTAAATTAAATTCTAGACATAAATAATGTTATATAAAAAGTGATAAATATTTAAAATCACCCTTAATAATTTAATAACACTCATTTTAAGTTATCTCAAAAAAGTGCGTGATTTATGGGCAACTCATTTATAGCGATCATTCATAAATAACACGCACACAAGTTCGTTACAAAAGTATACGACGCATTTATGAATGTCTACCGCATTGTCAACAAGTTCTGTGTTTTAGGGAATAGAATGGCAATTCTTTTGAAAAAAAAGTTTGTTTTTATTCCAATATACGATTATACTAGGGAGTTTGAACCTCCTGTGTGAATTTGGGCACCTTTAGAAAAGCCATCCTGTATATACTTTCATCCGATTGTGATGAAACTTTGGCGCAGTTGTTCTGTGTCCACACGAGAAGGTTCCTGACATGAAAAAAGATAAATTTTGTTTCTCATGGCGGACTAATTGCATTTCGGTGGTGATTGTGGTAACACTGGCCTAGTTTATTAAAAGGTGGCAAAGCATGTGCAACCCTACCGGTGGTGCAATGTCCATGGGACGGCGGCTATTTCCAAATTCAACCGCCAGCTCCCTTTCCACATGCTCACATAAAAAAGTGCGTACACGTTCTTAAGCAAACTAAAAAAAAAATAACTAAAAATTTTATCCCGTGTACCCTTTTTGTGAAAAAAAAAAAAAACATTAGTAGCAATTGATAGCGGTCACGACTTGGAATTATAGGTATATGTCAAAATCGTTGTTATTGGTTGCCATGGATACCGCGAAGTTATCGAAATCGGTGGCTGTGCAACCAATTTCATCATGTCGGTTTGCGCGAGCACAGTACATATTTTAATCTCATAATTTTTCCAAACGCGGCGAAAGAAGTGTAAATTCCAAAAACAATCTCTCCCCTGTCCATACGGTGATAAGCAGCAGAGTGGAACCTTCTAAAGCACGTCATCGTCCGGATTCGTGTGGCAATGGAAAAACGAAATTTAACGGTTCTCTTATCGGCAGATAGGAGCTATTCTGCGAAGCGTCGATCACCGCCGTATTTGTGCAGCGCAATCACTAGTAAAGTATGGGCGCGCCTAATGACGTCACTTCTACACGATTCAAGCGAAGACGACCTTTATGTACCAGTGATTTTGACATATAATGCCGTGGACAGATCGCGGATACGGTTGCAGTTTGATATCAGTTACTAAGCACTCCGGATGTCCTTTGCCATCGAAATTAGTAATTGCCAATCGATATTTGATTGTCGGCACTAGTGTATTCGAGATAAGGTCCAATTTCCCTCAAGAGCTTCGATGTCGCTCAGAATACAGATGAATTAATACGACACCGGATCTATGACGGAATCCGAATGGCACGCGTGTCGCATTTTTCGGAAATCGATCGGAAATTACCGGTGTAATGATAGATTTTGACTTCAACAAGAATTTCTACTTAGAAAGCATTACTTTGACAACAATATTAATTTATCAGAAAAGTGTGACTGATAATAATTTATTATTGTATTATTTGAATTATATTCAATACGCATGATAATAATAATAACTTAAATATATTTGTGTCATTTGCTGTTGAAACTTTAGGTCCGTGGGGTCCCCGCACATCAAAATTTTTTAAAAGTTTATGTCCTAGGCTTAACGCCGCGGCTGGTGACAAGAGAGCTGGTTCTTTTCTGGCTCAAAGGTTAAGCATAACTATTTAGCGAGGAAATGCAGCTAGCGTTCTTAGCACCATGCCGCGTGGATTAGGTTAGAAAATATGTAATTTTAGATAGATTAAGTCTTGTAAATATTAGATCAATAAAGATTTTACGTTTAATTTATACGCATGTATAAATAGTAAGTATTGTAATATGTATAATATGCAAATATGTGTGTGTTAAACTGTATATAAACACAATTATTTCAATTATGTTGAAGCAATGATAGTATTAACTGCTGTTAACGCTTTCAGTCCCGAGTTAAAGCTTCATCGGACGCTGAACCGGTGGGCTAGCCAGAACCTACGGGTTTGAGGCTCTCCTCAGCGGGTAGGGCTGCGCATGCACTCATGCTAGGGTTGCCAACCAAAATACTTTATAATAACGTATTTTACTTTTTTTTTGGTTTTTGTACTTTATACTTTTGCATAAAATAAAACACTTACAATATATGTACCTATGTGCATAATTCTTCTTCTTCTTCTTCTTCAGCGTGTGTTCGCCAGCCGTTGGGCATACGCCTCTCCAATTTTATTCCATTTGGCACGGCTCTTTGTTTCCCTTGTCCAGACTGGGCCTGCTGCCTCCTTTATGTCATCGGACCATCGGGCTGGTGGTCTGCCCACACTTCTCCCGCCTAGCCGGGGTCTCCACTCCAGAACGCGCTTGCTCCAACGTTCCTCTTTTCTTCGGCACATGTGTCCGGCCCAAGCCCACTTTAACTTCGCTACTCGGTGGCCCACGTCGACCACTTTCGTGCGACGTCTGATGAGCTCGTTCCGGACTTGGTCCTGTAAAGTTACGCCGAGCATGGCTCGCTCCATGGTGCGCTGCGTCACCTTGAGCTTGTGGATCAGTGCAGTGTGCACCAGCAGTCAGTGTCCATGTCTCGCATCAATATGTCATAGCCGGAAGAACGCATTGATTAAACACTTTTGTTTTAAGTGATTGGGGAATTTTGGACTTAAGAGTTGATATCAAAAGAGTATGTATAATCTGAGATTACCAATCAACACACCCCCTTAATCTCAGATATACATCCTAACACCAGACAAGTACAGAAAACCCAAACAATTTAGAAATTATCAAACCACAAATAAAACAACAATAACACATAACAAAAACCAAAACACTTAAAATAATAACTAAAACCACAAAAATACAAAAAAACAATACATTATAAAGGAAGAGATATCAAAAATTCTGTAAAAAGTTTCTCTGAAAAATTCCGTTTTTAATTCTGATTCTTTCCCCTTTACAACAATCTCACACACACGCTTCCACTGCGCGAATCTCTATTATTAACACCCCCTTACATTTGCACTACCTACACTTCATAACGTAACTTCATATCTTAATAACGTCTATCAAAACAATATCACCATTTTCGACATCAAAGGAGCTTGTTTTAGACCGTAAATTACAAGTGAAGCACCGTTGACCACAGGACCACAGGCCCCTCCATAATCCACCTTATATTTCTGTTGAAAACCTTATACCTCTCAGGTAAAGACCTATTTCTCGTTGGGTCCCTCCCTGGACCCACAAACTCCGCAACAACCTCCGTCTCCTCCTCATAAAAACCTATTTCTCGGTGGATCCCTCCCTGGACTCACACCCTCCGTCTCCTCCTCATAAAAACCTATTTCTTGGTGGACCCCTCCCTGGACTCACACCCTCCCCGCAACAACCTCCGTCTCTTCTTCACAAAGACCTATTTCTCGGTGGATCCCTCCCTGGACCCACACCCTCCGCTACAACCTCCGTCTCCTCTTTACAAAAACCTATTTCTCGGTGGATCCCTCTCTGGACCAACACCCTCCGCAACAACCTCCATCTCCTCTTCATAAAAACCTATTTCTCGGTGGATCCCTATCTGGACCTACACCCTCCGCAACAACCTCCATCTCTTCTTCAAAAAAAAACTTATTTCTCGGTGGATCCCTCCCTGGACTCACACCCTCCCCGCAACAACCTCCGTCTCCTCTTCACAAAGACCTATTTCTCGGTGGATCCCTCCCTGGACTCACGCCCTCCGCAACATTAAGCACGCAATTCAGCTTCCCGAAGGC